TTCATAAATGTAAAGGCATGGCAGAGGAAGTACTTTTAGTTCCTTGAATAATGGTCTGCAATGATCCAAATATTCAGCGCCACCTAAGGCTCTGATACATTTTTTTTGCACTATAAAAGCTCTTTGCACATCTACTGATGCACATAATTCTTAAATCATTTATACCTCTACAAAGTGTTGTTTTAAGCCGCGTCATTTTTCAGGAGGTAACTTGGCTATCGAGTCTGAGGCCGAATCAATAAAAAAAAATGTACTTAAATATATTTCATTTTTATGTAAATTACAAAAATCCGTAAATGCGAAATACACGCCGCCGTCTTGTAACTATATAGTTTTGTAACGCGGCTTAACACACACAAACTCAAACACATAATTTATATTATTCCTAATTCTATAAAACTCCGATAAGAAACATTGCTGTTGTTTATTCTGAAATACTGTCGAACGATTTATTATAGTCGTATTTTTAACTATTGGCCCGAAACTTTCTTTTACATTGAACCTTTATGACTTCTGTGACATGCTCCCGAAAAATACCACGGTTTCGAAACATATTATATACAGTGTGCTGTACCATATATATAGCGACATATATACATGTATATTTAGTACATATTAATATATAATTCGTAATATGAGTAATCAAGTCTCATGACAAACGAGTGTTCAGTGATCAGTATTTATGTACTACATCTGTTACGATCTATAATCATAATGTACTTGTACTATTTATTAAGGACATGTAATTTGTCATGTATTTCGGTCATCAAGTCTATGTTGCCTGGGTTTCGTAAGAACTAAATGATTGACTACACATTTGACAGAAATCGATTAATTTGAACCTTATAGGGAAAAGTGCCGTAACGCCGATAATGTGAACGATTCAATGTTTAGGGGGAAGTCTCCCAGTGGCAAACATCTAAGATCTTTAGTAAAAATTGAAGCGCTCATGTTATCAGTTATCGAGATAATACAAGTGTCCAGCGTTAGGTGCCGTCGGGCGTTAAGGGACTTTCCCCCTACTGCAATTTCTAACAAACCAACCACACGTGGATATTATGACAAACCCTCTTATGTACCTACCCATAGTTTAGCAATGGGCTGGCCGAACTATTGATTGAATGGAACTTAACATAGATAATATAGTTGGTGTGGTTTCTGCCTAATCTAAACCCGGTGCGTTTTGTTTTTATCCGACTGTAGGAAGAGTATTGCTTTTCTCCAAAATAACCTCTACCTCTGGGTTATAATTTACAATGAATAGCGTATTCTTTTTTTAAAAGGCCGGCAACGCTACTGTGTTTTCTCTAGTGTTTCGGGTGTCTAGCGGCAGTGCTGATCGCTTACCATCAGGTGATCCGTCTGCTCGTTTGCCTCCTATTCCATGAAAAATATCCGAAAATACAAAACGAGACGAAATTTTTTTTTGTCTTTCTTTAACTTTTTTCACACGATTTTCATCCCTCACTATCATAGTAGAATAAAAAATAAGCTTATTGAGCCAATAAATTAACAAGGAAAATCTGATTATTATATTTTCTGACTTTACTGCTTCACCAAGATCTTACTATGATTAACGAAAATGCTCTCATTTTATATAAGAAAATACAATAGATTAATATTTCTCTGAAAAGGCTTAGCAAAAATGCAAAACGCACTTCACTACATACATAGTATAAAACTAAATCGCTATCCGTCGTCTGTTTGTCCCTATGTATGTTTAGATGACTAAGCCACGGATTTTGATACGTTTTTTTTTAATAGCTAGAGTGATTCTTAAAGAAGATTTGTATGTATAATACATGCATATTGCACCCGTGCGAACCCGGGGCGGGTCGCTAGTATATTATAATATTTCTCGCACCCACTTAAGAGATTGTTACCAATAACATGCCCGTTAAATTTAACCGATTACATATGAACGTAATCATCTGATCATCTTATTCAACTCGAGTGTGAGTCATCGATCCGCTTACTAACGTCGGGATCGCGGTGAGTGCGCACGCGCACCTTTGCCAAATCACGCGAACTGAGTAGGTAATTGATCATTTGTTTATGTATTACTATTTGTACAAACATTCGGAACACTGTATCTGTTGATTTCACAAACATTTGACGTTTGGACTATTTGAGAACCAAGTAGTTGCGGTTGAGAGTAAAATCAACTATTTTTAGAATAGTTACATTTTATTTGAGTGACTGATACGTTCGTTTCTATTTCGTAGACATGTGACAAAATGACTAAACGTATATTAATATTAAAGTGAGACGAATATATTATTCAAATCTTTTAGTGTAATGTTCAATAACTTTGAAAATGTATGGGATAACATTGTTATAGCATAAAGCATAGATTAATGATAAGGTTTTAAGGGGTTTGGCTTATTAATCTTTAGTCGATCTGGCCTTAAACAAAATACATTCAGAGTCGTGGAGAACGGGTTACCGGGGCTCCAACTCGAAGTGCAGAAGAAGGAACGGGGTGGTTTTTTGTCAGTAAGAGTCTGACACTCCCTCCCGCCTTACCCAGGCAGGAGCAGCCATACGATGATATTCCCCCCTTAAAAAAACCAAAATACATGAATGAGTTACTGAATCTAGTATACGGAAATGCCTATTTGTCATAACATAAACTTACAATTCTAGTCATAAATGTACCATTTTCATCCTACTCCTTTCAGAGAAAAATAAATATAAGACACAACGTGACACACTACGCAAAGAATGAAAAACTCATCCGGTTTCATAACACCGAATTTTACATTCATTAAACACTAATACTTTGGATGAAACTATGCATCCCAATCACACTCTGCTCACCCACACAATAAATACCATCATGCCCCAAAAGTAACTCTACTTCAGGATGTTTTGTCCCGTTCACAAAAATATCTAATACGTAGGTAGAGTGCTGTTTGTTCGTATCTCGTGTTTGAAATAGATTTCCTATGATCTTTCTAAAGTATTCATTCAACTATTGTTTTTGATTGTTATGATGATAATGGAGCAATTAATTAATCTGTGCTAAGAATTGTTAGTTTTAGCTTTGATCTAAAATATGAAATATGGTTCTTTTCACATAACATAACATAACGCCTTTTATCCCCGAAGGGGTATGCAGAGGTCCATATTATGCTACTGTACAATGTAACACCCACTTCTCACAATTTATTTTATAAGTCCCATGTAATAAGGGGTGAGCCTATTGCCATATATCAGGCATAATTCCAGACTCCGTGCTACTACCGAGAATTAAAAAAAAAAACCAGTAATAAACTGAGAAAAGCTCTACTAGTTTCGAACCTCAGAGAGGTTCTTCCACATGAGCAGCGTGCGCGATCGCGGCGATGTCGCGCGGCCTACTGCCTAGAATTTCTTATAATGGTGACATGTAAAAGTGCCTACTTATGTTTGTTGCCAATTTAAAATATAAACTCATTTCATTTCAAATTTTCATAAAAATTAAATCAAAGAAATCATCACATTAGCATTAAAATAAATGATAAAATAACAACTTACGAATCTCAATAACCTCATTTGCTTTTCACCAGTGCGTTGAGTTCAAAATGGCTTGTAACTACTATGTATGATGAACTACCATTTGATCTATATGGATTGGCCGTTAACCTTGATTACAATCCAAAACTAAATAGCATTGAGGTCATTGAACCCATAATTTTGGCTACAGATGAGATTGAAGAAATGATAGTCAGTTCTGATACGAATAGATAGGTTAGAGTAAGTGATGAAGCAATTTAAAGAAAGAAATAAAGAAAACATTCAAATTATGTTGTTGATGAATTTGGTAATTATCTAAATTATATTAAAGGATTTTGATATACCGAAGTCAACAGACTTCGAATCTTAAAACCAAATGTTCCGTTAAAATTCACACACCCTATTTTGAATCGAAACTGGAAAGATTAATAGAGAAATGGATACACCGAACTATATTTTGGCCCACAGATTATTGGAATACATTGAATTACATATTTCAACTACAGATGATGTATGTATTCTTAAAATTAGGTTTATCTACTTCTTTCAAACAAATAAATTTAATTTCAACATGTAGCAGTTATAGTAGAATGTTAATAAAATTAGCTATCACTAAAATGAAACTATTTGTCACAAACAATTCTTGAATAAAACTCAACATATTAATTAATCAACAAGAAACCAAGAACTTAATCTACTTAAAGCTAAACTGCATTAAATAAGACAAGAACAACTTCATCACAATTAAAAATAATCACGAAGAGACCTCTGCAATGAAATCACACTCTATCATTGTCTCAGAAAGCATTTAGTTCATCAATCATAAGACTTAAATATAACATGTTGACATTCACCTGGTGATTTATAGGTCACCTGACTTCTCCAGTTGCCAACCAAATAACATGAGCGTTGAAGAAAAATTAACGATGCTAACTGATTTATAGAGTGGTCTTGAAGACTACGTTCAAAGAATTCAATTTTTGTTTTAATATCCGGCTCAGGCTATCGTTACAATTTCTTACGTACTTAAGATTTTTGATCAATAAACTAGTAGACTGTTAGGTTTCATTAAAGTCTGGGCATATAACGTCCAACATACTAGTGGTATGTTTATTAAATTCACACTTAATATATGATCTAGGCATGAATATATCTTGTGACGTTTGATAAAATGTGTCCAAGTATTTTATTAATCTGCCCAGCTGTTACCGAGCGGATTAATAGTTTAAGTTATAAGTGTTTCGATATATTTAATTCAAATGGTATAATAATGTATAAAGCGTGAATCCGGTGACAAACCTAATAACTTCTTCTTCATCCAAATCATCAATTTCCTTTAAAAGATTCTAAAACGCCTGAGATTCCGATAAATTGTAGAAAATTAAACTTGTCCTATAAAGCTGAGATCATAACTGCCAAATGCTAACCAGAATCTCAGTTATATGTATAAACACAAATACTATAGGGCAATTAAAAAAAGATACAGAGAGTAAAACAAAAAGTCCGAGAAACAACTAGAAGTTCAGTCCAATTGTACTTGGAACTAGCACGCCCACGTTAGCAAATAAATTAGTTTTGGCCCAAACCCTATCCCAATATTTGCAACAATACTGTGCTCCATTAGATCAGCTTCTATCTTCGGCGGAAAACACCTCTGCACCAGCAACGTCACGAATGACGAGTCCGTTATCCAACCCATGGCGATGCCTGCATCCGCCCACGCAAATTCCGCCCGCCCGCCTCGGCCAGCCGCCAAAATTTTCATAGTTTAGTTACGATTTCGAAAACGACCCGACGCGTCCCGCCGCCGGCGACAAAACCGCCCGATTTCTCTGACGAATCCAGTTTCTTATAACCTTCGTCAATCAAGTTCTCGAACGTCCTGTTTAGCGAATTATTTTGTACTTTTAAGTGAAAGTGTTTGACTTGAGTGTTTCGTGACACTATTGGATTATTGACTGTTTCTATTTCGTTTGGTATGTTTCTTTTACTTTCATTTTCTTTTATTGAGACAAAGGTAACAAATACATTAATTTATAATTGTAAAATAAAAACATTACTTTGATGTTGAAAAATGCTACTGGGCCGAACACGAGTCCTTGCGGTACTCCATGGCTCATAACCCACAAATTTTAATACGGCAATAAAATTGTGAATGACGAGAGTGTATTTCGAGCACTCGAAGTACTTGTAATGGTAATGCATCATTAAATGTTCAAATGAAATGATCGAGTGTTAGGTAATCAGAGGAAGTTAGAGTTGCAAGTTATAAAATTTCTTCGGTGAGCGTTCGCCGCGGGCTTCAGAGGCCTTCGACGGTTACAGAAATAGACCGAGACACTCTTTCGTTTCGTTCACACTCGTGAATATTTGAACACTGGACACCCACTCGGTTACACTTCACCTTGCCAGTGTTGATGGCGCTGACCGCTCTGCGCGTGAGTCACTCAGTGAATCGAACTGCTCTGAAGTGGCCAACATTGCTTCACTTACAGTTGATGATACTTGATGTATGACTTTCAGGCTTGATAATATTAATGGTCACGACAGGTGTGACTTGGATAACGTTAAAAATAAAAGTAGTTAACTATATCCATGTAAAAGCTACGTACAGCAGATATCGAATAGTTTTTCAAAATAGCAGTTATCTCCATATATTGTTGTTTTAAAAAATGAATTTACTTCTCTCTAAAATTATTCCTTTCTTGAAACAATGCTCTCACTCAGTGCTATTTCGTTCTTTCCATATCAAAAATCCAATTCGATATACCCTTTTAACGTGGTTAAGTAACAGTATTACTATACATGCATATGTCCATTCATACTGCCATTCAGCTACAAAAATCGAACGTAGGTATTCGTGTAAAATGTAGATTTTTTTTGTATTGAAATATGATCAATGGAGTACATCCTGTCTTTCAGAGTGATGTACGAATATAATGGTATTAACTTTTTTGTTTGACATGACGCAGAAAAAAAAACTAATAGCTAAATTTTCCAAATTCCAAAACGTCTATTCGTGAAATCTAGACTAAGATTATTTTTCGAAAATTCTATCTGAAATTTACTAACATGCACACCTACACCAAATTCGTGTAGGTATAGTTCGAGAAAATACATCATACATTAGCTATTTTATTTCAGTTTGCTGAAAAATGCTATCAATCACTCAGCTGTTGTACGAACAGTTAACAATTGTGATTCATTGGTCAAAATAATAGCAGTCAATCAGCCGACGCCATTTTTAACTGTAGAATTGATTACATTCCAGTTTTAATGTCCGTACTTATTTAGGTTCATTTTATGATTATTGTCTAATTTAACATCATTCCTGGTATTATTATATGAGATAGACAGAGCTGTAAGTACTTAAAGTAGTAGTAAAATTTTGTCTGTCATATAATTCATTGAGCTAATTTTGAATTTTAACATTTTAATTTTATGCAACATGATTAGCCCCCATTAATGGCCCGCTTTAGATGACTAAGACCCAATGTTGCCAACGCCAGTTAAATTTTATCAGAAGAATAACTTTGAATATTTGACAATTCTTCCATACTAAAAACGGTCAAATATCAATTTTATTCTACAGTTAATTCTTAACCGTTGATTGAAAAATCAGCCCTAAGTAAGTTAGCTTATTTGACACATACATATGTATAAAAACCGATTTCCTAAGGAAATTACCTCGAATTATCTGTCGTTTAGGTAAAAAGAAATTTAATTAGACATGTTGGAAACAGACATAATACTTTCAAACTCATCGTCATAATTATTTTATCAGCCACTGGACGTCCACTACTAAACATAATGGGGCATGGGGCGGAACGAAATGGGGGAATGGGGGACTCCCCCAATGACTTCCAGATAGGCCGGTTGGAAGCGACCAGCATCCAGCATCTCCCTGTGTGAACTCAAACTCACATGTAAATCTTGTATTAACATAAAACAATAAAGTTTAAAGTAGGTCATTGTCGGTACCGAATATTTTGAACTCTTATTTTATTCACCATCATTTTGTTCGCAATTAAAAGCCTGGTTTTGCTGAAATACAGGTCTGAATAAAACGCAAAGAACTTTCCATTGCGTCCCGTAAAGCGGTATTAGAGATTTCAATAACACAAATTGTGGGAAGTTTTAGATTCCAAACAGTATTGGTAGTATTATCTTACGGTGTGTTCAGAACTAGAGAATGTGCCGTGAATGTAATGAACGCAAATGGACGATGTCACGTCAGATGGACGATAAAAAATTGACGCAATATTATATTATGTTTACAATTTATCTACATAACCTCAATTTACGTGCTTGATTTGCCTGTGATTTTATTAACACTTAAGATAACTTAACAGTATCGTTACAACTTACATGAGCATTTATTTACCAGATTAACAACGACTGGACAAGAGCACTCTCAAATAAAGATGATACATCTCTAATAAACTCTCATTACCAATCCACTTGCAAGGGCCAAAAGATTATGGTAAACCCTAGAGGGCACCGTAGAGTGGCCAGACAGGCGTAGAGACTCTACGTAAAGAGCCTCTTCTACATAACAATGAAATTTGCCAAGCCATTGATGTTGATTCATTTACTAATACTATAGTACTGTAATTCAAACTTAATAACAAACAAAACCTAATGACAAACTGTGAAGGAAAACATTGTGAGGAAACCTGGACTTATAACTTCTAATTATAAGTTTGAAATCGCCAACCCGCATTGAACAAGCGTGGTGATTAATGCTCAAACCTTCGACGTGTGCAAACAGGCTTTGCTCAACAGTGGGCATTTATAGACTGTTGATGATGATGATGAACAAATAAAACTAAACTGAATTTCCTCTCTTCCAGGTTGAAGCCTATCATCAGAGCGGCAGTATTGGTCCAGCCGCGAGCGTAATGTTCCCAAGCTAACAATGGGGGTTACCGACGATTTAGCCCCTAGCTTCACGCAGAAGCCACAGCTGCGACAGGAAGACGATGGCAACAAACTCGTCTTCGAATGCCAGCTGGTCGCATCGCCTAAACCGGAGATATGCTGGTTTAGGAGCGATGAACTGCTCAAAGAAGATAATAGGACCAAGTTCAAGTGAGTTATCTGTTCTATAATGAATACACGTTTTAATTGTGTCTATACTTTATTCAAGTGATGGAAAAAAATTAAGAATAATCATAAAAAGTAGGAGTGAAATAGGAAAATTGCAAGAGAAGCTAATACACGGTGTGCCTACAGTCAACACAAACTATTATTTTCAGTGGTTAGTTTTTAAACTTACCAGTTAAGTTCAAAATAACTACGTCTCATGTTCTTTCCTTAATAGATAGTGGCTATCCAAAGCCTGAGAAGATTCAAACAAAGTGCTGTCGTTCTTTTAAACATTTTGTAGTTCGGGTCACAATGTCTACACTCGTGTTAAACTCAGCCACTATTACAATGAGATTAGTAACAACATAATATCACGCCTTTTATCCCCAAAGGGGTAGGCAGAGGTGCACATTATGCCACTGTACACAATGTAACACCTACTTTTCACTATTTATGTTATGAGTCCCATGTAATAGGGGGTGAGCCTATTGCCATATTCGAGCACAATTTCAGACTCCGTGCTTCTACTGAGAATTTTTTTAAAACCCTGTAATACTTTGTCCAACTCGGGAATCGAACCCGAGACCCCTTGCCCGGCAGTCGCACTTGCGACCACTCGGCCAACGAGGCAGTCTTTAATATTCTACATTTATCTAATTAGTATATCTAATTATTTAGTTACAAATTAATATGAATTGTAGGTATTCTTTTACTAAAACGTCTATCGGCTAATACTAAGACGAATACTCTTGATACAAGTCTTATTTTACATTTACGTAGGTGATATGTAGAATAATAATCGATCCCTGTCTTCAATCTGAACAATAAATATGTATAAGACGCGAAAAACAACATGAATGAAAGCTATTCTAAAATTGACGTCGAATCAATGTTGCAAATAAATATTTACTTTAGAACATTTTACAGTTGGAAACAATGCCAATGTAATTACTGTTAATACAAATATTTAGATAACTAACAACAAGAAACCGGATGAATTAATTATAATATTATTTATAACAAAACATTTCACTGTATTCAAAGATATTTGAGACGAAAATGTTTATAAGGATAAATTCCTTTATTTTGATTAAGGGGTATTGCATATTTGTTAGTTAAAAAAATAACTGATAATTATTATCAAAACATTCATGACGTCACTTTTGAGTACGATTTATACTCTAAAATGACGTAGCTACCTCCCACTCCTAAACTTTGATCCGTTTTATCTAAGTATTGTTTTCTTATACGACGTGTTTAATATTTTGTCATTACCTAACTGACGGACTAATTAGATTTTTAATTTTCATAACCTGTCAACATCCCTATTGCTACTCAATGTCGTAAAATAAAATACTGGGCCAACGGGACAAGAATTTAAGTATTAATTCTTTCTATCTATAAACATATAATAAAATCGTAGAAAAGTCAAAACTGTACATTGAATATACTTGGAGCGTGATCTACAATCGATACCGAAGCCAAAAATATGGATTTTAGAAGTTTTGTCTGTTTGTCTGTATGTATGTGCGGGATCTCAAAAAGTACTTCAAATATTACATGAATATTACTAACAGATGGGGTCAACATATCGGCTACATATTATACACCCACACATAATACACATCAACTCACTCACTCACATACACACGCACTCACACTACATTGTTACACACCCACAGTAAATACTCACTCATACAATGTTGTCCATTTTCTTTAGTTAAGTAAATACTTTATATTGTTCAATGTCTCCGGGGGTCACCCGGGCCTGGTGATCTGTAACACAGGTTATACCTTTAACAGACACCAGTCTCTTAATTGTAACATATTATATAATTTGTATCCGTAGAGTATTTTTGAGAAAATAAAGATTTTTTTATTATATTATTATTATTATATTATCACGCCATCAAATTACACGTTATCACGTTATCAAACTACCTCTCAAACGCATAAATTCTGCCAGAATATCACAATAAAACTTAACATGGCTTATTGAGAAATGCTATAAAAAGATATTAGTGACAATCTCTCCCAAGATAGATATTACATTATGGTCAGAGACCACATGTCCAAAATCTACTGGGTCAACGGTCGATGTGATTGGCCGTACTGTTTATATGTCTAAAGCATCCCTTTGATGTGATCGAACTGTCATGGCAGTCTGACACACTTGGCAGACTGCGAGAATGTGGTCTATTAATATTTTGATGAGAAATTTGTAATTTCTTGAAGACGATACGATTCTGGCTCATTGTATTGGTATTCTAAAAGTCATGTGATTAAATTTTCCTCAATTTGAAAATCATGTGATTCAGAAATATGTGTTGGATTAGAAATACAGGATGAACCGACTAAATAAATAGGCTGATATCAAATTTATTAATTTTTGTTTTGACTAGTGTTCAATTGCCACTATGCTGGAGCGTATTGGTTGCAAACAGCCAGAAAATAAGTAGATTATAATAATAGCCCTTACTTGTAAATAAGTTGTTTTCCTTCTGCTACTAAAAAATATATAAAAGTGAAATACAAATTCATTGTCATATTATTCTCCTGTATTATGTATGTATATAGATACATTTCCCATAATATTATCAATGTAGTTTAAAAAAATTGTATTACTTACGATATTAGATTATTTCTTAGAAGCACTTTTGATTGCTAAAGATAAAGAGCGCCAATTTGAAATGAGAACATAAAAATAACAACCGCGCAAGTTGTTTGGAAGTGTGTCAGTACATTTACATGAAACACTGACATCGCACCGACATTGAAAAGTATTTCTCGGGAATCGAATCTTTAACAAAACATTACATTTTCCTTGATGCAACAGTGTTTATTATTTATTTTGCAAATGAAAAATCTGATCATTTTCTTGGCCTACATACTGCTAGGTACTAGGAACAACCTTGCCAGTAATAGAATTTAAAAAATAACCTACTTTTAATCGCGTTAATAATAATTGATTCATATAACTGAAACTAGATTGAAAAACATCCATGGGTGGCGCTGATCGCTTACCACCAGGTGATCCATATGCTCGTTAGCCTCCTATTCCATAAAAAAATTAATCTTCAATTCAATTTTGTTCAAGTTTGCTACAGCAAACACAATGTCTTGTCCTTTAATCCGAAGGGGCAAAGGGCATTTATAAATAGGTGACCACTTTTGTGAAGCATTCACACAAACATTATGATATACACCGGCCTAGAATTCTAAACATAATGTTGTCAGAATTAAAATACAGTTAGAGAAAGTCATATTCATCTAATCATTGTTATAATGTATATTTGATAGGCCGACGTTTGCCTACTATCTCGCCTAGTGGTAAGCGATGATGCGGTCTACGATGGATCACGTCATTCTATAAGCAATCTATGTATTCACGCAGGCCTTGAGACACACAGGTTATACAGCCTCTGGCAACGAATTCCACTCCTTAGCAGTAGACACAAGGAAGCTTGATGCGAAACGCTTCGTTTATCTGTATTTACATGATCATGGAAAACTCCTCCTTTAACTCTTTGAGTGCCGTCATTATAGACACAATTAAAGAACAATAGGTTGCGGTCACCGGTGTCCTCGCGGTGTTTGACAGTTTAATATATAACAGATAACTATTTCGGAATGTACAGCTCAGAATCATAAAGAGTTGACCTTAAAACAGTATCGCCAACTTCAAAGTAAAACCACATAAAAGACGTCATCGTAATTTTCATATTTTTATTGCTTTCAAAATATAGTGTCTCTGTGATGGTTCGATGGTATGGTTTTTGAGTGTAGTCCAAGTAATGAAGGAAGACAAACGATTTTAATTATTTTTATTGTTCAAGAAGATTGGCTTATTTATTGCCGTTTCTATAGTACTCTAATTTGCAACAAAACGCGTTATTATTTTCGGTTATTTTTTCTTTTCCGAAATGCAGATAACATCCTGATTTCGCCTCTTTTTATTTACAGTAATATACAATCTAGCAGTATAAGAAAGCTGATACATCCTCAGAATAGTAAATAAAGTGTTCAATGTTAGCCTATTCAATCATGAGATATGTACAAAACATTAGAATTAAAAGTCTTTGTGTTAAGTTCAAACATTATGACCTAAAACCTTTAAATACTGCCTCATTGGCCGAGTCGCAAGTGCATCGGGCAAGGGGTTTACTGGCAAAGTAAAGTATTACTGGGTTTTTTGAATAATTTCCCAGTAGTAGCACGGAGTCCGGAATTGTGCCTGATATATGGTAATAGGATTAGGATCACCCTTATAGTGTATTAAATGAAAAATTAAAGTATAGAGGCATTAAATGCCTTAATTGCACATTAAATTAAATGCACATCAACCTACTCCTTCGGGGATAAAAGACTTGAAGATGTGTTATGTTATAAAAGTTATCTTTGAATATAAACTTTTATAACTAGGCAGTCAGTTTGCAAAATACATGGAAACATAACATACATGTTTATGTCTTTATTAATATATTTGTCAATGTCAAACGTAATATTCAAATACAATATTTATTTACAGTTACCTAATAACTATAATGCGTTGTCTGTTTGAAACCCCAAGGAAAATAGACCGTAAACTAGATTTTATGAGCTAACAATTCGAAGAAGCTCGATAGGTGTAACATAATATTATCCTCATGTATTATAAAGCAAAACATACAGTTTTTTTTTTGAGAGGAAAAAATTATCCAATTTGTTCTCCCGCCCAGGTGAAGCGAGAGGGAGTGTCAGACTCTTACTGACTAAAAACTACCCCGTTCTTACTCTTGCACTTCGAACTGGAGCCCCGGTAACCCGTTAAGCCCTCCGCGGCATCGTGTTATTAGCGCTATTGGGTCCCATTTGTGGTGGTCTGATAGCTCCTTGAGACGCGCGGACTCCTTGAGACGTGCACTGTACGCTTGGGTCTGATTCCGGTCGGACGGCGAGTGGCTAACTTGCCGTCCGCAGGCCCGTGCTTACGGAGGCCGGTAATCATCACGCGATCCCCGATGCCCGGAGTATCTCTTGCGACGGCTAGGGCGTGAGGAGGTCTGTTCCCTCACGCGCACCGCCTCCTCCTTAGCTAGCATTAAAAATATAGGGTAGCAGGTGTTTCTTACTTAACACCTATCTTTTATCAGTTACCTATGTCAAGAGTCCTATGGTATTAAGAGTTAAAGTATCATCATCATCATCATTTATATCAGCCACAAGCCATCCACTGCTGAACATAGGCCTTCCTTAATGACTTCCAAATAGACCTATCACCATTCCAGACAATTAACGCACATTAGGTTTTCTCCTGTGTCATGGGTGCGTTTACAAACATACAAGTTCACATACACATGACACCCAGACCTGGAACAACAATCTGTGGATCACACAAAGAGTTGTTCCGTGCGGGAATCGAATTCCCGTTACGTTGCGCGACAGCCGGCCACTGCGCCAACCGTGTAGTCAATTGCAGGCTCTGTGCAATGGAGAATGTGCATAGGACGTTGTGCTATGACGTCACAGTACAATGTTAATTTTGTATGAAAAGTGCAACTCATTGGAACTTTCAACGCAAATTATTAGACCAGGGTGCTTACTCTTGAAACCAATCTCAATGTCAATGCAATTTCAACTTAAGAAAATCTCAATAATGATTCAATATAAAAACTATTTAAATAACATTCAGAGTAAAGAATATAAAGCCAAACTCGATACCACTTAGTTCATTCAATATCCACGCAATACAGATGCAATGGGCGCTAGTGTTGCAGCTCGAGATCGATCGATCGATCGGAATTGGATTCAAGAGTAAGCCCCCAGTTTTGATTGAACACCAAAACTAATTATACACTATACTGTTCAATTCATAACATTGAGGGCTTCATAGTTAAATTATGAAAAATATATCTAGAAACGTGAATATTCTTCATTCTAATACTAACAGAACCCGAGCCACTTTGCTCGCCAGTGTTCTCTCTACCAACAAGATAAACTATTATGTAAACAGCGCATTCAATTTGTGTAATAATAAGCAATGCAAAATTCTTATATAATTCAGTTTCGTATTAAACCTTAGAACCGGTAATAAGTTAGAGCTGTTTAGAAATACTTCTGCTGACCCAATTCTGTAATCCAGTCCGACTGTGGACCATATTACATCGTGAGCTATTTTCATGCATCCCACTGGGTACAGAGTTTTTAATGATACATTTTCGCTGGTTCAGTTGCTGCTCATTAGTAATCGTGGTTATTAGTTTTGGTGCAAAAATGCATTACCTAATAATAATTGATTTAGTGTAATGAAGGTCAGTCCTCTTGTCGATGCCTTTGGATAATAACAGTCTGGTATTTCAGAATTACATATGTACCGCATAACAATGTAGCGATGCCAGAATCGCTATATGAAAGTACCATGTGTTAGGTGTCCAATGACCTTAAAAGCGTACTTTCTCTGCTAAATGCGTAGTTCCTTAACAGTGATCTCTGAGAACCCATACCTAAGTATCATGGGCCTCAAAGAGTCATCAGACCACCACGGATGGGACTCAATAGGGCTGATGCCGATACAGAGCCGCGGAGAACGTAAAAGATTACCGGGATTCCGGCTCGAAGTGCAGGAGTAGGAACGGTGTGGTTTTAAGTCAGTAAGAGTCTGAGACACCCACCCGCTTCACGCAGGCGGGAGAAGAGATTTGATGATTTTCCCCCCTTCAAAAAAATACGTATCTATAATATCTTTAAATTAAACCTCGACAAAATAATGCCTTATTCGACAAAGATATCTAATATGTCAACTGGTGGTTTACGGTTCAGTTTGCAATAATTATTTTACATATAAACAACATCCACCTAATAAATTTTAATACTGATTTTACTATAACTATCTGACAGTTAAATTTATCAGGGACCTCTGCATTTAGTTTAGTTTTAAGATACAGTAAACATAACGTTGAAGGTTATATTTTATGTACCAGTTGTAAATTAGAAGTTTAGGCAACGCGTTATTTTATATTTACCATTTGGCAGGTAATTACTGCATTGAAAATTCCGATTTTAATTACTATTGGCGGTTTATGTTTTAATGAAATATGACTTATTTTTTTGTAAAATTATATGTGGTACTCTCTGATATACTTGAATCATTTACACTGTACCTATCTCTAATCGGCCTGCCGTTATGGCAAACTCTGTCGTGTGTAGGAAGCCCTTAATCAGTGGTTGTTGATGGTTGATACTAATTTCTAATTAACTAATCTTAACTGTAAGGGGGAGACCGTTGTCCAGCAGTGACTGTCTTTCGGCTGTTGATGATGAATCTTAATTTTTTTTTGTTGGTTCGACTTATTACATAAATGCTGCTCATTGATTATAATACCTCTAAGATAGAAAAGCAGGCTGGTTGGGTTTTTACAAAACAATTCGTTCGTTATAAATAATAATTCGTTCGTTAATCTCGCTAAAACTCGAAAACAGCTGACCCAATTTGGCTAATTTTGATCTTGAAATGTTCATCGAAGTCCAGGGAAGGTTTAAAAGGTGAGTAAAACATTGTAGGCGGAACGAAGTTTGACGAGTCAGTAGTTATTTCGGGTCGGCAGTTGTTAATGAATAGTACTTTGAAAAATCTTATTTTTCTCTTGACAAGCATTATGGCTACCTATCTTATATACATGAGAACCGGTTATATTTTAAAAGATGCCATAAAACAGGCATCTTAGACGAAGATTGGCGTCTTTTATAAATTAAATATGAACTACAGGAAATGCGTCATTTTATTGCAATAATTTGGCAGGTGTTGATCGCCATGTTTAAAATTCTTTTATTAATTGCGATTGGCGGTAAAAATTATATACATAACAACACCTTTTATCCCCGAAGGGGTAGGCAAAGGTGCACATTACGGCACTTAATGCTAGTGTACAATGTTACACCCACATTCACTATTTATGTTATGAGTCCCATGTAATAAGGGGTGAGCCTATTGCCATTTACCGGCCACAGTTCCAGACTCTGTGTTACTGAGATTTTTTTTAAAACCCAGTAATACTTTGCCCGACCCGGGAATCGAACCCGAGACCCATTGCCCGCACAGAAATATTATATATTTATACATTAATATATCTGTGCTTGCCCGGTAGGCGCACTTGCGACCACTCGGCCAACGAGGCAATCTTTATAAATTACTTCCATTATATAGATGTAGTATCTTCTAGTATCACACATGCCGCGTTGATTCAATGTAGCTCTGACTATAAGTTTATCTAGAGTCGAGGAAAGTATTACTAACGTTCGAAAATTCTGACTAATAACATACAATTTCAAATCATTTGTCATAATAATATTTGGCATAGAAACAGCCATAAAGGGCTAACCCCTTTAACATGGGCTCCGGCTCGACGTGCAGGAGAAGGAACGGGGTGGTTTTTAGTCAGTAAGACTCTGACACTCCCTCCCGCCTCGCCCAGGCGGGAGCAGTCATTCGATGATTTTCCCCCCCTTAAAAAAAACCCTTTAACATGGGGCTCCTAAATGGCTGTTAAAATCACATACAATATCTTCTTCACTTATGTTTAGAGTCTTACCAAATACATAATTATGAGACAAATAAACAAAGGTGTTAACAGGTAACAGGTGGACCTTTACATTCTACAGACAGTGCCAACTTTGCCATTCGGGGCTTGTGCCCAGTGCCCCCATCCTCAGGACGCCCCGAAGGTCCTACAGTTTCTACGACGGTGATAATTTCTATCTAACGATGATGATGAGACTTCCATTCACTCAATTTCATTCCACTACCCTTTGAAAATTTGAAATTTGTCAGTAAGAGTCTGACACTCCCTCTCGCCTCACTTGGAAGAAGTAATTCAATGATGTTCCCCCCTTAAAAATCCCTTTAAATGATATGATAATAATCTTAATAATTGTTCCAGGATCCAGAGCATCGCCAACAACAAGTTCCTGGTGGTGCTTGAGTTAGATGACGTGATCGAGACCGATGCGGGGCTGTACAAAGTTAAGGCTAAGAATAAGATGGGCGAGGTGGCCGCTTCCATCAACCTTAACTTCAGCCGTAAGTATCCTTCATTAATCATTTGAATTATATGAAGAATACATGTCAAAAGCATTCAAGCATCCTTCTTATTGCTTCCCCTTAGTAGGTTAAAAACGGAATTTGTGATGAGGCTGTATCGACACATGGTACATACATGTCAACGGATGACGTCATAAAAATACTACATCGCACATGCAAAGTTTACATGCAAATTAACATGGATAGAAAATCCCAAACTGTTGGGCAGAAAGCTCGCCAGACACGATCACGCCTGGTCGGAGGATCCTCCTTTTCCGATCTTAGGGAACATTACTCTCTGTTCACTAAAAGATGATACCAGTGGGTTTTGAGGGGCTAGTAAACGACTTTTCTTTGACTTATCACTAATCTTTCATATACTTATGAGTCAGTATCTTGACATCACTATGTACATTTTATATGGCCAATGTCAAACGATCACTCCACAGTTGTAGAAATTAGCTTTTCATAAATAGACGTGTAGGTTTAGGTACCCCAAGCAAACACTGGCATCCCTAACAAACTACATTTTAGTGCCAACATCCTGTTGCAAACAGCAAAACTCGTTCATTAAACTCCTTCATAAGGAAGTGTAACGAATAAAATTAAACTCAATAACAAAGTGGTAGCTACAACGATTCGAAGAAACGAGAGGGAAATTACATTTTAAAAGCTGATGGTGTTGTTACACATGCTTTAAATAACATGCTAAAAGGCGTTCTCTTGAGTATGCTCAAAAATGATAAAACATCGAACGTCTGTCGATTATTCTTTCTTTTCTATTTTAAGGCTTTTTTAAAAAACATTGCCCCAAACTAAGATTCTCTCCTGTGTCGTGGGTGCGTTTACAAACATACAAGTTCACATACACGTGACACCCAAACCCGGAACAATAATCTGTGGATTACAAAAGATTTGTTCCGTGCGGGAATAGAAACCGTAACATGTTGCGCGGCAGCCAGTTGTCCAGCCAACGCGCCAACCATGCAGTCATATTCGCAAACATGCCTAAAATGAGCATGCTAATTTTGAGTTACATTCCGACACATTATTGCCGGAATACTGAAACGTTACTTAATTTTAAGTCGTGCTCAAATATCGTGCCATCTCTGTCATTTTACAAAGAATTTGTAGAGATAGAACTATACTTAAGCACGTCTTAAAATTGAGTAGCGTTTCAGTATTCCGACATATTATTATGTTAATAGGGTAGACGACTAATTTTTATTTTAATGTCCGTCTGATAGATTATTTAAAAACATTAGACACGTATTTTTTATTTTCTCACAGAAACGAATAGTTTCGAAGATATATTGATTTGAAATGTCGCGTGACGTCACTTCTCAGTACATTTTATACTAAGAAATGACGTTTTAGCCCCCACTCCTAAACTTTGATTCGTTTTATCTAAGTATTGTTTTATTATACGACAAAATAAAAAAATACGTGTCTAATATTTTTTCATTACCTAACTTACGGACTAATTATATTTTTAATTTTCATACCCTGTCATCATCCCCATTAGCAAATTGACAGAAGCATGATTTCGTGCTGGAAATTATCATGTGTAACAGTGTACCTTTACTCATCAAAACGTGTCATACGAACACAAACATTGCATCAAACATTTGTCACAATACAATACAATAATCCGTAATTCAATACTGGGCCAATAAAAATACCAACACAAATAACGTTGTTAGTCATGTTCAAAAATAAATGTCTATGAAAAAATTACTGGTGAACGTTAACCCACGCTTGGGTGTTGAGCCAAAGCTGGGTGACTGTCACGTTGGCAACAAAGTCACCAAGATATTGTACTGACGACAATCTACTGACGAAAGTTGTATGTTTCACCTTCATTTGAGAGCATTTCACGCCTTGCAGACACTTTGATGACATTGCAGTCATTCTTAGCTGTGCTTAATGATGCAATCAGCTCTGAAAACGTATTTATGTTAGTATTATTGTTGCTGATACCATTTACGTCTCCTTGAGCAGTTTTAAATATTGTCCAAAAACTCTGGTATAGATTTTGTTAAGTTTTGTGCATAAACATAAGTATTTGTGTAAGTATTCTCCAGAAGTGTAACAATAATTAGACGTCAAATAATAATTAGAATAAGCGAAAATTGTCTTTATGTTCGTCTCAGTGTGTCATTGGCAAAAAAAGACACGATGGAATTACTAAATCAACAGGGTAATAATATTAGGAATCCAGTATTCACAGCACCATTTTGATATATGAACTCACTCTGGGTCCCTCATAAATTAATGTAATAAATATGTCAAAGAAGCAACATGAAAAATCTTGAAACATTATACCAACAGATTGAGAACACTATGTTTTGACAGTTAGACAAACTGTTTACCAAACAAAATCTAGATGCATTTCTTGTACACAAATTCTTTAAAATCTGACTAGAAAATAAACATATAATGTTTTGAAGAATGCATTAAATTTGGCAACGATATTTGTGCAATGAAATTGGATAAATAAACAAAACATTACGACTGATGTCTGAAGTCTAAATATATTCAAAAAAAAAGGTGGGCGGAAAATCGGAAATATCTATGCTAAACAATAGGCACAATAGAATTGCATGAGATTTTGCATTCGATGCTGATCTCGAACATTATTTTTTACTTCTTGTTTTTTTTAATATTTTAAACTTTATAATTATTATTGTAATTCGTATTTCGTAACAGGCTATTTATGTCCATGACACTAAACACATTACTAATGAAAATGAATCTGTACGCAAACAACGACGACAACAACCATACATAACGACGACTAGAGATGCAACGAATAGTTGTTTGGCCGGATACCGGATATTCGGCCTGACCAACAGCGCAATATTCGGTATCAGGCCGCCGAATATTCGGCCGGCAATGTGATGCCTACATTTTGAGTTTCGTAGACGCGTGTCGCGTACCGCCACGGCGATCGCCGTGCAGGTTTTGACTTGTTATTATAAAAAGTTAAAATTGTTTAAAATAATAAAAAAGATTACAACTGTGTCTTTATTTAGATTTCATTTATATAATCACCAAGTTTACTATCCGATATCCGGCTAGATAGTAAATAACGGCCGTATAAGCCGGATACCGGATAGCAACCGAATATTCGGTGCATATCTAACGACGACGACGACAACCCTAAATAACTGTAAATATTTGTGTCAATAATTACTGACTTCATCATCAACAGCCTATAAATGCCCACTGCTGAGCAAAGCCTCTTCTCACACGGAGAAGGTTAGAGCATTAATCACCACGCTTGCTCAATGCGGGTTGGCGATTTCAAACTTATAATTAGAAATTATAAGTCCAGGTTTCCTCACGATGTTTTTCCTTCACCGTTTGTCAGTGGTGTCTAAATAATCTTAGAAAGTACATATAACTCGGAAAAAGTCACATTGGTACTTGCCGTTGGTAGGTTTCGAACCCGCACCCTCATGCATGAGAAGTGGGCGTCTTAAACCTCCGGGCCACCACGACATTACTGACTTCGTTAAGCAATAATAAGCGTGGTGTTATAGATGAACAGACGAGATGTATTTTAAGAATTATCACATCACTAAGAAATTATTTGAATGTTTATGTCTGGAACATGTTTTGCGAATTGTAAACAGTCGCGAGAATATCTGTTGGATACTAGATCTAGAATTTAGATGCTATAAATGATGGTACACGTAATTTTACGATAGTAGTCATATTTTGAATGTAACATAAATCTAATAGATGGACATATATTTTCAATAAATAGGAGTATAACTTGCTAGCTACTTCCGCGCGGTTTCACACGCTCCTATTGGTCGTAGCGTGATGTTTTATAGCCTATAGGCATCCTCGATAAATGCGCTATCCAACACAAAAAGAATTGTTTTTATAATAACTATTGTAGGACATACTAAGTTAAGTAAAATCACGGTTTACTCACGGTATACTGGTATACTGAGAAAAGCTCTACTAGTTTCGAACCACATAGGGGTTTTTCCTCATGAGCAGCGTGCGCGGTCGCGGCGACGTCGGGCAGCTCACTGGTGTTCTCTCACCTCTGTGATTTGAAACTAGTAAAGCTTTTCTTAGTATATTCACGTGAGTAACCCGAGATTTTACTTAACAAAAAGAATTATTCAAATCAGACTTGTAGTTACGAAGATTAACGCGTTCAAACAAACAAACAAAAAAACAAACAAACTCTTCCGCTTTATATAGGCAATAGTATAAGATAATGGCCCACTGCTATCTTGACTTCACAGATGAACTGAAATTATTAAGATAATGAACAGATACTTTTTATCCCTATTGTATTCTATCTGTTTTGTCCCTCTAGTATCCAGCCAGTTAAACACAGACAGTCATTTGCTAGTCTGTATCACTAAATCTTTTAAAGTACTTAATGATGATCATTATTACAGTAACTAATTAATGATTTTTCTGTTTCAGCCGCTGACGAAGAAAAACAGAAGTAAGTATCGAGAAATTTAATAATCTTTTTCACACAAATATTTTTCGAAGTAGAATTTATTTAAAAGTAGTCTTTGATTTGTCACTCAGCCTCCAAATGTAGACATTTGTAATAATTTCACTCTACATTAACTTTTCCAACTATCGATATCTATTGCAATATTTTTGAAGCTATCACGTAAAGTAAAATTATTTTAGTACTTCATCATCATAACATCACACCTTTTTATCCCCGAAGGGGTAGGCAGAGGTGCACATTATGCCACTGTACAATGTAACAACCACTTTTCACTATTTATGTTATGAGTCCCATGTAATAGGGGGTGAGCCTATTGCCATATCCCGGGCACAATTCCAGACTCCGTGCTACTACTGAGATTTTTTTTTAAAAATCCAATAATACTTTGCCCGTCCCGGGAATCGAACCCGAGACCCCTTGCCCGATAGTCGCACTTGCGATCACTCGGCCAACGAGGCAGTCTTTTTTTAGTACTTTTCTTATTTTAGTACTTATTTCCGATATTTTGAATTTTTCAGACAAGTGGACGGTAAAGCGCCAACTTTCGCGCGTAAACCAGCCATCAGACAAGAAGATGATGGCAAGCGGTTAATATTCGAGTGCCGCATTGAAGCTGAACCCCTACCCCAGGTCTCCTGGTTCCACAGTGGCGTGGAAGTCAAACCTGGAGCCAGACATAAGGTTAGTAATGGAAACAATGCTAATGATAACCTTAAGGACCAAAATGATGACACATTAAATCTGATGAGATTGCACTAACATAGAAAATATAATAACGGCAAGTTCTAGAAGACAGTCCATGTTGACTTTCCTCTAATCCATAACATCAATAGTAACGTCTTGAAGAAACTACAAAATGCAATAAGCCAAAAATGAACCCGAAATATTGTTTGGGTTCATTCAGCTTCTATTCATCGTTCTAGAAAAAAATTCCCCAATAGTAACGATCTCACCTGTATTTGAAGTAAGAAATAGAATCTAAGATGACATCTAACTAACTTGCAACCCAGACACTAATGAAAATAAGCAAGAAAATGAGTTTAAATCTAGATCAGATGCAACAGATGACATTGTAAAGAAAGTAAAAATAAACCTGGCTATTATAGATGCTCTAGTTTTAATAGTACTCAGAAATGGCCTTGACCCCATTTGATTTGGCCGGTGACGGTACCAGGTGTCAACTGTCTCGCTCAATGACCTTTTGTCCTAAATTATTTTATTAATAACTTTCTTTTTGATTTTTTACGCAATAACACATAGATTAAAAGTTCAACATTTTTAAACAGATTCTCGCGTAAATGATGCTATAGGTTAAGGCAATGAAGATATTTTTTCCAATGAAATGGATAACCGTTAAGATAAATTCAATGTTAATGTAATTAAAATAAGTTTCTTTTTCAACCAACAGTTAACCGTGAGCAAGGAAGGAAAATCCTATTATGCATCACTTGAAATCAACAACGTAACAGTAGAAGATGCTGGTAAATACAGGGTGACGGCAAAGAACGAACTGGGCGAAAGCAATGCCACAATCAGTTTGAACTTCGATAGTAAGTACATTATAATCCCACATGATCTCCCGTAGAATAAATAAGAACAAAACAATAATAAACCAATTGACAATGATAAAGAAAATAAAAAAGATGATACCGAAGAAAATATAAATAAAAACGAAATTGCAGCAATGTATTATTAAAATTACGCTTCGTATTGTTTAACCAAAGCTATTTTATGGTGTGTATCTAATCCTTTACATGTATTAGTCGTTACTTGTCTGAGTATAAACGTAGATATTGCAGCCAAGCTTGTATAATCATCAACTAATTCCTTCAGAATTCCAGTTACTCTACATAATACACTAGAAAATATTATAATTGGTTATAATGTATTACAGATTAAGATGTTTTCTTAATTCTCTAATTCGATTCTATGAAATTTATCTTATAATCTTACCACAAAATACACTGCACACATAACATCAACTGTTATTACGACACACTCTACACCATACACTATTGCACTTTTAATAAAATTGATATTATTAATTTTACTACTTTTTAAATATTTATATTTATCACTTTCACGTTTCTTATTATCATCACTTTGCAAGTATGCTTTAATAACACTAATCACCCTCGCAATATTTTTGTAGTTAGTATAATGTTGCAGACTCTTCGCTTCAAGCAAATGCACAATTAACAAATTAACTCGAGCAACTGTCATGCGTACTGTTTGTCAGAATGAGAGTAGAATGGAAAATATTATACACGTATAATCCAAATTTTTATTTATTTATGTATTCTATTCGATTTTATTATATCATTTATCTATTTTCTTATACATCCCTCGATTAACTCTGAATGAGCCTGCGTTGCGTATCTTAATACACTAGAAAAGAAAACATCTTAAATCTGATAACAACCGTGTAAAGACAGCTGCAAATCTTCGTCAAACTGGTGACTTTGTAATAATGTGTGCATTGATAAAATAGGCGACGAAGCGCCCGTACCTGAGGACTTTATCAAACCGACATTTACGGAGAGACCAGTCATCAGGCAATCGGATGATGGTACCAAAATCTCATTCGAATGTCGATGTGTTGGCAAACCGAAACCAACCATCACATGGTAAGATGACACACAACAAAATTAAATATAATCCAAAACACAAATACGGTTTTAACACGACCACTTAATGATACAGGTACCATGGTAAAAAGATGATAAAAGAAAGTAGTCGATATAAAATAACGTTAGAAGAGGACCAAACATTATATCACATGGCGCGACTCGAAATCTTAGGCGTTGAGAATTCGGACAGAGGAGAATACAGGGCTGTAGCGAAAAACAAACATGGTGAAGGCGTAGCAAAAATAAACCTAAACTTCGAAGGCGGAGATAAACCAAAGTAAGGACATACACACAACGCTAATGCATTTATAATAGACGTATTAGTTAGGGCTGCTATTTAAATATTTTGTCTTTTGAACAGAATACCCGACGGTAAAGCACCGAGATTCCCTAAAAAGCCGACCATTAGACAGGAAGGCGAAGTACTTATAATGGAATGTATATTAGAAGCATACCCAGCTCCAGACATCACGTGGTTCCACGGAGATAAAGAAATTAGGGATGGTGCAAAAATGAAGATGTCCAGAAAAGCCACCGGAAAAGATACATTTAATTTGACGTTAGAAATTTTAGGCCCCACGCGGGAAGATGGGGGCAATTATAGGTGTAACGCCTTCAACTTGTTTGGCGAGAGCAATGCCAATATTGCTCTCAATTTCCAAGGTAAAGCAGGAAAACAAAACAACTTCATTATTTTTTTTATTTTATAATGTACGCATACAGTAGCATTAGCATGTAAAGCTTTAAGCTTTCGAGCAGCATGAAACTGTGGTCAATGCTCGGTGTTGTAATCAAAATGTTCATATTTCTCAGGTGGGGATGATGAAAATGGTTTCCCACCATCATTCGTGGAGAAACCCCGAATCATTCCCAACGAGGACGGCACACTCATTACGATGCGTTGTGTCTGCAAAGCAAAGCCGGCGGCCGAAGTCACGTGGTACAGAGGCACGACCGTCATCAAGGCTAGTAGTAAAATCGAAATCAAATCATCCGATATGGGTGAAGACGTTTATGAGTTATTGTTGCTTTTGACAAACCCGACGGCAGCGGATGGTGGCTCTTACCGCTGTCACGTCAAAAACGAATTTGGCGAAAGCAACGCTAATCTCAACCTGAACATTGAGGCTGAACCAGAACCGGAAGGTGAAGGCCCGACATTCGTCGAGAAGCCAACGATTCAGTCCAAGGACAATGGCAAATTAGTTATAATGGGATGCAAGGTCAAAGCTAGCCCGCGACCGACGATCGTGTGGTACCACGAGGGTAAAGAAATCAGGGACTCGTCGAAAATTAAGACCAGGGTTGAGGTCCACGAGGACGTGTACACAATCATATTAGAACTTATCGATCCTGGTATTGAAGACTCCGGATTGTATAAATGCAACATTAAAAATGAACTTGGAGAGCTCAATGCGAATCTTACGCTCAATATTGAAAGTAAGTATCTGTTCAAGATGAAACAGTTCACCGTTTACTTGATCAGAGCACCATTATAACATTTATATTTTTATGTTCACAGTCATTCCAGTTATCAAAGAGAAACCAAAGATCATTAAGATAGTTAAGAAGAAGACTGTTATTGTTGAATGTAAAGTATTAAGTAAATTTGCACCTGCATGCACATGGTTCAAGGAAAATACTGCTGTCAAAGAAGGCTCTAGGCATACTGTGCTTATTGAGCCAAGCAGAGAAGTAAGTCCCGCATCTACAACTAAGAAATCTTAAGTAATAATTAACTTTACGATAATTCTCATAACAATTTCTATTTGTCTAATTACAGGGCGAATTCACAGTCAAATTGGAAATCTCAAACGTGTCACAAGTGGACAAAGGTTCATACAAACTGGTGGCCAAGAACGAGAAGGGAGAGGCGACATCACAGGTCGTCGAGATCTCAGACATCCCAGAAGAAAAGGGTGACAAACCACAGATCATTAAACATCTTAGGAGCTTGGTAAGTTTAAGATAATAACATAAACATAATTTATTTAAGTTATTTATAGTCAACAATTTGGTACATAGACACTAATCTATCGTTCAAAACCAAAATTATTTTTTCCTTTTACTATCTTTATGAACCAAGGGTAAAATAAGAATATAATGTTGTATGTTATAATTTTAAAAATAAATAATGACACTTTAACCACAAAGGACCTAATAAAGATTTTTGTAATATTCCACAGGCCCGCAAAGAAAACGAGGAAGCCGAATTTGTGGCTGTCCTGAAGACGTCAGACCAGTCGTGCAGATGCACGTGGTACAAGAACTCGACAGTCATCAGAGACTCCTCGGAAGTGAATACATCGTTCGATGGCACCAACGCCAGGCTGATTATCAGGAAGGTGTCCACTAAATACGTCGCTAACTACAGAGTGGTGATCAAGAACGAATACGGAGAAGACGAGTCCAGTGCAGACTTGACTATTGTTGAGGAAAAGGTAAAAAAATATATTATTTTCGATAAAAATATGGAGCTTTTGATAATAGAAATAATAATTATTTACTAGTCTAAAATATAAAGTACTGTTTATAATGTTGTATTTTCGAATAATACAGTACAATAGTTAACCAACGTTGTCGTCACAAATATTAATTTATCGCAAACTAATTTCAGAAAAAGAAAAAGGAGGAAGAGGAAGAAGAGACGACTGTCATTGAGGAGTCTGAAGAAGAAATGTCGATAGTGGAGGAGAAATCCATTATTGAAGAAAATCACGTCGAAGAGAAAAAGAAGGTAAGTTGTGTTTTAGCCTTTACTAACTCGTACACAATGAACAGGTGTTAGATAAAGCATTTTATTGAAGACCACGTTATAGTGTCATTTTAACTTAATGAAACAATAATCGTGTTTTAAAGGAGGAAGAAAAGAAATCTGTAAGAAAGATGTCACAGAAAGAAGAAGTTAAAGTAGAACAAAAGAAAGAAGAAGTTTCGATTGAAGCAAAGAAAACAGAATCTAAAGTCGAAGCCAAGAAAACTGAAAGCAAAGTTGAAGCCAAGAAAACTGAATCAAAGATTCAGGAAACCAAAAAGGCTGAACTTGAAGCTGAAGAAACTAAAAAGATATTCGAGAAGAGGCTTTCAAAATCTGAAGAAGAAAAGAAAGCGCTTCTTGAAAAACTTGAAAAGAAGAAACCTGAACCTGAACCGGAAAAGAAAATTGAAGGCATTCCAAAACTTAGGCCCACTAAGCCTAAGGAAGAACCAGTTGAGGAAAAGAAAGAAGAAGTTAAGAAGAAGACCGAAGAAAAGAAAAAGGTGGTTAAGAAGAAGGTCGTCGCTAAAAAGGAAGAGGTAAGTGGGGTGATTGTTGTTTATTGAGCTATGTAAAAAGCTTATATGAGTACACAAAATGTATCTAACTTCTTGTTTCTTAAGTAGAATCTAGAAGAGCAAATTTTGGAAGATTAGTTATAAATAAACTGTAACTAATTGGTCGTCATTTCATAGGCATATACAATCCAACCTTATGGTCATTATATTCATATGGAATTCTTTTCCAAGCTGGGAACGAATTTCTAGACAATATTCTGCAGTTGGAAAAGAATTCAGACTTGAGACATAAGTAAAACATTTCTCATACCTCATTGATACTTCAATTTCCTGGTTAAAAAGTCTTCCATGTGGTTGGATAAAAAATATATGAAATATGTACTTTATCGCATTAATATAGGAATCTAGAACGTGATAACTCATTTTATCTGTCGTGTGTGTTGTGATAACTAGATGTGCTAAACTTTATTTGGATATAGGACGAAATCGAGTTCGTCGATGATTACGAGAGACCTGTTTTGGAGAAATATGAAAAGATTACACCGACGCCGCTTGATAAAAAAGCTAAAGAGGATCACACACCAAAGGTAAACACTCATTACACTATACATACACTTACACCTACAATCAACAAAAATAAAGTATTTAATGAATTGAAAATTAATAACGTAAATATTTAGGGTAAACGCGCATCTATTGCGGAAAGCGTTAAAAGTGAACAAGATAGTGAGGAGGAACCGTCAGTGGCAGCACCTGCTCCTGAGAAAAAACCTAAAGTTGAACCTGCTAAGGTATACCGCATTATACTTTTACTTACCTAATAATTTTATTCATTTTATATTAATTCCAAATTATCTTGCGTATAAACCTATAATAAATTGATAAATTGGGGGCCTAGGTTGAAGAAGAAAAGACTGAACCACCAAAGCGGCCTAGTATCAAAAAGGGTGTACCAAAACCAGAGGAGCCTGTTGACGAGTTATCTAAAGTTAAACTCGGCAAGGCTCCTTCTAAACCAGAAGAAACTAAACTCGAGGAACCACAGGTTGCAAAGACCAAAAAACCGGTTAAGAAGGTAATTTATACAAAATCATAGATAAAAGACATTTCTTTATTTGCTAAATCAACGGATACTAATGCAATATTTTTCTAAAGCCGGAGGAAGCCGAATTCGTGGATGATTACGAAAGGCCTGACCTCGAAAAATACGACAAAGTGACTCCAACTCCGTCAGATAGGACCAAAAAACAAAATGGGGTTGATGAGGTATTCTTAGTACTTATTTACATAACTATGTTACATATTCTTTAAATACATTACAATACTTATTCTTTAAAAATCGTTAAGGAAAGGTTTAGTTCATTTAAATAATTCTTATAGGCTGAACCAGAATTTGTCGACGATTATGAAAAACCAGAACTTGAGAAATATGAAAAGATTACTCCTACACCTAAGGACAAACGTCGTCCTAGTGATACTGAGGTAAAACATAAACTTAAAATTGTACCAATTGAATAAAATAAAGCAAATATAGGAACACTTATCAATCATATGTATTTTTAATAGGATGATGTAGACATGATGAAGGGCAAAATTAAACCAAAAGAAAAAGAACCAGAACCTGAAGTGCCTACACTGCGCAAACGGCCTGTCCAGAAGGACAAGGTAAACAATATTTCAATTCTATTCACTAAAAATCGTTTGCCAAGTGTAGGAACTAAAAATGATAAATAAATTTTCATAATAGGAGGAGGAGAAACAGCCTGAGGAGAAACCAAAGGCTAAACCTAAGAAAAAAGACGAACCTGAAGCTAAAAAGCGTCCTTCTCTTAAAGAGAAAGAGGTATACACACTTAACACAAACACTTCACATTTAACAGTTTGGTAGCTCGAAATAACGAGTTTGAATATCGCGACAATCTTTCACATAACAACACACTAAACTTCAAAAGCAAAGTTTTTCAAATACCACGCTATAATCCTCTATCGCGGCAAAATTTTGTTTTCAGCAATTTACAGATCTTGTAACCCAAAAAAAACAGTAAGTAAGCTTTGGCTGCATGGCAAAAACTGTAAAGCTTCGCTTCTCTATGTTTAAAGTATAATTTTAAGTCTAAGCATTTACAGCGCTGCTGCCGAGAAGCTTCGATTAATTACATTAGTATTGTGATCTTAAAATTGTTGTACTAGGTTATTGGGTACTACATACAAATTGACAAACACTGGACGCAAATTGGAGTCTTCACCTTATTTTCAACTCTTCGCTTCTTTACTAATAGATAACATTTTAATGTACACAAAACTGATATATTCATACATTTAAAGGTCGCTGTCGAGGAGTTTGTCGACGATTACGAGAGGCCAGTACTCGAGAAATACGAGAAAATCACACCTACACCTATTGAGAAAAAGAAAAAGGTACACTACACAACACATTACAATCTCGCTTAAATAGATTTGCTATGACACAGACAATGTTGTATTTGTAACATGTAATAAAAATGTTTAGGAAGAGAAACAGCCTGAGGAAGAAGTACCCTCAGCCACAGCTACTGCTAGACGACGATCTGTCAAAGACAAAGATAAGCCAGAGGTAGGAAGCATTCCAACTAATACACTTTCACAGTTTAATACATATTTGCAACACAAACTAAACTACAAACATTTCTTTAGCCTATGGATGTTGACGAGAGCGTCAGCCTATCCAAGCCAAAGGCACCGTTCAAACCTGGCAAGGAGCCTGAAGATGTTTCACTTACACACAAAACACCAGCTGAAATTAAACCTACGGTTCGTACATTTTATCTTTTTCACACAATTGGTATACAAATTACAATAATTAAAGTAATTTTAATAATTATAATCAATACTATGTAGGAGGACCAGGCTGAAGCTAAGCTCAGTGTTAAAAAACCAGAAATTGTCGAGGAAAAAACTCTTAAGAGACCGACACCTAAGGATAAGAAGGACAAAGAAGACAAGGTAAAGTTCGAACGATAAATAACGTCAATTCATTTTAAGATATTCCATCCAAATATTTTGAACAAAAATACTTAATTATCAGAATTATATTGCAGTTTAATGATGCTCAAAAAACTTCAATTATAAATAATTCACAGACCGGGTTGATTGGACCAATCAACACTAATATTCCACCTTTATCAAGTGATAATGGTGCTCCTACAGTTTTAAAGCGAATATTAATTCTAGTTAAGGTACCATAATAGATTGCAACAACGAAATAGAAAAACGCACTTTATTTTAATTTAAAACCACTATGTATTGGAATGTAATTTAGGCACATGACACAATTTCACTGAACACTTATTTTTCTACTAAGATTTTGAAACAAATAGTTATGTTTTTTTAGAAATAGAGATGATTCTATCACTTGATTGAATGGTTTGGTTTGAAGTGATAGGATCGGCTCTGATAAAGATATTATCACTTTGAACTAACATGTCAATGAGATGTATAATACAAATGTGTTTGGTGGGTAGCCTGAGGACACTGAAGAAGCTGTCAGTATAACCAAACCTAAGACAAGCACCACTGCTCCTGAAGAAGCACAACTTACACAAAAGACACCTGCTAGGAGAAAGCTAACGGTACAGTCACTTATAGTACTCTTTTTAATTATCTCAGTGATTCCCAAATATTTAATTATTTTGATTATGTACATGTTCACTTCTTATTTTATCACAGCATTCTACGTTTTGTATTCGACAAACAATGCTGGTAAAACTAAAACATTTTAGCAAAAAAATTAAAAAAGTTCGAATGAAACTCGCAAGTCGGTAACAACTGCAACTGGTAAGCAAAGAATCTCGAGTTCAATTCTCGAGTCAACCAAATATTATTTGAATTTTCGAATTCTAATTTGTTAATAAGTAAAACTCTGTAATACCCATGAGTCTACAATTGTACCCAGACAATGGACTGGTCTCCTATTCTGTTTTACCCAAAAAAAAAACTACTAGTGAAAAATTACACATTAAATATGTGGAACAAATCCTGTGACCTGAACAAGTCAGGCTATAAGTTATGTTACAAATTAACTATAAGGTGACGTTTCTGGTCCATATTTTAAATGCAATAATATAAAAATCCATAGGAGGGTACTGAGGCAGCACAGTTGAAAGTCAAAAAACCTGCTGTCGTTAAAAAGGATAAGGAAGACGAGGATCAGGTAGAGAGGACCACGCTTAAGTGCAATGTAGATAGACTACTGAAACTGTTGTTGTAGTCTTTTTTATAGTTCTAGCTAGACGTATACTGAGATAGTTAGAAAACATACACTAATGTTTTGTAGTTAGTCTAATACAATGGATACTCTCTTGATCTATTTCCGTACCACTACACCTTCTGAGACAGTTAATGTAGTGTTACGGCCAAACGACCATTTCTCTTCTTCTATAAATCTTGCGAAGTAAATGAAATTACTTTAGCATCTCTTAAATCTATTAGTCTTCTTAAAATAATGAATGATTGAGAGGAAGTCCACTGTAGCATGCGAGTATTTCCATAGTTTTCAACAAAGTACACACTAATGCAATAGTTGTGCACCTCAAACTGCGCTTTTGTTCTAGATTATCCATTAAACCTTAATTAATTCTTTAGGACCCAATCGTAGTAAAAGGTGGTAAATTTGAGAAACCCCAGCTCAAGAAAACAGTTGTTAAGAAGCCAACAGAACAGCCTAAACGAGCTGTTGTCGCTGAGCAAGAGAGTGACGATGACGAACTTGTCTTTAAACCCAAAGATCCGGTGGTAAAAACTGTTTCAAAAGTTATACTTCGTGACGTCCACTTTCTATCTCTTTCTGTCTATCCGCAATCTGTTACACTTCTTGTTATGTCCAGTTTCAAGCACAGACCTTAGTCCACAACTAATCACAAATGCACAAACTTGTTGGCACATGCCTCACTACACCCTGTTCTAGATTTCAAGGAGTTATGGGTTCTACGTCGTTGTACAAAGGTTTGGTTGCAGATCGCATGTTGCTTGTAATACGCTTTATATGTAGTTTCTTTTACAGGTTTATCTAATACGTTTGCTACTGGTCTTTGGACGAGGCAATTTAGATATCTTTATGTTTTTACTTGCCTTGTACGAGATGTAGTTTATTTCGTAGTCTTCACGCACCAATGCAATTGTCACATAAATAGTTCTACTAATTTCTTTCTCATTGCCAAAAACTTTTAAATTATTACAAGTATGCAGACGTATTAAATTTTCTTCTTTGTTTATTTGTTTGTTTGTATGTGTAAAATTTAAAGCTTCTATGTTCCAATTTATGTGTCATTAAAATCGAAATTCAATATCAAAACTTCAAGACCACCAAACCAAAGTAAAATGAGGCAAGTATAGAAAAGCTGATTATGGACTGGCAAGATACTAATGCAACTTTAAATATTACAGATTGAACTCGACTTTGTCGATGATTACGAAAGACCAGTACTTGAAAAGTACGAAAAGATTACACCTACTCCCACAGTACGGGAGAAGAAAGAAAAGGAAGCTACTAAGGTAAGCAATTCAAAGTATTATAGAGACTAAAGTAGCGCAAAGAAGACTCTAACTTATAAAAAATAAGTAAGTTTATGGATTGATCATGATAAAGTATATTTGAATAAAACAGGTGACGATGATCGCCCAACAAGCTCACCATCTTGAAGTAAAGGTATAAAACGTACATGTATGAGAGTGATCCCTGTCTGTTCAAATGTTTACCACTACAGTCAAACAGAAACGAAACACTCCACAAACCTTTTGGCACCTTTACAACAATATTCAAGGACTCAAAATTGGTCCAATTTGTATTTTAACTCATGTATTGTCACAATTTGTTTCGGATAAATGCTCTAAGTGACCTAATTTGTTTTCAAAATTCTAAATATTGAACACATTATTAAGTCCTACATTTTAATATGTATGTACATCTGTATTTTTTTCAAAATTCACATTACAATCACACAGTGGTAAATCCAATCAATTGTGTTCTAATCATTTTGTTACATGTTTTACAAAACAAATGTGTGTAACAAACCCTTGAATCGTCCTTAATTTATTTCCATATGGCGTTTATTCCCATTTGTAAATATCGTTTTTGAAAATCCTCTGTTCGTCCATTTTGTCCTTTTTATTGTCATCTGTATATTTTTGTCTTGTATCACTATCCCGAAGTTATTTCTGTGCTAATAAGAAATGTTGTTTTGTTCCCTTTAGACCGAAAGCCGAAGGACATCGTTCCAAAGCGAGGTTTGTATTGTCTAAAGCAATGCTTAATTTTGCTAGTAAGTCAATAGATAATTTTAATTGTTTTTATGAAGTCTGCATTTTCTGCTATTGTATCGAAAATTGTGCTTTTGAACTATAGTCTTATGAATACTTATTCTTTAGGTCAAAGAAGAAACCAAATCGGAGAGCCGTCGAAGCTCCATCATTGAGAACAAAGCTGTTAAGGTAAGAAATTAAAAAGATCTGAAACATTTAAATGTATATAGATACTTATTTTGTCAGAAATATAGAATTATTACATGAAGGTAATAGATAGTTGTCGCCAAAATGATGTAAAGATGTCTTAAGATCCAGAATAACATTTAGCGTGTGATTTTGGTCTTCATTTAATTTAAGTAATCACAATTAAAGAAGGATTAGAAACAAATTTACTTTAACTACATAAGTAAAATATCAAAATAATAATTATTAATTTATAATTAATTCTATCGCAACAGCAACTTACAAAGGAAACTGCAGAAAGCAGAAAATCATCAATTTCATCTGTCGCTGAACAACAAGAAGTTACTGCTTTGAAAAAGACTGCTCAAAAGGTAAGTCATAGACTAAACACAGATAATATTGATCATAATTTTAATAGGATCATGAAATATCTTCATGAGAAATTACCATTGATGGATGGTCATCATTAAAGTGAAATAAATTATAGCTAAGCAATACCCTTGCAGCTGAGCAAAGTTCCTAAAGTGTAGTTTTTAAAGTAGACATAGTAGATACCCCGAGTGTCTTAGAAGTAAAAGTTGATGCTGATCCTACAATGCTTTTAGTAGTAAGACAGTATACTGCAAATACCCCTAAGCTTAAGTAGCTAGATAATGAGACTGGAGTTGATTTTAAAGATGTTGTAGACTATAATTCCTTTCCAACCAAATACAAGATTGGCAATGATTTGTATATAAAATTCAACAATATGTCTGTTGAATCCTAAATGCCGAAGAGACTGGCTTAAAAAGCCATGGTGTTAAGCATCCCCTATTCCCGCTTAATCATATCCTCATTAACTTGTCATTTTAGAGCACACTAAAGGTGGCAGAAGCGGCCGAAATGGAACAAGTTAAACTTAAGGTAAGTTTCATATTAAGCACCATGCATGTCCATAGAACAAGTACAAGTTTCAAAACTATGGAAAAAATAAATGTCATTATTTTGTCTTTTGTACATACAAATTCTTTTGAACTTCAAACGATCAACAGACGATTGTTTGATTATTGTGTGTCAGTAAATAACTACGTGGATAATAACATAATTGTATAAAATGTTGTAACTACTTTACGAAGGGACGTCAATAATATAGTACTCGTGCAAGATACTGAACGATTTATTTTTGTAAATAGGAAGTGAAAGGGAACGTAGAAGATACGGTAACGACTGATAAGCCTTCAGATAAAACATATCCATGGCGACCTACGAAAACAGACACTCAGGTATATACATACATTCATACACATACACACACACACACACATTAAAATCAAAGTAAATAAGCGTACTGATTTATTTGCGTGTATTATGTAGGAACCTACTGAAACTGAGGAACCAAAACGTAAGGATAGCCTAAAGAAGCCTACCGATACATCAGTACCAAAACGTCGTGAAAACGATACTGAGGTAAATTATTGAAGCATATAATTAGATAAAACAATTTTAACTACAATTTTCTTAGACAAAAAATATTAATTAAAAAGTTATCGAACAGGACACTGAAGATATCGAAGAGGTTGAGGAAAAAACTGAGACTAAACGTAAAGCTTCTGTCGATAAGCCTAAAGAACCGGTTAGGCGTCGACCCAGCAAACCTGATGAGGTAGATTCAATTAAATTTACATTCATAAAACAATTTACCTTAGTAACTTTTATTAAATTAATAGGATTTTACATATTTAATAACAAATTTCATAAATGACAGGATAAAGAAAATAAGAAGAAACCTGAGAAGGTTGATAAGACTGATAGTAAAAGAAAGGCATCAGTTGATAAACCTACTGAGCCTAAAAGAAAGCCGAATAACATTGACGAGGTAGATATTAAACTTAATAAAGCATTTTATATCGATTTTCTTACAACTGACGATAGTTCTCTTAATAATAATCAAACCATTTTAATACAGGATAAGGAAAATATTGATACCGAAATCACAGAAAACCAAAATAAACGAAAGGTTTCAATTGATCGTCCCACCGAACCAACTTATCCGTGGCGTAAGCCCAGTAATGCTGATGAGGTATTTACATACTTTCCAAACTTAGTACCTTATTTTAAGAATTTTTTTATTATAGATCCCAATTAATATATAAATATTTGGAACAGGATCAGGTAGAATCGCAAAAGACAGAGGTTAAGAGGAAGCCTTCAATTGATAGGCCTACAGAACCGACTTATCCATGGCGTCGTCCTAGTCATGTAGATGAGGTAGAACCTGTTCTTAATCATTCCTTTAAGGTTCAATTTCATTAAACTGTGTCTAATGTAAATAAACTTAAAATACCATAAAAACACAGGTATTAGAAAATTTAGCAAATCCTATTCCATATTGCAATTGAGATTTTATATTTTACGTGGGACAAAACATGAAGTTTGTTACAGTTGATTTAAACATTCTTATGAATGAAACTTTGGTGAAATTGAACCGCACACAATTTTACTATTTATTATCTCATTAAAAACTTGTATTGACATTATTCATGATGAAATACAGGACGACCACCAGCCAATGGTAATAGACGATGAACCATTTGTGCCTAGACGCCGGGTATCGGTTGACAGACCATCAGAACCTACTTACCCTTGGCGCAAACCTAGCGTTGACTTACAGGTAGATAAAATTTTAAATAAAATTAAACATGAAATAAATAGTATTGCTAAAAATATAAATATATATAATGTTGGATAGGATACACTTGTTCCTGAAGCTCCTGAAGAAACCAAAAAGCCAGTTGATGAGGGTAGAGAATCTCCTTATCCTTGGCGCAAACAAAGTAAAGTTGAAGAGGTAGATATTATAATTCATCTTAATCCTATATGTTTAGAAAAAGTACGATTAAAATTGAAAATTAATGTTTTTAACAGGATAAGAAAGATTCGAAAGAACCAGAAAAGCCTAAAGATAATTTGTTGACGGATAAACCGAAGGAATCTGATTATCCTTGGCGCAGACCAAGTAAATCGGAGGTATAATTATTTCTTTAGATTTCTTTAATAAACTATTTAGGTATCATTTTAATAAAGAAATTCGAAAAGGGGAACGGTGGTCCATTTTACCTGAATTAGATAATGGTTAATAATATTTTAGAAGGTAAAGATCAAGTTCAATTTCCTAAACAGAAATTTCAATTAATTTTATATTTTATTTAGAAAAGTATGCGTTGTGGTTCGTTCGTCGGAATAACTTTTCGGGTTTCTTTGTTAAACAAGATCATTTTAAAATATTATACTCATAAACCTTTAATACAAGAAACATTACTGACATAACTCAAATTTCATTAGGAACCTGCGGCTAAAAAACCAGAGCCAGAACCAGCTAAAGACGAACCAAAATCCAAGGTAGATAACACAAAATACTTTAAAACAAAACATTATAAAACACAGAACAATTATAATCCTCATTCTATAATTGCCTTAGGAACCTGATAATACACAGAAAACACAAACAGACAAACAATTGAAACCCACACAGACACCTTTCTTCATGAGAAGGAAGTCCAATAATTTAGAGGTAGGTCACACATTCACTCATCACATACACAACACCAACATTTCCTAGTACACACACATACAGACAACACAAAACTAGTGGTGATGGAAATAAACAAACTCTAAATCTAGATAATTATAAAGCTAAATCTATTTCTTAGGAACCTCCTGAATTCCTAAAGAAACGTAAAGATTCAACTGTTGAGCCTAAAAAGGATACAGAACCTGAAACACCAAAACGAAAGCCTTCTGAGCCTACAGTTGAAACACCAAAGGATAAACCAAAGGTAGTTCATGGTAATTTACATTAAACTGATCTTTTTATCAAGAACCAATTTAATAAAAAAATTGTAAATATTTCTTAGGAGCCAGAACCAAAACAAAAGTTATCAGAACCTTTCGTGGAACCAGTCAAGAATGGTACACTTGAACCAAAGGTATTTTCTTGTACAATATCGTTTTATTGAAAGTAATTTAATACGGTATATAGTAATAGCTAATTAAATAATTTATTTTAGACTCCTGAATCTCTAAAAACACCTTCGGAACTACTAAAGGATATCACTCAAAAAACAAAGGTATCAGAAAAATATAGTCATTACTGAACTGAACTAAACTCATATAGTAATTTCAACTGTAGGAAATATTGATTCTAATTTTGTAAATGTTCTTTAGGAACTTGAAGTATCTAAAAAACCAGACGATGATAAAAAGAAACCTATAGAAGAAAGTTCTAAATTACTAAAGGTATTAAAAAATACATTTCGTTATAAAAAATATTGTTTATATCATAGTTTTTGAAACTAAAATAACATTGTTTTGTTAGGACGACGATAGTAAAGTACAGAAACCACTAGAATCACCTAAATTGACAGAAACACGATACCCTTGGAGAAAACAACACTTAGAGGTAACACACACTACATACACTCACACTTACTCACGCACACTATACAATAAACTGCACAAAAACTCACATCAAACAAATATTAATAACATCAAAGTGAATACTCACATTTGGCAAACCATAAAATCTTGAATATATCATCAGGTACGTCAATAGAAACACCAGAACCGGAAAAGATAGAAGAACCCCCAGTGGTTCCATTCTCTTGGCAGGTCATTCCTGAAATACCACAGGTAGAAATTAAAACTATAGTAAATGAAATAAATTATACAAATGAAGTATCGGTAGTAACTAAACACTTTGATGATCAGGCTGAACAAACCCCAGAGTTAGAAGACAAATACAAACCAACATTACTTGAGACACCGGAGCCAACCGCTCCCTGGCGCAGGGCTAAGTCCCCTCAGGTACACACACAGATCACCTACACATTCATCGCTTGAACAGACACGCACACATTCATTCAGCACCAGGATTTTGCATAATAAGATTGGCCAAATGAATTCGAAATTAGATGACAGGTTTTCATAACAAACAATAAGTTCCATTTAATGAGTCAACATGGGTTTGCTATGAAAATACGTCATCAACTGCTTGCAATGCAAAATTCGTACACATCGTACGGTCGCCAATAATAAAATTTACTGTATAGGCTGAAACAACTGAAGGCAAAGATGAAAGTATGCAAGCTATTGAATTACCACAGCCCGCTTATAGCAGCCAACCTCAAACGCCTGAAGAGGTATACATGAGCACTCACAGTGTATGCACAGGATATTTGCACAATGCACAATGATATTGTCTACAGGAGTGGTAGATGCACAAGCACAAGCACTTAGAGTTCGTCAAACTGCACAACTGTCGTAGAATCTTCTAGATCTAGTAGATGTAGAATTAGTTGCATTGTTTAGTAGTTCTTTTGTAGTCGACAATTTACTATTCTTTGTAGATTTCCTTGAAGTACTCCAGAGAGCAGTTTTGACTGTAAATATGTATATATAGATGCACATAGTAGTCTCGTATTTAGTGTAACAATTTGTAAAGCAATGTTTGCGAGTTATAACCAAGCACCTATTACTCTAAATTAATAGAAGCATGACGTAGTTTCCTCACATTTCCTGCTTCCGCTTCAGCTTTTAAAACACTTCAATGTTTAAATGTATTATTTATGTTTCTAGCGTTACGGTAAGTATGTATTATTTTGAATTTACACGTTATTATTCTGGACATCGAGGCTCAATATAAAATCTAGTTTTAACTACTTGTCATTTTGTTTTTAATTTAAATTTTACCTATCACTTTTACCAAACTATTTTCGACGGTAAGTTACGTAACATCTAGATCTGAAATCAAATAGTTGAGCTTTCAGTGGGGCCATTATTTTTAGGTACAGCAACAGGAAAAGTGTCCAAGAATATAACATCTGTTACAAAACAAATATAAGTGCTTTAGTTTCGTTTTTATGAGCATTTTTGTGAAGGGCAGTAGACCGCGCGGGCGTAAACATTTTTCTTCGTTTAAATTTTCGCGAACTATGGATCAGTTATTTTAAACATTCCGAGTATATTCCTTTAGTTATTCAATTAACTAATTAATTACTTTTCAAAATGAGTCATTTTTTAGGTAAATAGTTTCTTTACTGTACCTCCTTCGTTCTTTCAACAGTTTATCGAAAAAAATCATTAATTAATATTTCGATATTAAATAAATATTTGACTTACAGAAAGTTGCCGTTAAGGAAGAGAAGGTTGAAGAAGAAGCTAAGAAGGCCAAGGTCACATCAGTCAAGAAGAAGGCTGAGGATCTGCCTGAAATTGCTGATTACGACCGACCTGAACTTGAGAAATTCGAAAAGATGGACTTCACGCCATCAACCAAGGACAAACCAGACAAGGTAACGTATATATTATTGGGAGAAACTTTTGAAGGATGACCTTATAAATCTTAGTATTAATACTGATATTATTTAATCCTGAGCAGCCTGTGCCAAAGGTACCTGAAATCAAGGCTCCAGAGGAGAAGCCTGCGGCACCTAAGATCGAAGTCATCCGTGAGAAGTCACCGAAACCAGAAATGCCAAGGAAACCCTCACTTGTACCGGGTGCACCAGTCGGTAGACGTGGTTCCCTCATTCCTCCTCCAGAGGAGATGGGAAGACGTCCTTCCCTTATCATCAGCGACGAGGTATGTAACATTGCACTTCATCTTAGCAATAAGTATTTATTAGATTTATTTTATAATGTTTTTGTATTTGGACACGAAATGTCTCCATTTTCAGTAAAGGTATGAAGTTTTGTAGACCTAAATGTACAATTGTGCCGTCTTAGTCCTAGACATGTTACAATTCCTATGAAGCGCTGGCATCGGAATCACTCTTTGAAAATGCAAGCTTTACGGCTGAAAGCACATTTGCGTTTGAGTCACAGTTAGCATTTTGCACTTTATTTTAATGGTATTCTGGTTTTTATTTGAAATCAATGATTGAAACATTATTTGTCAATTCAGACATAAAATAATCAATTGTAGGTTCATGACTTTCAACCAGACTACCAATATTTGATGAGCATCATGAATTTCTCTCACATTTAGCTGCATTTGTATCGAAGTCTGCAACTTTGAAGCATGGTACTTTCTAACCAACCGCGTGATATCTGCAATCAACGAGTGATTTACACGGATGTTGGCGTCTTTTCACAAAGTAATTTTAGCCCCTAGTAGTATAGACCCTATTCTCTCAAGCCGAACCCATAACACGAATGCATAGACCCTTCAGAAAGACATTATTCATAATCGTCTAAGAGAGATGATGCTTGTACCACGAACGCTTTAGCAGAGGATCTTAGAGAATGAGTTGGTTTACAGTGGAGTGGAGCTTAGATCCATAAATCCTTGCTTCTAGATTAAACAGAATATAGCAATGTCACAGCAGATACTTTTGAAAACAATGATATTAAATCGTGATTGTAGCGATATTAAGACCGTGCAAAACATAATCCACAGGAGAATAGAAAACTAAGACCCGGTGAGGTGATCGAAGAAAAGAAGGTAAAAGATAAAACGCTAAGAATTCTAAATGAATGTTATATTGCCGTGACAAATTCTTAACTATATCTGTATACGGTACTATTAATGCATTTGCATCTGACGCGGTTTAAAACACTGTTTCACACGTAATACTGGATAATCACATGAGCCTTGGAAAAATATTCAGAATACAACCGTTGTAAGCATTGGTTAATGTAATTATCCAGGTTATATCTGTCTAAGAAACGTTTTGTCGTCGAGAGCACAGAGCTAAAATGCACAAATTTGTGGAGTACGCACACACAGATAAACTGCACAGCTTGTTAGCACGTTACGCACACGAAATAATGGTCAGCGATTGGTCGTGGTCGACAATATTTTTTACAGGAATGGTGTGCCTAAAGAGGCTTTTTTATACATTACAATAATGAAACGGACACTAACATAAACGATTAACACGAAGGTGATGCAAACAGTAATGTAATAACTATTGCACAAGCTCGCTAGGACATTGCACCCAATAATGAACTAAAGATAGGTTAGCCAAGTAGCCCAGGTTCGGCAGCGGAGACTTAGGTCCTTAGGGTACATATTACATATGGGATTATCAATGTTTTTTAAACAACAGGTCAAGAAATTACGTCCCGGCGAAGTATTAGACGAGAAAAAGGTGAGACCGATTGGATCTGGTCAGTTTTAGGTGGTCGCTGCTCGCTTTTGCAAAGCACTTTTTGTCTTTTTTTAATATTATTTTTCTTCTATTGTTACATACATTTACACGGACGACCTTTACTGTTAAGTTTAAATAGAAATAAGTTTTTTACAGGGAAGATATTGTGATAATTAGTTTTTTTACCACTTTAGAATTACGAAAACATCAATTCATGTCCCCCATCCCCTCAAATACATCGCTGGACAGTATGAGTCCAAGCGAACAATTGGTTTTTGTCAAAAAAAAAATCAAAAAGACAAAACACACAATCTTCCTTCCATTCACATTACATTGTTTTTCCCTTTTCAAAAACTAGCGTCTTCAATAGCTTCCAAATAGCTACTTTTAGTCCCTTTTAGTCGCTACCTCTACAATGTCCACTCTTTTACAAATCTTTTTCTTTTTAGATGTTCTATTTAGAATTAGATCTAGAGACCGCTTTGCCGACCAGCGGGTTTACGATGTGACAGAGCATCGCTGGGTTTTATCTTTTTTAATGTTATGGGGGAACCGAACTACAGAAAAGATCAGAAAGCAATATTTATGACACAATTTGTGGCTGAATGAATGGGGATTGTCAAAATTAGAACTAAAATCTTCATTCATTTGTATCAATTTTAAATACAGACTTGTTTTCCCCATCAACAAAGCTTTTTAGATTACTTTTAGAATGGCTTTTCCAATAATTAATTTTATTTTTTAGTTTTCCACTAATCATTTTCTAAACGCACTATACATTTTATTCTCACTTATATTTAAGCTACAATATAATAAAACAATACTTTACTGACTCGCATAGCATACTGAATGTACGCGAAACATGTAAATGCTTCGAGAATACTCTTAATAGTGGTAAAAACTAATTACTTTAAGAAATAATTTTATAATTATATTAATGATGCACAGACAGATTCACACTACACACTAACACATGCACATCTGACACTACTACATCATACACGAGGACAGAAACACATAAATTAACTTATAAGCACTCAATATGTACAGAAATTTAAAATAATGAGCACATATAACAGAGAATGTTTTACTAAAACTGATACTTTTTTTTCAAAAAAGAAACGCGCCAGGCCGGGTGAACTCTCCGAAGAGGTATATAAAAGTGTGAAAAACTATCTGTTTAGACTACATGTTATAGAAAAATATAGATTCGTGGCTAACATAGACATTTTCAAAGTGATTAATGTTATTTTTTCCAAGTGAATAATTTTTCATTCGTTCGTAAATAATCTCCATGCCACAACAAACGGCATACATGAGAAAACCTTCATTTATATGTTATATTTCGATCCGGAAATCCTATATATGTTTTGTCAATAAATTAGAGCCAGTGCTACTAACACCTTGTCATTCTAACATTATATTAAATGTTTAATAAGAAAATAAATTCAAAATATAACAAACATTTAAAATCTATGCATGTATCCTATTAAAATCCAAAATTTAAAAAAGAAAATTAATTTATCGAACTTGATAAATAGATGGCATTAGCTAAAATTTGCAAAATGTGTAGCAAAAGCCATTATATTTATCGTTTTCGACAAAACTGTATTTAACACGTAATAAAATGCGTTTAAAACAACGCACGCATTAGTAACGAATAAATTAACAATTTTATTAAACTTAACGTGATAATAAAAGCTGAATTAATGGCGTGCGGCAATGATATTTATTGCGGTATTGTGTAATTGCATGAAAACCTACAATATATTGCTTCAGCACTTAATAACAGTAAAAATATCACATAATGCCAGAGCAACATCTATGATGACCTTGAAAAAAGCTTAAATAATTTCCACCAGTTACTACAAAGTCTATAACAATAAATTTTATCATAGATGTTACTCGCACTTCTAATAATCATAAAGATGCCACAAAATGCCTCGGAGATTTTAAATTCAATGTAAACATCACAGAACACAGTTTCGAATTATATAAAACATTAATTATACGAATGAAATATATAGAAACGGTAGCTAAACAAAGATTCTATAATTACTAATGAATTTAGTTTGGAGCCAACATTTCTGTTTCTATGACGCAAATAAGGCGATAATAATGTCAACTTTGTGACTCATAAGGGACATAGGAAATGCATTAACTCACGACACTTTTGATACGTCGAAGTTCAAATATAAAACTACGTAGGTGGAACATAGAGATGTAAGACGAATACCTAAGTTCCAAGTTACGTACTCAACGTGATAAGACTAAGAATAAAACAGATAGAAATACCAATATAGATCAGGCAAAGAATTTCAAAGTTAATACAAAAGTAAACATTACAGAAGAAGTTAATAACACAGCAAAAGAAACAAAAACAATAGCAATTAATAAAGAAAACGCACCTGTTACTTGTGATAACGTAAATGCAGATGGCGCGGACGGGTTTAATGAAGCAAAAGTGAGCACCAATCGTGCGCCAGGACGCACGTACGCTCGTCGTTATGATTGATTGTTATTTGTATAAATATGACTAGAGTAATTAGGCCAAGAGCAAGTCAACTGATCTTGAAATATTCTCACCCTTAACTGCCTCAAGTTGCCAGCACTTCTGAATTATGTACGTCGTCTATTGTTAAAAAGATATACGTCTCGATATTGATTAGTAGCACCATTGTTCACACCTAAAATAGAACGAGAAAGATTGATTGCTTTAATGGTATCGTTAATTATAATTGTGGCAATGTAATGACAATTTGAATGTGCATTAAAATGTCTAAAAATAGATTCAGATATTGATAGAAGCTCTTGAGTTAACAGAAAGGAACAATTCTACACTAGTTAAGGGATAATTTCAGACTAGGCTGATTAGGGCTATACAATTTGTTATGAAAATTACAATATACACATAAGCAACACAAAATAATATACTAGAAATAAGTAAATGAAAGGGATGAACATCGATACAGGGCGTTCAGCTAGCAATTTTATTAAAACTGACAACGTTGAAAATTTTATTGATTATGTTAACATTTTTGATAACAAAACAATGTTGACAACACTAAACACAATTAACGTAGCTATAAATACAAGCAAGGACAGTCCACAAATAGAAATAAAACGGATCTTTGATTGACATAATGGTCATATAGGAAATACCTAAAATGCGCGTGGGCTTGTCACGGGCGACTGAATACTGAGCTCCGGCAATACCGTTCCATCGGAAAAATTTGGCAATGGTGATGATGCCGATATATTTGGCAGTTAGTTCCTCAAATTAATTGACGAGACAAGTTACCATGACTCGTTAGAATTTACTAAAGATCTTATTAGATGTATTTAAGGATCGCATGGCAAAGGAGTCGTGGTATGAGTGACGAAAATATGTACGTAGTAAATGTTCATAATAAAAATAATGTATATGCGAAATCAACGTTATCGATTTACCAAAAGCAAAAACACAAAATTATAAACATCACGGAACAAGAGAACCAAATCAACAGGTAACATTCAGACTGCCGTTCAAAATTTGTCGGCTCGACAGTAATGCAGGCGCTCTTGACACCGGCTCACTTGCCAACTATGGCAATGATGTGAACAGAATGCATTAATACGAGGGTGCCAATCAATCTTTCGATCCTCTTGCGCAACCCCTCAATCTTATATTATTTATTAATCTAGACAAACACGCGCACACAGTTTGTCTCCTCGAGACAACTGCTGTTTGGCTGCGACATCCAACTGATTGTTTTAATATTGACCGACGTCGACGTCACACTACCGTCAGTACAACTGTTATAAGCAAGCCAAAAGTTAGAGTCATCCACAGTAGGTCAACAAAAACCCATTGACCTTAATTGCAGGTGTCAATTTAAGAAAAATGCTGACAATTAATCATTGAACCGTAACCGAGAGCTTCCGAGGTTCAAAGCCAAACATCGACGAAACATGGCAGATCGTCGGCGATAACTTCATGTGTATTATTGCGTATATTAGCAACGACGTTCAAGAACAAGCTGCATGGATGGCTCACCTTAATCTGATAATTAATTGTATTGGTCTGCTGATTTGTGCTGTGCACAAATAGCCGCCCACCGCCCCCGCGCCCCACCATTGCCAGGCGACCATGTCTACACGACCCCTTCTTCAGTCTTTTGACATTCGCGCCCATTTTTACATGGAACGACTAACGAACTGCCCCAAATCGAAATTTCACTAAACGACTCCAAAATAATACAAGAAAATATCAAGGTGTAACACTTTTAATCTTAAAAAATAATTGTATAGCATTTAATTGTAAGCTTTTTTTTCGTAAATATGGATGATCCGCATGAAAGGAAGGAACTTTTGATTCTTTTGAAAATAGTTTTAAGTGTTTAAAGTAATCATGTGTAAGCATAAACTTAAGCTGTGATATAGTGTGATGTAATTATAGACTATTGCTTTTTATATTATTTTACGAGAGATTCGATAGTTTTGTGGCATCAAAGTGATTAATGTGATTAACAATGGCAGCGGTTGCTAAAAAACCGGTTGCTAGTTTACCCAAACCCAAACCTACGGGTGACCCGGTAAGTATAATACTGTTTTTGTTCAATGTTTCTAAATATCTTGTCTCATTCAGAGGTCATTAAATAGTTCCAAAAGTGACTATAGCCCTATAATTGTGACGTACATAAGTAGGGACCTAGTTTAAAAGATAATTCAATAACTACAAAACCTTTATACAATTTCCTAACCTACGTAATTCCACGGTTGGTAAGCATATCCATTAAGATTATTTTGACGCTATCCTAAATTACGAAGCTCCCGTTATGTCGTCATAAATCAGTTATTACGATACACCTGTTAATTATTTCATTTAAATCAAATGCATTCCGAGGAATTCATATTTTAACGCCTACTTGCGTCAATTTTAGCTGAAGCAAATACACCGTTGCGTAAGCTATAAATCTTTGTTCTAGATAGGTAACTTATTAGTACAATCATGAAATACATTTCAAAGTTCGTGATGGTTCTTATATTTCGTCATCTGAGTCAAAGGAATCAATCAATTCTTTGGTTGGTAATCGTTAATACGACTGTGCAGAGGTGTTAAAGCTAACAGTCAGAGAAGTCACAATTCCTACTAATCAATGTATCACGGTATCACTTTGTACGGTATGAATTTGAACATAGGTCAATTATATTATGAATTTATGAGTATCATGCAAAGTTCATCATTCATAGTAAAACAGACGATAATTTGAATTTTACATTACACAATATAGAATTTCATTTCAATGAAGTATCGAATGAGACACTTTTTACTAGACCATAATTTAAGTTTGTTTTCATTCAATGCAACAATGAAGCTAAAAGTAATGTTGGCACAACTTTGATAGATTGTGATCAAACAGTAAATCTTGTTACAAAGGATAGCATTGTCAATAATAAACATGTTGATGGTCTTATAGATTTAGTAGTCACAAGTGTGGCTGTTGAACACAAGGATAATGTACAAGTTATTGATGACACAGCTAAACTGATAAAATCTCAATTGCTGATTGATGCCAAAAATAGTAATCTAACTAGCCAAATCGGGGACATGATAGACGATGTTCCTATTAAGGATGAAATATGATAAACTTTAGCATTATCAGAAAACGGTGAAGACATATTATATGTGAGCGCTTGCGCTACATACATCAGGAAGTCCAGATCATTGTCAGGTCATTTGGCTAGCGCTCATAATGTACTACAACTGTCATAACATTCTAATGTATCATCCATTTTACCGACTAGTTACCAACGAAGCAATTTTTCAATCTATATCGAGCTGGATTATATCATTTACAGAACGTTTTAATGACCTTTGATGATTACTGTAATCTGTATTATGTTCACCATGTTGAAATACATTTTGTTTTATTACGTCCTTTTCTTGAACTTCATTAATTAAGCTAATTAGTGTCTGGTGAAGATAATGATAGATATTAATGTCAATCAAATCTCTGAAATTGAGAAAATAATTTGTCATTGTTGATAATACTCCCTTTTCATTTATTTGTCTCTTAACGACTTCGATACCATAAATAATTGTGAAGTAAGTGGGCTTTAACTTATAATATAGATAATTTTAATAATTTATAATCATCATTTCATGACAATATCTCAAATAATGATATTGTATATTCTCATTTCAATCTATAGTTATTTTTTTTAATGAAAGGTCGAAATTCATTTACTCCACAACCTTTATGTCGATTTTAAAGTGATTAACCCATTAGAAATAATTTAAAAAGACAAAAGAAACTCACATTGCTTTGATGATGTAGCGACGAAAATCCGGAGACGCCAGAAGGCCGTCAGTGCAGGATCTTGAAGATCTTATCAACAAACCTTCAGTGCCTCTCAAACCTATCGGAAATGAGGGTCCACCGGTCATCGTCGATGTCCAAGAAAGTTACTCAGCTGTTGAAGGTCAGTTTTTAAATAAAAATCCGTTTTCTGCATTCATTAAAAAATAACAATCTACTGTAGATATTTTGCAATACCCTCAATTTTCCTTTCTGATGAATGATTCTAATTCCATAATCAGATCAAACTGGCTACCTCACTGTACAAGTGGAAGGTAACCCAGCACCCACATTCAAGTTCTATAAGGGTGTCAGTGAGATCATCGAAGGTGGTCGCTTCAAGTTCATCACCGATGGTGAAACTGGTCTCATCACCCTCTGCATGAGGAAGGTCAAGCCTAACGATGAAGGAAAATACAAGATTGTGGTCAGCAACATCCATGGCGAGGATTCAGCTGAAATGCAGCTTTATGTATCCGGTAAGTATTGAAAAAATAGCACTAAAGAGGTTAATTAAAGTAGAAGCAGAAAATATTTACGTTATATAACAAAATGTTAAACAGACGCCAGTGGTATGGACTTCCGTGCTATGCTTAAGAAGAGGAAGTACGCCAAATGGGGTGAAAAGAAAGACGATCCCGACTGGGGAGATCTCAAGGAGACAGAAAAACCAATCCCACCCCTGAAGAAAGTGGAAAAGGTAAGGTGTATCTACATTTCAGAATTACTTTCTAAGCTAAATCTGATATATCAATCAACAATCATTGGATTGTAGAAGATGGTGATATAAATGCTATTATATAAAAAGATATAAATAAAAATAAATTTAAAAAATTTGACGCAAGACAATGCAGACCATAATTAGATCTTGATACTGGCCAAGAATAGAAATGCCAATGATATTCACATACATCAAGATGAAATTAGCTCTAATATTCGTCTACATTGTCTTGTAGTCTATTTAAAACGAATTATAAATAAAGAGACAGCTCCATCAGGCTATACATATCCGAGTTCGAAGTTCAAGGAACTAAGAAATATTTTAATATGTTTCATAATTTGTGAATAACCATTTACTTATAGATATTGTATATTCTATGCCTTGGAATATATGCATTCTTTAAGTAGAACATTTTGTAGCTGCGCTACTTGATAATATGTTTTATTCAGCTTCCCTTTAGTATTTAACCAAATTTAAGATGGAGAATATCTCAATGTATTATGATGATTCTTGTTTATTGCCTGTTATTTTTTAACTCCAACCTTACCAAATATTGTCGTCACAAAACTGGGTGCTGTCATCACAATGCATAAAGAATTCTCAGAAAAGCTTAGCTATAAAATTTGTTCCGTAACTCTGTTTGGAGTTATTTAATAATGTTAACTTAGCCGATTTGTTTAGTATGTTAATTTTCTAATACATTTAATTATCTTTTATCACTTTGCATCATGACATTTGATTCTTAGGGCTTAGAAACTGGATATTTTGAAGAAGACGGCTTCATTGTGGTCGTATCTGAAGGTGTCGAGATGGGTAGATTCCCAGCTGAAAGGAGGCATTCCTTGAACTGGTCCTGGGTCAAGGTCATCAGTATTTTAAAATATAGCATCATCGTTCATTCCATCTTACATTTCCAGTTTCTCGTATTCTTGTACGAAAAATTAACAGAAACTTAATTTATCAATGTTGGTTTCCAGAATGGAATCCTTCATGTCTAATTAAATAAATGTTTAAAATCTAAATAATGTGACATAAATTGTATTTTGAGCATGAAAATACCCTAAGAACGGTTCCCATGTGGAATGGCTCAAATTAAAAATCATTAACAAAAATAAATTCATTAGAGCATGCATTTAAAGAGGTCATAACTAGTAATTGTTTCATCATTCTAAAAAAACAAAATGAAATTGTCAGTAAATGTCAAGTTGATGACAATGATGTATTGTTTACATAAAAAATTTTAGTTAATTTTTGTGATTGAATTGACGGAGAAATGGCTGGATGGTATTTCACTAAAATATTCCCTTGGTTCAATGTCCGTGGCGACAACAATTATGTAAGCAACTCATCCTTAGAAATGGTTTTAGAAAAAAAATAATAACTTAACCAAAAATGGTCCACAGTTCACACCGGTCACTTCATTTTGCTTTCTAACTATTTAGCTTGATCAATTTCAAGTTAATTCGCTGTTGCACTGTTGTAACCTAACTATTAAACTTCTAGGGTATCTATGACATAAGGAGACGAATGTCTCTACCTGAAATAATACCTGATTGGCCCGAATTGATGGAGGCTGTCAAAATAAAGGTTCGATTAAAAGGAAAGAGAAAAAAGATAAATAAAACAAGGTAGTTTCTGATCACTTGAAATCTGGTAATGATGATAAAGATGATATAGAATCATTAGCTGTTGCTAGTTCAGTTGATAATGATTGTATTACAAATGGTCGGAAATCAACCTTTTAAATAATGAATGAGATTAAAACCACGAATGATAAAATAACTAAACTAAAAATTACACCTCTGAAATTGTTGATTCCAACAACCAATAAAGAAATACTTAGTTGGCTTATCTTTAAACTGAAAAAAGTAATGATTAACTAAAATGTCTTAGTTGGAGTCAGTAGTTCCAGAGCGTTTTAAATAAAAGAAATGCATTAAATTGAATTTTAAATTAACAAAAGGGTTTTTGTATCACCTCTTCATGTTTCTATAACTTGAACATGAATTTCAGGCAATGTAAGTGGAATGAATTTGATGACTATTGATACTTTTGAATTGGTGTCCACTATGTTAAATTGCAGGTCTATTTTGACGTCGGATTGAAGAGCTTCTGTCACGTCATTATTATTAAAATAATTATATTCCTCATAATTTACTTCATCAATTTCAGCTGATGCATCCAGTTTTACGCAGATGTTGGAATTTTTTTGTCCATTGTGCTGATTATAATAATTGAGGCATATGGCAATGTTGTAATCAGCATTTATGTTTTTTTATGTACATATATATTTTGATATAGGACACAATATACTTCTTGTAGTCCTTGTACAATTAGATGTAGACCCTCTTGAACGCGAAGTTAACGTATTGATAAACTGTCACTAAGAATGAATGGATATTTTGTAGAGATCCCATAATAGAAGACCGTCACTGGCTGAACTGATCCCGGATTGGCCGGTGCTTCACTCGTTCAAAAAAGACGAGGTTTGACAGCAACGAAATTAGACACAATGCATCTTGAAGTGTAATATCACAAAATGCAAATTACTTGTCGCACAGCAATGTCCCACGGAAACCTGTATGGTCGCTTAATCTGGTTGAATTATTACAGAAAGTCTTGCATTAATATCTGCTATAAATAATGAAAAGAAATCCGAAACCTATGCACAAACCACGAACCAATAAAATTCTTCAAACACCAACCAGATTGAACACTTTCTATCTCTGTCTCACTACAAGCTAAAGCCTTGTAAGTTATGTAAATAGCCACTCTATTACTATATTAAATTCTTCTACTACGATATCAATAACCTATCCTAACCGTTTATTAAACATTTAAGAATGTTTAGCAGATATTGGTGCAGGAATGTTTCAATGATTTTTTCAGATTATTTGATCAACAGCGACGTGGTCACCGACTAGTCAGTCCAGCACATCTTTGGTACTCTATTCTTCTATTCTCTTCTCAAGCAATTCTTCTGTGCACATCTTCGTCGATATTTTACTAGCAGCACAGCGCACCGGTTCAATATTTGCACAGTGACGTCAATGTTCCAGTGTTAAAAAAAACCTTTCAAAAATGATGAATGTAAATCTTTAAGTAATAAGTAAAAAAACTGTTTCGTGTGGAAAGTTCATCATTTTTGTTCGGTCAATTGTATATTATTTAAGATAATCGTTTAAATAAATCACGCCCACTTTTGCACATTTATTAAAAGAGAACTATAGAAATTCCAATTTCTGTACAATAGCATGGAGTTCACATTATTGTGTGGGTGCCGGTGATGAAAGAATGGCTGACGATTCTAACGCCTCGGATACTACATACGAGTTCAATTGTTTTCGTTGATTTTTTGCACTTGAATTACTGTTCGCTCGAGACGTTGACAGCGGAGGAGTAAGGCAGGTTTCTTGATGGTCAGCACTCAAAGCTTTTGTATGAAGAGCACATTTTCGTGTTATGCACTTTTCCATCTTTTGGAAGACCAGGTGTATTTATGTCCACTGGACATTGCTTTCAGAAACAAGAGTCATTCTTGAAGCCCCTCGTAGATCAATTCGCGAAAGAAGGCAAGGATAAGAAGGTTACATTCGAAGCCATCTTTACTAAACCAAATGCGAAACCGAAGTGGTTCTTCCGTAAAGATGTAAGTATTTTTATTTCAAATATCAATGTAGTTTGGAACAACAATAAATGGAGTACCCACTTTACTCAATGGCAATTACTTTACAGGAACTGTTCCCGGGGTCGAAGTATAAGATGACAAACGAACAAGACTCATACAAACTGATCATCATGGCCCCTAAAGTCGAAGATACTGGTAAAATTACGATTGAAATCGGCGGTATCACTTGCACAGCCTTCTTGCAAGTCGATGAACCAGACCCTACATACACCTTCACCAAACAACTGAAGAAGACGACCAGTGGGTACACGAAACACGAATGTGTGTTGGAGTGTGCCGTCTCCAACAGTCTCGCCATCGTCTCATGGTGGAAGGGAGAAGAGAAAATAGAAGATGGAGACATTTATCAGATTTCAAAGGACTTGTCTGGAGTTTGCAGGCTGGTCATCAAGAACTGTAAGTTCGAAGATGCTGGAAAATACACATGTAAAATTGAAAAGCAGCCTGACAAGACAGAGACTGAAGTCAAAATTGTTGGTGAGTATATTTTCATTTCTTACTGCAGTATATCAAGTAACTCTGAATATTTTCTTCACCATAATCTTCTTTAAATTCCAGAATACCCATACAAGTTCACAAAGGTACTCAAATCACAGCAAGCTACAGAGAAAGACACGATCACACTTCTCTGCGAGCTGGATGATGCATCTGGAGACGTTAAATGGTAAGAAACATGGTTTCAACAAAACCTCAAAGAAGAATTGTTAACTAAACTTATTTAACAGCTTGATTGCCCGTATATGAGACACAATAGAAAATACATGAGACATAATTGTCTCTCGCGTGAATCCACGTTTAGACACACGTCGGCTTAAAGTGTCTTGTAACTTGTTTCTTCTTCTGTTTACTCTTGTAACTATTTCTTCATCTACTAATCTTTATTACTTCACCAGGTTCAAGAACAATGAACCTCTGAAACCAGACAAGCGTATCTCAATCGTGAAGGAGGGTCGCAAACGCAAGGTTGTGATCAAGGACGCTAAGGTCACTGACGCCGGCAACTTCAAGTGCGTCAGTAACGCCGATGAAACTGCTTGCGAATTGATTGTCAATTGTAAGTACATCAACTTTTCTTGTAATCAAATCAATTTCAGCTTTCAATGAGTTTCTTTCCTTTCACAATGAACTGACTAAAACATTATAACGTATCAGTTGTAATCTTCTTCATAATATTGTATTGATTATCCTTTAATAGGTATATTAATTTTCGACAAAACAAAGTGATTTAATGCGTCACCAGCCCATTAATTATTGTAATAGTATTGTTATGGCACATCCTTACAAATGAATGCCTAATTCACAAAATGGGCTTGTTTCTAATCGTCTATTGTTCAAGATAACTAGACCTAAACTTTAACAAAGTAATCCAACACACAGAAAATAGTTCCGGATCAAAACAGTCGTTTCCTTACTAGAATGAATTTTTTAAAATGGTTTTTTGTTCGCCAGACTCGAATCGCTTCAACAAGAAGTTGAAGGACACAGAAGCAATTGAGAGGGACAAGGTTGTTCTAGAAGTAGAGTTGCAGGATCAGACCGCTGAAGCTGTTTGGTCTTTCAATGGACAGCCCATTGTGCCTAATGAAAGGTATGTCTTGAAAAGCTTCACCTGTCTTTAAAAGCTGTTTTAATTTTTGCAGAGTCAAAAATGTTTATTGGTTTTGTATTTTTATCAGAATTGAAATCAAGAACCTGGGCGGTGGTAAACACCAGCTTATCTTCAACAAGTTGGAGATGGAAGATGACGGTGAAATTCTCTGCGAGTCTGGAAAGTTGTCCTCTTCTTGCAAACTTACCGTCAAGAAGGGTGAATCCAAACCTACTATTGACTGTCCGGATGAATTCTGCGGACCACATGACAGGCCTTTCGTCATTGAGGTGCCCTATAAAAGTGAGTACAGAAAATAAATATCAAAATATCTAAAGCTGTATTTAATTTGAACCGTGTTCCTTAATATCCATTTTCGTTTTTAGTTACTGGCACCCGACAGACACCAATCGAAGCTAAACTATGGAAGGACGGAAAAGCCCTGCCCGCCAAAGAAGTCGAGGCAGTGGTTGAACAAGAGAAGGTCCTATTCAAGATCAAGAAACCAAGCAGAGACCAATCCGGCAAATACACGATTAAATTGGCCAACGCCCAGGGTGATGACTCGAAAGATGTCACTATTACCATGCAGAGCGTACCAACTCCACCACAGGAAGTCCAGGTCACAGAAGTCTTCCAGACTTCTTGCGTTGTCGCCTGGAAGACACCACAGGACGATGGTGGTTCACCCATCATCAAATATGTTATTGAGAGACAGGTAACAACATGATCTACTCGTATAATCTTCCAAAACCTCGATGCTATAATATCTGGTGCTACATTAAATATTTTATTCTAGGACATGTCTCTCAAAGCAGGATGGGATAATGTATCAGAGGTGGCCGTTGGCCAGCCAATGAAGTACAAGGTAGAAGATCTTATCCCGAAGAAGACTTACAAGTTTAGGATCCGTGCTGTTAACAAGATTGGTTCTAGTGAACCTGGTCTTTTCGGCAAGCCTGTGCTGGCTAAGGATCCGTGGGGTAAGATATAATTCTTCATTATATTTGTATCAGTTGTACTAGTAAACACGAGGCTAAAATAATTTGTCTTATCTCTAGATGAACCATCTAAACCCAAGAATGTGGAACTTACCGACTGGAACAAAGACCATGCTGACCTTAAATGGCAGAAGCCTGACAACGATGGCGGTGCACCAATCACTGGATACGTCATCGAATACAAGGTACGAATTCTAAAGCTCCAGCATAGAAAACTTACTTTATAATGAAATTATTGCATGACGTAGCATAAATTCGTTACTTAATGTATTAATAATCCAAATTTTCTCTTAACAATCTACAGGAGAAGTTCGGCAAGGACTGGGTGACTGGCAAGGAGGTTCCTGGTGACTGCTTAGCTGCCACTCAGGATGGCCTCAAGGAAGGCTGCACTTACGAGTTCAGAGTCCGCGCCATCAACAAGGCTGGACCTGGTGAACCTAGTGACGCTACTAAGCCGATTGTTGCTAAGTGCAGATTTGGTGAGCAATCTTACTTATATTTCTTTGAAAGTAAGATTAAGATTCTGACATAACTTTAGACTTTGACCATTTTGATATATATATATTGAGGGAACTAATTGGAACGATCTACAGGGTTAATAAGATCCTAATCATTAATATATTGATTACAGTCAAGCCTTACATCATTGGTGAGGGTGTTCAAAGCATCATCATCAAGAAGGGCCAGGTCATCACCTTCGACATCAAATACGGTGGTGAACCTGAACCCGAGGTCAAATGGATGAAGGGTGAAGAGGTGAATATCTTCTCTTTCTTTCTTGCTTTCATTATTTTTACTTCCATTGACGTACCTACAGAGTGGTAATTTTACTTTGTGAAAATGGTTTATAGGTTGAATGATCTTTGGTAAGATAAATTCATTATAAGGTTTTCAGCTAAAATTATTGCTCATCGTACAATGTTATCTTTTTGAGAGTTAATCATCTGTTCGTTATAAAATTAAAATAACTAGATAAAATTCTAAATTGGATTCTTTATATAGTAATTGCTCTACGTAATATCATCATAGTTTCTATTTTGATGTCATAGAAAAGACATCATGGTCTATCTTCTGTAAAAGAAATTTCTCTGTATAAAATCTAGATTATAATTTTCGAAATTTTCACCAAAATCATCTCAACGAATGGAGTACGAAGATTTTAATCAAAATTTTCTTTTTTCTCTCAATAAAAGAAACGCGGCAAGGCGTACACGGAGAAGGTTAGATGGTTGAAGATCGATGTTGTATCGCATTTATATGTTCTAAACACAATTATCTAAACTCATACACTTCTCTTTTATTTTATTCTACAATATGTGCTAACACAACTACAAGACAACATACTTGAAACAAACTGTATGTCAGGTGGCAAGATGAACGAAAGAGAAAAATGGTTAAAAAATAACAGTCCATAACGAAAATCTTGGAAGTTACCAGTACCATAAAATTATTAGTGCAGAATAAGTGTAGATTAAAAAAATATATTCTTCTTTAAGAAGTGAAATAAATATATTTGTTTCGTTCACCTTACCACCTAAGCGCTAAAAAACAAAAAAACAACATTATACATTGTCCTTAAAGAACCACACAATGTATTTGGCTTTTGAAAATTATGCTTTCGATGTTGTAACTAAACGTTACTATTTTATTAACTAGAAAATTTTACTCTGACTGGTTCAATGCACCACACACTTATGTAGATGCACCTATATAAGTATATTCAAAAACAATACAAGAACGAATTAGTCGTTTCACAATTTTCTCACAAACACTTTTTCTTTTATTTTTACTGTGGTAACACTGGCAGTACGATGATCACATCGATGCTGGCAATACATAACATTCTAACACTGACTTGACTAGTCGACGCACGTGACTCTACCATGTTTTTTTATTTTATGTTTATGGGATTGCGTCTGACATGATATCGTCACATTTCCCCATTCTAATACAACATCATCATTTTTTGGTCTTTATACACAACACCACATTCATAACTCAAACAAAACCGACACAGACACCTAACTGGCCAGGTTTAATGATCGTGGGGTATGGGACTGAATTAAAATCATCTTTTGGACGAAAAGGTATACAGGTAAAGGTCATCGTTGGGGATTCCCGCAGCAAAATCACTAAATAGCTTCCCACTTATTAATCCAAATCTTCGAAACAGAAAAACCATAATAGCTAAAGATCTGGTGTGGTGAGAAAAATGTCGGCATTGACCCTAAGCCCACACTTCTTCAACATCTCGCATATTGTAATATCGCAACAAATATAGTAAAAGTAATCCTAGCTTCCTCTGCTGTTTCAACACAGATACCACTTAACACACGACAAGAATAAACATTTGTACTGAAACATCAACATTTTCCATCATGCATAACACTAACCACATCAAATCGGAACACCATCAGAAATCTTCAGACGCGATCCCTTTTTTTCGATGATACTGATACCAATATGCCATCACAGGAAATCAAGGATGATGGTGACCGTATCACCATTGATAAGTACGAAAGGAACACCGTACTGACTGTCAGAAGGACCACCAGGCCTGATAGTGGAAAGTACAAGTTGGTATTGACCAACTCTTCGGGCACTTGCGAGAGCATCGGCGATGTGGTTGTCTTGGGTGAGTTTGGAAATTCAGTTGACTTATTTTAAAAATGCTTTAAAGTCACAAGTAACATGATTTATAACAATACGATGTTATTTCAGACAAACCAAACCGCCCGAACGGCCCGATCGAAGTTACGGATATCCGCGCCGAGAAGGCGACCGTTAAATGGCAGAAGCCAGACGACTGGCAGGGATCCGATATCACTGGATACACACTCGAAAAGATGGACATGGTAAGAACCAATACCAGCACCTATGCATAAAGTAGTCTTGCTACCTATCAACTATTCATAGGTACTTTTAAAGTTTAGTAATGCTATCCACTGAAAAACCTATAAATAATAATATTTTCTAGGATACTGGAAACTGGGTGCCTTGTGGCGAGACTGGTCCAGAACCAACAGAGTTCACAGTCAAGGGTCTTACCCCGAACCACAAGTACAAGTTCAGGGTACGCGCCGTCAACAAGGAAGGCGAATCAGAACCTTTGGAAACTGATGGATTCATTCTTGCTAAGAACCCATACGGTAAGTAAACTAAATTAATGTTTTAATTCAATAGACACACATATTAAAAATTCTAATAAGATTATTCTAAAAAACAGTCTAATAAGAATATTTTGATGTTGTTCTTATACGAATAAACGAAACGTAGCGAAGAATCCGAACCGCCATTTTTAAATTTTGACATTTGAGATTTAAAAAGTGCCGGTTTGTTTACATGGGCACAAGAAAACAATTAAATACAAATTATAAACCACCAATCGAAACTTAGACAAGAAATACACTAAGAAATCACTTCGATTTTTTTTTATGACTTCGCATATCATGGACCTATTTACAATGTTCTTTCAAATGTTGGTATTTGTCTATAGACCCACCAAAGGCGCCTGGAAAGCCTACGATTACGGATTACGACAACATGTCCGTGACTTTGCAATGGGAGCCACCATCAGACAACGGTGGAAGACCAATTCTTGGATACGTTGTGGAGATGAAGGACAAATTCTCTCCAGACTGGATTGAGGTGAGTTCAAATTCAAACTCATTTTTTTTTGTATTTCAAAATTGATGTAGGAAGTGGATACTATACCAAAATGTAGTTTTAATCTTTATTTCTATAAAAAATATAGATTATTCAATAACAAGCCGCTAAAACTAAGAAATTTAAAAAAGGAAACAATTACTTAATTTTCTAATAGGTAACTTGAAATAATATTTCACTTTTTCTCTAATAAACTGAAATAAATATTGAAACTATAAAAACCACTGCAACCAGATTTTACTTTCATTGTATTAGTTTCCATTTATATTTAAAATAGTTATGTTTTCACGCTCATCAGTGATATTAACTTCTTCCTATATGATCTGATCAATATTTTTAGAATACCAACATAATCAAGTACTCCATTATCTGTCCACTAGGTTGTGAAAACAAATGACACAAAAACCGAGTACAAGGTTGAAGGTCTGAAGGAGAAGATGGTGTACCAGTTCCGTGTGAAGGCATACAACAAGGCTGGTGTCGGTGAGGCCTCGCAGCCCACTGATAACCATCTCTGCAAGCATAAGAACTGTAAGTATGAATTACATTTTGTTTTTTAACTATCTGTAAGCCTATTGCCATGTGTCTGATACAACAAAAATGGAAACTTGAGTATTTATTTTTCTTTTTTATAGAACAATCATCTTTTCTTCTTTTCTTTATATATAATTATAATTCTGCAGTACGTGTGTATGTCATTGAACTCCTCCGATGTAAATGAATTTTTCTGTGTACGTTTGAGTGGCACCCTGGATGGTTTAGATTCACAAATCAGACCGGCAGATGGCGCTGAAGTCATCATGTAGGATAACGTCTGTTGGGTCTGCTAGTTTTCAATATAATTTTCACCAGACTCGATAAATTGATTTTGATAATTTATTTTATTTCAATACCAATGTATTAACACTATGCTTGTGTTACTCTACAGTGAAACCACGCATTGAGCGCAGCACCTTCAAGTCTGTTATCATCAAGGCTGGCCGCACTCACAAGTGGTCGGTGGATGTCATCGGTGAACCTCCACCGGAGATGACATGGTAAGTATTCAATCTGAAACATTCACATAATTAAATCTATTACTGCAGTAGGTTTTGTTAGTCAAAAAAGATAGTTTTTTTTAAAAACAACCTAATTACAACACAACAAAGTTGAAAATCATTAATATAATATAATATTATTTTTTTAGTCTGTAATAGAATTGCTTTTGATATTCTAATGCAAGGAGGTCAATTATGACAAGAATATATAAGAATATACAAGAATATAAGTCGAATCACCATTATGTGTCACACAAAGCATAATATAGTACGAGGTCATACGTAACTATATATTCCTTTAAAATATCCACAATACAACCACCTAAATATCTTGATCTTTTATCTCCTTTCCCCCAGGTCATGGCGCGATAACATAAAACTGGTTAACACAGAACGCATCAAGATTGAGAACAAGGAATACCACACGGACTTCACTATTGTGAACGCCGTCCGTCGTGACACTGGCAAATATAAGCTCAGAGCTGAGAACTGCAATGGTTTCGATGAGGAGACTGTTGAGCTTACTGTGCTGAGCAAGCCTAGTGCGCCAAAGGGTAAGTTTGTAAACGAAATTCTGCTATTAGTACTTTATACCTGAAGTCTAAAGATCGTTTCGAGGTTTTTTTCTGGTCATTCCTACTTAAGACCTATCCAAAAATCATCATCAACAGCCTATAAATGCCCACTGCTGAGCAAAGCCTCTTCTCACACGGAGAAGATTAGAGCATTAATCACCACGCTTGCTCAATGCGGGTTGGCGATTTCAAACTTATAATTTGAAATTATAAGCCCAGGTTTCCTCACGATGTTTTCCTTCACCGTTTGTTAGTGGTGTCTAAATAATCTTAGAAAGTACATATAACTCGGAAAAAGTCACATTGGTACTTGCCGTTGGTAGGTTTCGAACCCGCACCCTCATGCATGAGAAGCGGGCGTCTTAAACCTCCGGGCCACCACGACATCAATCTGTCTATTCTATCCAAAAATATCTATAAGTTATCGTAACTAAAAGACTTCTAACAACAACTATCCGAAATTGTGATTAATAAAGGAAAAATGCTACGCAGTACGATAGTACCTAACTAACTTAAAAAAGACAGTGATGGGGGGAGGTATTCCAAAGTATCTGCCGGGTAGGCAGGGAGACAGTATTATATTATCTACTCTCGCCAACTCACTTATGAGTGATAATCTAGCATGGAATATTTTCAGTTACATCGATTATAGACCTTTCCATTTTTTTTTTATTAGCCATAGTCATCCACTGCAGGGCAAAGGCCTACCTATCCTCCTTCCACTCGTTTCTATTAGTTACTAATATTATCCTTTGCGTCTCCAGGCCCATTGGAAGTCACAGACATCCACGCCGAAGGCTGCAAGGTTAAATGGGAGAAGCCAGAAGACGATGGTGGCTCTCCAGTCAAGGAGTACGAGCTCGAGAAGATGGATGTCGCCACTGGCAAGTGGGTCAGGGTTGGCAGGTCAGTATTTTTCTATTTGAGTATGTAGTTAGGGCTGTGCTGTAGATAGATATTTAAAAATACAATAGTGTTCTCTGATTTCATTATCTATTTGGTTTCTTTCATAGTGATTCTGGAGTTAAATTATTCATAATAACTATCATGAGATATACTAAATTAAGTAAAATCGCGGGTTACTCACGTGAATATACTGAGAAAAGCTCTACTAGTTTCGAACCACAGAGGGGTTCTTCCTCATGAGCAGCGTGCGCGGTCGCGCCGTACACGTGAGTAACCCGCGATTTTACTTAATTTAAATTATTCATTTGAAATAGTAGTGTAAAGTTTCTTTATGATGCACCTACTTTCAATAATTAATCATTTTCATTGCAACTATATTACATTGTATATAACATAAGTAGGTACTGGTATCATTTTTTTATACAGTCGAAGTGAGCATATTTAAAAGTCGGGCATTATTCTAAACACCATGCTGTTCCTAAAAAAACTCCAACATCAAGTTGCCCTCCTCGGGAAACCAGGGTATCGTGCGATGATGCGACCTCATCTAACTATCTGTTATTCAACTTTCAGAGTTGCTGGAGACAAGAAGCCTCTGGAGATGGAAGTGACTGGTCTGGAACCTGGTCACCAGTACAAGTTCAGGGTGACAGCTGTCAATGATGAGGGTGATTCCGATCCTCTCGAAGCTGAACGCGCTATCCTCGCTAAGAATCCATTCGGTAAGGGTTCTTACTTAAAATTATTATAGTTACGATCAAAATGGTTTCTATTCTGAGTTTGCATAATAGAGATTAAAGTATGTTTACATCTTGGAAAACAAGACTAAACGTTTTTAAGGATTGGATCTAGTCCAACAACCTGTTCCCATACATATATACATACTAGCTTTTACCCGCGGCTTCGCTCGAGTCCCAAAAGGATAAAAAATAGCCTATGTGACATATACCAATACACACAGCGCCATCTATACCAATACTTTTGTTTTCCTTCGGGAATATCACATTTTTCCGGGATAAAAAGTACCCTATTATTTAATCCGGACTTCTAACTTTACGTCTGTAATAATTCAAAGCAATCGGTTTAGTAGTTACGGCCTGAAAGCGGTACAAACAAACAAACTCACTTTCCGATTTATAATATTAGTAAGGATATTATACATTAAAATAATTCCTTGAGTATTATTTGAGCCCGTAAACTACAATAAAAAGTCGTCTGGAACCTGCTAATAGTGCTAATCACTTCAATCTTCTCCCACAGAGGCATCAGACAAGCCTGGCAATGTGGAGGTCGCAGACCACGACAACCAGAGCGCAGATATCAAATGGGACCCGCCTAAGAACGACGGCGGTGCTCCAATCCTCAAGTACATTATCCAGAAGAAGCCTAAAGGCGGTGATTGGGAGAATGCTGCTGAGGTAAATAGAAACTTGTTCTATTTTTTGTGGGAAACATAAACGGACAGACTGATTACCTGATTGTAGACAATCAGCGCCACCCTTTATCACTCAAACCACCAGAGGAGATACAATAACGTTTGGGTAAATGTAAATTGGGTAAATGGGACATTTGGGATATAAACATAACGCCTTTTACCCCCGAAGGGGTAGGCAGAGGTGCACATTATGCCACTGTACAATGTAACACCCACTTTACACTATTTATGTTATCGAGTTCCATGTTATAGGGGATGAGCCTATTGCTATATACCGGCCACAATTCTAGACTCCGTGACTGAGAATTTTTTAAACACCCTGTAATGCTTTGCCTGACCCAGGAATCGAACCCGAGACCCCTTACCCGGTATATGTAATCCAACTTAGTGTGGAAACGGCTGACCACCGTTTTTTCGATCAAATCTAGCTCTGAGATTGATTTTTAATACATCTCTTAAATCTACCGAGTAGGTTGAAAAACTTTTGATCAGTGGATTGTCATAAGGGTGATTTATTTATAGTTCTTCAATTCCTAACAATTGCCCATTTTCCACAGGTACCTGGAACCCAGAACACGGCTAAGATCGACGGTCTACCAGAAGGTAGCGAGTACCAGTTCCGCGTGGTCGCCGTCAACAAGGCTGGACCTTCCGAACCTTCGGACCCTACCAAGATGACCACCATCAGGCACAAGGCCCGTAAGTATTATGAGATTTTTTAATAGGATTTGTGTTGATGATCGAAAACAATTTGTGATGTGGTAGAATATTTAAAGAATATTTTCAGTCCAATGGGTGGAATTGTGGACTTTTAAAGAAGCTTTGGCTTTTATAAGAGTCTACTGATAGTTATAAAAATTCTATTGATAGTTTGGTAGCGATTTTAACATTGATTTAATTTGTTAAATCACCATTAAAATGTCAATCTAACCAGCTGTCTTTATAAACTATTATAGATATTTACTTAACATTTTTTATTATCGATCATTTTTCTTTGCTGATTTTAACTTAAATCTTTCCCTATTCATAGTGAAACCCCGCATCGACCGCACCAACCTGAAGGCGCTGGCAGTGCGCGCGGGCAAGCCAATCTTCTTCGACGTCAACGTCAAGGGTGAACCCGCACCCAAGGTGCAATGGTTCCGCAAGTGGAAGGGCGAAGAGACTGAGGTAAGGATGCAGAAAGGATCCCTATTAATATTGTAGTTGAGAATCTCCACATTGATAAATGCTGATAGACTGGTATGTCTTTATGCGACACTAGCGCCTCTTAGCGAGCGCTCTAACAAACTTTAGCGAGCTCTTAAACTCTTAACTTTTCATTGTAAGAATGCACTCAATGCACCTATTGCAGGCCCCTATTACTCAAAATGTCTTCAATTGGATTTTCACGTGGAACATTCCATGTGTGATCTACAAAATCTTGTTGTTGTTTCTTGTAGAAATAAATTTTATTACTGTAACGGTAGAAAAGGCTTTAATTGGAAATATACTGATTACAGTTAAACCTAAATAAGACTAAAATGCACCATATTAAACCACTTCTTACTCCCCAGGTTAAAGAAAACGTAATCAACGTGGACTACAACACCAAACTGGACATCAAGGAGTCCGTCCGCGCTATGACTGGTACCTACCGTATCCTAGCAACCAATGAGCATGGTTCTGATGAAGCTGAAGTTGAGATCACCGTACTGTCTGCTCCTGGCAAACCTGGTGGTCCACTGAAGGTTGCTGATGTCACCAAGAACGGCTGCAAGCTGTCTTGGAAGAAACCTGAAGATGATGGTGGTAAGTTGGATTTGAAGTTCTTTGGATGTATAGGTATGTAGTTTTGGGATAGGCTTCCTAATTTCGGATTTATAGAAGACATTGAATGTGACATACCGACTGTAAAAAAACTTATGATTTTGACAGTTAATGTTCTCTTTGATCAATCTTGGATCTTCGGAAGGTGTATGAGGGGCCAAAACCAAATTTTTAGTCACTTACGTAAAAAGCTCAAATTTATGAGACCTTGAGAATATTGGCAAAAATTCTCCAATCTTAATCATTCTTTTATAAACTACATTTAGAAAACAGATTTCAATCCCCTGTTTTTTTGGAGTCTATTAATTAATATACAAAAATACTTATTGCTGATTTTAACTTAAATCTTTCTTGGGTAAATCTTTCTTAGGAGAACATTTTTGTATTCTTCCTACAAACACTTCTGAAAACCACATCACAATCGGTACAGCCAATCGTGAGATAATTGCACACAAACATACATTCATACAGCTCAAACAGGGAACCTCTTTTTGAAGTCGGTTGAAAATATCGAATCCCCTCCTATTACCTCAGGTAAACCAGTAACTGGCTACGTTGTCGAGAAATTGAACAAGGCGACTGGTCGCTGGGTGCCAGTCGGCAAGACTGATGATACTGAGATGGACATCAAGGGGCTGCAGGAAGGTGAAGAGTACGAGTTCAGGGTGAAGGCAGTCAACGAGGAGGGAGAGTCTGAACCTTTGAAGACTGACCACTCTATCATCGCTAAGAATCCTTATGGTGAGTTATTTGGTATGAGTAAGAAAGTGTGCGATAAATAGAGAGAGAAGATGACGTGGAGATGAAAGTCATGGATTTATTTATTACAAGTTTATCGCGTTAAGCGACTTGCCATTGATAAAATAATTTACCTGTATTAGAATTCTATGGAAACCATGTGGCGTGGCTAGTGTTTTATGGCATAGTGATTAACCATATCGTCTAATGAGGACAAGCAGAGTCGCAAGTGTATCGCGAAACTTTTAAGAGTTTGGAGATTTGGGATAGGGAATGAGAAGAATAGGATAGATGCCTAATTTTTATCTTAATGCCGTCTGGTAGATTATTTTAAATCATTAGACACTTATTTTTAATTTTCTTACAGAAACTAATACTTTCAACGATATATTGATTTGAAATGTCGCGCGACGTCACTTCTATGTACATTTTTTACGTAGAAATGACGTTTTAGCCCCCACTCCTAGACTTTGATTCGTTTTATCTAAGTATTGTTTTACACGACAAAATAAAAAAATGCATGTCATATATTTTTATTACCTTACTTACGGATTAATTATATTTTTAATTTTCATACCCTGTGGTCATCCCAATTGGGTGTAGTTTGAACGAATTCTAATAAAAAATAAAAATTCTCGCATTCTGTTAATAAATTAACCCTATCTTTTCCTACAGACATCCCTGGCAAGCCATCAGTCCCAACCCTGGAGGACTGGGATGTGGACCGTGTGGACCTCAAATGGGAGGCTCCTAAGAACAATGGAGGAGCGCCTATCACTGGCTACATCATCGAGAAGAAAGAGAAATACGGATCTTGGACAGAGGCGCTTGTTACTACGGTAAGATTAGCTTTAAGTTATAAATAAATAAATAAATAAAGGAATTTATTTCTCTCAAAAAGGTACATAGAAACATAATGTCACTATTTAAGTTACATAAGAAATGTTTTAACTGTCTCACTGTGCTGTTAAAAAGGGTCTTCAAGAATGAAGAAGAACTAATCCAATTGTATAAACATCTCTAACTATTATTTTTTCATATTTGATGGGCCGACGTCTGGTCACTATCTATAATTACAATAGTCTATAGTTACAAAATCTAAAACGTTAGATGACTGTTTCTTTTCACGTAGTTATAAGTTCAATTCCAATAAGTTAAACCAGGCATTACGTACTATTCGGACTTCTAGGACATTTAAACATTATAAAAACGCCCGAATCTAGAATCGAGCTTGACACTTCTCACATATTATACGCGATCACGTCCTAACTCAAATAGGGATCCATTTTCTAAAACAAAAGAAGGGCCACCATCGTTAAGTTCGTATATACCTACTTATTTGTCTTAGAGTAACTCAAGAGCTGATGGTTACCAAATTAGCAATTGATTATGTAGTCGTTATGTTTTTAAGTAATTATTAATGTTTCAAACAAAATTTTAAGCGTTTAATTTAAGTAGGTGCGCAGAATATACATAAAAGAGCTTAAAACACGGTGGCCCTTATTTGCTTTTGAGTAGTATATTTTAAAGCTACAATATCAAATGTGACACTTGTCCCCAGACGCCAGAATGCAAGGCTCGCGTGCCGGACCTGAAAGAAGGCAACGTGTACCAGTTCCGTGTGCGCGCCGTCAACAAGGCCGGCCCGGGAGAACCGGGAGATGCTACACAACCGCATACGGCTAAGGCCAGATTCTGTAAGTTTATACTAACTGTAGATAAAATAACAATTATACAACTTTTCATTATAGCCAATACAAGATAAAGCATGTCAAGATTCGAATTGTCATTAAAAAAAAATGTTATGTAAAATCTACAAATATATTTACTATCAATGTCAAAATAAAACATTGTTTAATAATAATACAAAAACACGTTATTACAATGTGAAAACATATTACAATGTCATCAGCTTTCACCTCATGTGTGTTATCAACAGAAGTTATGGAATATATATTATTCTCTTACAGTGAAACCTCACATCAACCGCGACAAGATGCACGCCATCCGCGTCCGCGCCGGTACCACCATCAAACTGGATGTCGACATCAAGGGTGAACCTCCACCAACCAAGACCTGGACCTTCGCCAAGAAGGTAGGGAATTCATTTATTTTGAGATATCATTAACTGATTATAAGATATTCTATGATAATGTCAGATCTGCTTCCAATAGTCGGAAAATCGAACATTATTTTAGTTTTAGGCCTAAAGAACTAATTAATCTATATGTATAAATAAAAATTAATTTCCGTCCCTTACTCTCACAAAAACTCGAGAGAGGCTGAATCGATTTGTCTAATTTTGGTCTTGAATGTTAATTGAAGTCCAGGGAAGGTTTAAAAAGTGAGAAATCAGTCGGGTAAAACAAATTTTGAGGCGGTTCGAAAATTCCCGGGTCAGTTAATTTGTAAAAATGATTTTGAAACTCGGGCAAGCTGCCTGAATAAAATTTTTAGCCGTACTAAAAATACTGTATGACAAGAATTTTGAAATAATGAAAAATAGCCAATTTTACTGTTGTGATTGCTAGTTAAGTTATAACTTGAACGTTATAGACACCACCATACTTTTCCAACAAAAAATGTTGTACCAAAACAAAAATTAATCCTTCCCCAATTAAACCCAGGTCCTGGAAACCGGCCCAGGGCTGAAGATCGAGAACGAGGACTACAACACAAAGATGCAGATCTTCGACTCGACCTGGGCCAACTCTGGAATCTACACGCTCAAGGCGGAGAACGATTCTGGAGTCGATGAGGCTACAGTGGAGATCACTGTACTGGGTACGTATTTTTTTTTTTTTGTTAATACAGAATGTTTATCTAATCGTATTAGATTAAACAAGCAATTCTTGTATAATAATGTATGTATCAATCTATATAATAAATTATGATCTCGGAAAAGGCTGTAACATATTTGTAGCTAAGTTTCGATATTTATTAAATTTATATTAATGATTTTTTTTTGAGCTAATAGTTAAGTTTAGTTTTGTGTCATTAATTTTAGTATTTGTTAAATTATAGTGTAAATTGTTATGAATGAAACAACCAATTATCAAATCCATCTCATACCAGTATGTGTAACTGTAAACAGTATGTGTACCGCAACAGTTTTGCAATACGATACTTTAAAATTCAAGAAAATGAACTTGTATTTAAAACATCACTCTCTTCACAGACAAGCCCGGCAAGCCCGAGGGTCCTCTAGAAGTATCGGACGTGCACGCGGACCACGTGAAGCTGAGCTGGAACAAGCCCAAGCACACCGGCGGCCTGCCGCTGTCTGCGTACGTCGTCGAGAAGATGGACACCCTCACTGGGAAGTGGGTGCCCGCCGGTACTGTCGACCCCGATACCACTGAGGCTACTGTTACTGGTCAGTATTACTGAGGCATTTAGTTTGAAAACAACTTAGTAATGGTTTATAGATTTTTTACTATGATTTCAGATAGTAGTTAATTTTATTATGGTTCTTTCTTTCGAATTAAAAATATATTCTGGACAGATTTTCCTTTATTAACTAAAAAATCGCGGGTTACTCACGTGAATATACAGTAATGCGCGGTTGGCGCGATGGTTGGGCGACCGGCTGCCGTGCAACGTGTAGTGGGTTCGGTTCCCACGCGGAGCAACTCTTTGTGTGATCCACAAATTGTTGTTCCGGGTCTGGGTGTGAAGTGTATGTCAACTTGTTTGTAAACGCACCCACGACACAGGAGAAAATCCTAGTGTGGGGCAACGTTTAGATAATATAAAATCTGTATGCTTTTAATTTATCAATATACTTCAATTCATCTAAAAACTAAAAACTACATCGTATACCAAACCAAATTAACGTCAACTCATATAATCTTAACAATTTTAACTAATCACCATTCACCATATGTTCCTCAACAGGCCTAGAAGCGGGTCACACGTACCAGTTCCGCGTAAAGGCTCTGAACGAGGAAGGAGAATCCGAACCCTTGGAGACAGACCATGGAATCCTGGCCAAGAACCCATACGACGTCCCAGCACCACCTGGCTTACCAGACATTGTGGATTGGGATGAGAAGTCAGCTAAACTTAAATGGGAGCCCCCTATCAGGGACAATGGAGCTCCTATCACCGGCTACATTATTGAAGTCATGGACAGAGATAGAGGAGAGTTTGTTAAGGTTTGTATTGTTTAAGTTTTTTCTTAAGGGGGAAATATTGTCGAATGACTTCTCCTGCGTGGGTGAGGCGGGAGTAGACATATCAAAATAATTATTATTTTGATATGTCTAGTGCTGTTGCCCTATAAAACCATTAAACATCAATATTCTTAGAATTTTCACAAAAAGTGCAACTCATTTAGTAGTCTACAGATGATAAACATAGAAAACAAACCATCTAACCTCTCCAGTATTACAATAACATAACATCACGCCTTTTACCTCCGAAGGGGTAGGTAGAGGTGCACTTAATACTTAATGCCAACTGTAACACTGTTATTATAACTTATAACTGTTATAAGTCCCATGTAATAAGGGGTAAGCCTATTGCCATATAATATAATACTGACCTTATTTTATAAAAGCCAGTAATACTTAACCCGTGACCTCTTGTCCAGCAGTCGCACTTGCGACCACTCCGCCAGCGAGGCAATCAGTATCACAATACACTTACTTTATTCAATAAAAAAATAACCTCAATTTTTCCCTCCTAGGCTGCGGAAATCCAAGGCAACATATGCCAGGGTACAGTACCGAAGCTGGAGGAGGGCAACCAGTACCAGTTCCGTATCCGTGCCCTGAACAAGGCTGGACAGTCCGAACCTTCGGAGAACACCAACTGGCATACAGCTAAGCCAAGATTCTGTAAGTACCTATAAGCATTTAATGTAAAAAAGTATTTCTGAGTTAGGGTCTTTTTTGCCATCTTTTAGTACGCTACAAGGGTATTTCTTAGATAAAAGTAATTACAGTAAATTCAAGTTAATATGGGTAACTTTAAATGGCATACCAAGTTTAATACTTGGAGATTCCAGTTCTCATTAGCTATATCTGTATCCTCATTGTACTGGTTCTTGTTAAATCTCTGAAATATAATAATAATATAGCATCGAAACGAATTCTTAAAGAACTAAGACTTACCCTAGAGATCAACGTATCTTATAATTGACGCGGTGACTGGGCCAACGGTTGCCGCGCAAGGTGTCGTGAGTTCGATTTCCGCTCGGAACAACTCTTGTGTGATCCTCAGATTATTGTTCCGGGTGTAATGTGTATGTGGAATTGTATATTTATAAACGCACCCACGTCACAGGGGAAAATTCTAGAGCGAAGGGCGATTTTTTTTTTGAAATATAGATTAATATAATAACTGACAATAGTGTATAAAAACGAAGAATATGTTCACTCGGCCAAGGAGGCAGTCATAATAAATAAAATAATAAATATAACATCCTTTTAAACCCCTTCCATTTTCTCTCAACAGTGAAACCAAGAATCGACCGCACAAACCTGAACCCGATCACTGTAAAGGCTGGGCTCCCAGTTTCCCTGGACGTCAAGGTCTTCGGAGAACCACCAGCCACCGTCACCTGGTACTTCAAGGGTGAGGAGCTGAAGAACAGGGAAAACCTGGAGATTATCAATGTGGACTATAATACCAAGTTCTTGATGACCAAGTCCAAGAGGGCGCAGACTGGAAAGTATGTCATTAAGGCCAAGAATGAGGTCGGAGAAGACGAGGCTGAAGTTGAGATTACTATTCTTGGTGAGTGTTACGTTATAGTATACTAGCTTATACCTGCGGCTTCGCTCGCGTCACAAAAGGATAAAAGTAGCCTATACCAATACACACAGCGCCATCTATACCAATTCTTTTGTTTTCCCTCGGGAATATCAAATTTTTCCGGGATAAAAAGTACCTTATTATTTAATCCGGACTTCTAACTATGCATCTGCAAAAATTCAAAGCAATCGGTTTAGTAGTTACGGCGTTAAAGTGGAACAAACAAACTTTCCCATTTATAATATAAGTAAGGATTGTGTTAGTTTTGTTCTTTTATAGAAAGTACTCTAGTTTTCTAAGATATATACACTATTAGCTACTTTCACGCGGTTATACCCTCTCTGCTCGGCGGTTATTGATCGTAGCATGATGTTTTATTGTCCATAGCCTACCACGATAAATAAACTATCCAACACAAAAAGAATTTTTGTAATCGTACCAGGAGATCCGGAGATATAATAGTATAAATTTTATAGCCCCGTTACAAATAGTCACTTCATAATACAATGAATAAGCTTGTATTAACGTCTCATTATATTTCTCAATTTTACGTAATTACATTTTACATGATTCTCAACAGGCAAGCCCTCGAAACCACAAGGACCTCTGGACGTGTCTGATGTCACAAAGAACGGCTGCACTCTCACTTGGAAGAAACCAGAAGACGATGGCGGATCACCCATCGAATACTACGAGATTGAGAAACTTGATCCTCTTACTGGTAAGATGTTCATATTAATTGTACATTTATACGTAAGTACAAGTGTCGTGATGGCCCGGAGGTTCGAAACCTACCAACGGCAAACATGTTTTTTTTAATAATTTTAATCTAATCTCATATGTTAACCCGTCGAGCGTCCGCGTTCTTTATGCATTTCCTTATCATATGCATGCAAGAAAATGCATTTGTTTGGCCAAATAGAAATAAAACAAATACAGTCAAAATAAAAATAAAACAAATACAGTCAAAATAAAAATAAAACATTAATAATAGATTTTATAAAAGAGAAAGCAGCATGGAGCATTTTTTCTTATGATCCACCGGGTGCTCATAAGGACGCTCGAGGGGTTAATAGTTTTAATTTTAATTAAGTAATAGTTAGTTTTAATCTCATATGACGTAAACTAAAGTCTTAAAAAAATCTCATACTAAAATTATCCCTATACCACACAAATAATGTTTTCATTTCCTTGCAGGCCAATGGATCCCTTGTGCCACAGCTAAGGACTGCAAGGCCAACATCACCGGCCTGTCTGAAGGCAAGCCTTACAAGTTCAGGGTCAAGGCCGTCAACAAGGAGGGAGAGTCTGAAGAACTGGAGACTGACAAGCCTATCATTGCTAAGAATCCCTTCGGTGAGTGTTGTTATACGTTTTATTAGGTCGACTTGAAACTATATAAAAAAATCTAAGAAACTAACTTAAATACACTTCTCATTGTTGTATTGTTATAAAACTTAGCAATAGTGTGAAGATTACATGCCCATAATAATATTATGATATTATCAAGTTGGTTTAATGATGAAATGGAAGGTAGCGGAACATTGATCTATCTAGTTTGGGCTCATTAAATATGTCCAATATGCAGGTATTTATACTAATGGTAAAAACATAATATGATTAAAAGAGGGGTTATAGCTATTTAACTATGAATTCAGCCCGAAATACACGAGTTAAATCTTTGTACATTTAATCAAATTAATATTATTTATTATCTGAAGTCTATTTGGAAGTATGTTGTCATTAATATAATAATGGTTAACAGACGAGCCCGGCAAACCTGGTCGTCCGGAGCCACGTAACTGGGACAAGGACTTCGTGGAGCTGGAATGGACTCCACCCAAGAACGATGGAGGAGCTCCCATCACTGGATACATTGTACAGAAGAGGGAGAAGGGTGGAAGGTGGGTACTGGCTTTGAGAGAAAAATTAATTAAGAATGTTTGTTAGCTAATCTATTTGGGTATTAAACCTTAGGTTTTTTTTAGCCACATATGAGTTGTTAATTCTCAAATGCTTAGCAATATCCTTACCTAACGACATTTATTTAAAGAGGGATTTCATAAGATAGTATTATAATGAGTTTACAATATAATAATAGCACAATGTGTCTAAAATATAATGGATATTCATTTCAATACTTTAAAAAAACTTTTTTATATATTATGCAAATGCGTTAATCATAAATTAATCGTATTAAATAGTGTTTTTAAATAAGTTATCAAGCATACAATGTATACAATTTGACTGAGACATACCAAATATTTGCATGCCTAATGGGTAGAACAAAGAGATATGCTGATAACTCAAAAAACACCCTAGTCACTATGTACTACACCGTTGTTTAGCAAATAAAGCTGTTTGATTTGATTTAAACAAAACAATGAGGTCCTATTGTCGTACACCACATCTGATCCTCAACATTCCTTCAACCAGATCCTGGTCAGACTGCCTCAAGACTACAGGCGACCGTCCGACTGGTCGCGTGACGGACGTGGAGGAAGGTCACGAGTACGAATTCCGTGTCATGGCCGTCAACAAGGCTGGACCGGGAGAACCTTCCGATCCTAGCAAGAGTGTCATTGCTAAGCCACGATTCTGTAAGTATTTGTTAATTTATATGTAAATAGTTGTGTGTTTGAGAAAAATATTGAAGTAATAATACTGGATTTTATTGAATGAACGAATGAGTGATTGAATGAAGGAATGATTGAGTGAATGAATTAATGTAGTTTTTGAATTAACGGGGCATTCACCTTCTGGGCAAAAGAGACTCTTTTCACATTGATACTATCAAATCTTTTTCTAATTCTGTCTAATTCTTATATATTCGCTTTGTCTAATTCTTATATATTCGCCTATCAATTCAAACTGCTATTGAATATAAATGCTTGACAAAAAAACATTCACGCTTTTCATGCTTGAGGTTGCGGGTTCGAAACCTACCAACAGCAATTACCCATGTGACATTCACCCATTCTTCTTCATAAAGTATACTACTAATCATATCTCCACCCAACAGTGAAACCACACATCGACCGCAAGAACCTTCAAAGCAAGAAGATCAAGGTTGGCTCACCTCTCAAGATGGACGCCGACGTCAAGGGTGAACCAGAGCCAGTCATCACCTGGACCTTCAAGGGCGAACCCCTCAAATCTGCTGGAAGATTACAGATTGACAATAAGGACTATCACACCACATTCTCTATAGACAAGATGACCAGGGCTGATGCTGGTAAATACGTGGTGACCGCTAAGAATGACTCCGGTGTTGATACCGTTGAAATAGAAGTCGAGGTCGTCAGCAAGCCTAGCAAGCCGAAGGGACCTCTTAAGGTTAGTTTCGTTTTTTAACCAACTTCAAAAAAAGAGGAGAAAAAAAAGGTGTATGTATGTTTGATATGATTCTCTCGCGATTGGTTGAACTGATTTTGATGCGGTTTTCAGAAAAGTGTTTGTTACACTTAGGACTAGGTTTTTTAGTTTATTAATTAACTGATTTAAAAACGATTTTTATGAAGGTAGATTATAAAAGAATTATTGTAGTATTATAATAATAAAGTTTTTTCCCAAAGTGGATGATGAAAGATGTGGTAGAAAAATAATAATCATCAACAACAGTAGGCCATGAGATTCACTGGCCACCGGCCACCATCTCGCCTGGTGATAAACGATGATGTGGCTGACGATATGTAGGTCCTTATTCGATTCTTAGAACACCCGCGCACAAAGTCTCTCTACCTTGTGACCAAATATATAGCAAGCTTAGCTTGTCCAACAAATATTACTCTTAAGGCTTAAAGCATATTCTCCCACCACCCATTTAAGGTGTGGTCTAAAACTCAGTGTAGACTTTTGACGTTATCTATAACAAATATGAAGAAAACGCATTTTGGAGTCTTGGGATAACATAAGATATGCACCAAACTTAAAACTTACTCTCCTTCCTTCCATCAGGTATCAGACGTCACAGCAGAAGGTTGCAAGCTCAAATGGGAGCCGCCAGAAGATGATGGAGGCGAACCCATCGAGAACTATGTCGTTGAACGTATGGACGCAGAGTCAGGAAGATGGGTCCCTGTCTGCACCACCAAGACTCCTGAAGCCGATGTTACGGGTCTCAATGAGGGCAAGGACTATCTGTTCAGGGTGAAGGCTGTCAACCCTGAGGGTGAAAGTGAACCGCTGGTTACTGAAACTGCTACTACTGCTAAGAATCCTTATGGTGAGTTGTGGTTGTATAGAACCTCTTTGTTTCAAGTCTGTTTCAGTTGCGTCATTTCCAAATATAGGAATTTATGGTGTCAGTTTCTCTTATCATCCCCTATTTCATGGGGCTCATAACATAAATAGTGAAAAGTGGGTATTACATTGTACAGTGGCATAATGTGCACCTCTGCCTACACCTTCCAGGTTAAAAGGCATGATATAATGTTAATCTCTTATCGGTAACCTAATTATTCGAAATTGCTGTCCAAAAGCGACTTTGATATTCTAAAATCAATTCACAAAATTACTTTTGAATATTTGAATATCAAATTTTTTTTCATATTTAATTTCATTGATTAAAACTACCAAACTAAAACAATAAACTAAATCATATCTCCAGGCGAGCCCGACGCACCTGGCAAGCCAGAGTTCAAGGACTGGAGCAAGGATCACGCAGACCTCAAGTGGGAGGCACCCAAGAACGACGGTGGCGCCCCCATCACTGCATACATTGTGGAGAAGAAGGATCGCGACACCGGCAAGTGGGTGAAGGCTGCTGAGGTACGTGTAGTCTTTATGAAGACTGTTTTCTTGATTAGAAGTAGGTTATTTATGGTTTTTCTTGTAAGAGCCGTTTTGGGAGTAGTTTTACTGGAGAGGATGAGAGTTATTCTAGTCAATACTCGCAAATAATGATTTATTTTGCTATTCCTTTGCTATAAAATCAGCGACCCATGTCGTAATTTCACTGCACTGTTCTTGTAAGTTTATTTTTGCAATGCTCTCTCAACAATCATTAGCAAATACAATTAACATTTGACTGCACAAAAAAGGGGAATTTTCAATGGTTAATCTGACAACTATTGACCATTTCTCTTTTAACCTGATCTGTTGACTAAGGTTCGAAAAACCTTAACCACTCTTTACACAAAACCTCTTAATCCACCCCCAGGTGCCCGGCAACAAGACCGAGGCCCGTGTGCCCGACCTGATCGAAGGCAAGACCTACCAGTTCCGAGTGAAGGCCGTCAACAAGGCTGGACCCGGCAAGGCGTCCGCGCCTTCCGAGAATCTGCTGGCTAAGGATAGATTTGGTAAGAAAACTCTATAACTGCTATAATATATTTTATATATTTATGTACTATACATAAATGTCTAGTCCCATAAATGGCAATGTGTTATTATATAGATTAGGCCCTATTCAGGGGCGTAGCTAGCGCCGTATCTGCCGTATCAATTATACGGGGCCCCCAGACTACAGGGGCCCCCAACGTGCCTCAAAAGTAAAAAAAAAAACATTTTTTCCCGCGTAAAGCATGCGTTTAAAGGTTGGCAGAAACTTAAGAAAAATAAAAGTAATTAAGGTCCTCTAATTAGGGCAGAGGGAGTTGCCTGAAAAGATTTTCGGTTTTCACACAAATTATAAGTATTTTATGTACAAAATCTTATGAGAAATTTTTACCCTTCAAGGGCCCCTAAACAAATTTTTATACGGGGCCCCCCCAAGGCACACTACGCCACTGGCTCTATTATATAGAGCCCGTCTATTATTCTTTCTGGTACTATTGTAATCCTGATAACTAAATATCGTAATAAATTAATCGTACTGATTTCGTCCACAGCGCCACCTAAGATCGACCGTACGAACATGCGCGATATCACTCTCAAGGCGGGACAGAACATCAGATTGGACGTGAAGGTCAGCGGAGAACCGCCACCGACTAAGACTTGGTGAGTACTTGCTTACATAAATTACTGTTTGATTAACGGACATGTTTGACTAAGATACTGCCTCGTTGGCCGAGTAATCGCAAGGGCGATTGCCAGGCGAGGGGTCTCGGGTTCGATTCCCGGGTTAAGCAAAGTACCCTGATATACTTTAAAAAAATCTTAGTAGTAGCATGGAGTCTGGAATGGTACCCGGTATATGCCAATAGGCTCACCCCTATTACATAAGGCTCGTAACATAAATAGTGAAAAGTGAGTGTTACATTGTAGTGGTATTAAGTGCCGTAGTGTGCACGTCTGCCTACCCCTTCGATAATAAAAGGCGTGTTATTATGTTTAACCAAGATAGAATAAATGTTTAGTAGTATTTTAAAGTTTGTTTTTAAACATGAATAGGAATTTAAATAGGTCTCTTAACCTCTTATCTGCCGGCATGTGAGATACAATAGAAAACACATTGTGTCTCTCGTATATCTACGTTCATACCAGGGGTTAATTACTTTTTTCTCAATGAAACAAATTGTTCGCGCTTGCGCAGGCTCCACAAATATGTATAAAACATATGAAAGCCTCCATGCTTTGTATCGTCTTTGGATAAGGTGACACACGTGTCATAAAACAAACGTCAATTGAAATATTCTAGCTACAAATTGAAATATCGTAAAGAATTAATTTTATTTCGATAATATAGGATTGTTATTTTAGTTATTTAATTTAAAGAATTTAAGTGAGGATCGACGGGCTAAAGCAGTGACAATTAATTGTCGATTCTCTATTGTTATAGATGAATCCTATTATTTCATTGCTGTCTCAAATCCTCATCTTATACATATATCTTACAATATGTTTGAGGTGTCCAAATCAATTCTCGATCAGTAGATATTCTGATCCAACCCACAATATTCGTCATATCTTCTCTATTCCAACGTTGGTACAGAATACGTCAGTCTCTTAAACCCCAAATATTTAACAATAAATCTTATTGATTACTCAACTTTTGCCAAAAGATGGTTGAACGCTATCGTACCATCATAACTTAAAAACTAATATCTTACTACGATCTTTATCCCCAGGTTCCACAACAAGGAACGTCTATCGACTCGCGAGGATCTGACGGTAGACGTGGAAGACTACAGGACCAAGCTATCCGTAGTCATTGCTTCACGCAAACACAGCGGCACTTATGTCCTGAAGGCTGAAAACTCCAGCGGCAAGGACGAAGCCACTATTCAGATTAATGTACTAGATGTACCTGCTAAACCTGAAGGACCTCTTAAGGTTAGTTGAATTTGAGCTTTATTTGTGTTAGGACATAGTTTGGTTTTGAGTGTCGCGGTAAAGTACCAGTTTGTAGTTTTTTCATTGGATTTTTGACTTTATATCAAAATGTTAAAGTTCAGAATGTAATAAAGAATTTAGACTAAAGTGAGCAGGTTAACCGATTGACTATTGCATATGGAGTTACGATAAGTTATGGTGCGATTTTTCAGTTGATTGACCCTAAAAATAATCTGTATCACATTTCCATTTAAATGTTTGTTACAAGATCAAAGTAAGCTATGTTTAAAAAGTGAATATTACACACATTCTATAGGTATTCTCATCGTATTAATGCTTAAAATGTTACCTTCAATGAATGTAAAATAAACTACCACACAAACCAATAAAACCATTTCAACAGATCTCAGACGTCCACAAAGAAGGTTGCACACTCAAATGGAACCCGCCACTAGACGACGGTGGCGCCCCCATCGACCATTACTTGGTCGAGAAACTAGACACGGAGACTGGACGCTGGATGCCAGCGCTGAAGACCAAGGATCCGAAGGCGGAGATTGAGAACCTGGTACCAGGACATGAGTACAAGTTCAGGGTGTCCGCTGTCAACAATGAGGGAGTTTCGGAGCCGCTTGAGGCTGACCACTCTATTATTGCGAAGAATCCGTTCGGTGAGTGGTTTTTTAACCGACTTAAAAAAAACATAAGTTCTCAGTTTATTTTATTTATGTTTGTGCGCGATTAGTTGAACCTATTTTGATGCAGTTTTCAAAAAAGTGTTGGTTACACTTAATGGGTCTGCCATCAAAAAATGGGTTGAAGTGGGTTTTTAAACGTAGTTCATGATTCAGAATTATAGAATTTTATTGTGTTGATTTTAGCTGTTTCCTTAATTGGTTAACCCCTCGAGCGTCCTTATGAGCACCCGGTGGATCATAAGAAAAAATGCTCCAAATGTCACGTGTGCACCCGATGGATCATAAGGAACGCGGACGCTCGACGTTTAAAATTCAAAACAATTTTTATTTATTGATTTTATGAGGGGCATCAACTTTATTACCTTTCAGTCTCTCGGATCACTTCAAAAAACAATGTTGTAGTGTAAAAAGATATTTCCTCCTGGTTTATAAACAGTTAAATTATTTGCTTGAGATTTTTCATAATTTTAAGCAATATAGAGACAATATAGTTTAAAGGCTATCAAAGACCTTATTTTGAATTCTAGCCCCCACAATAACAGGTCCCAGTTTTAATCAACAACAGTTATTATAATTAAAATTCTAACTCCACACCAATAAAATCCATTCTCCCTCAACAGATGAACCCGGCAAGCCTGGAACACCAGAAGTGGTGGACTGGGACAAGGACCATGTGGACCTTAAATGGGAGAAACCCCTCAAGGATGGAGGAGCGCCTATCACCGGCTATATCATTGAGAAGAGGGAGGTCGGATCACCCAAGTGGGTGAAGGCTTGTGAGGTGAGTTTGTGAACTAAGGATTTATGGAACTTAATTAGCTAGTTTCCTATGTTTAAAATAAATTGTTTCAACTTTTCAATGCAATAAATAATTTAAAAACAACCATACTCTCATATATTGATTTGACAATTTACCTACTTTTGGATTTTTTCTCGCTAATTTTAAGGAAATAAGTATGCTTTTTGACGCAGAAATATAATGACGTCACAGGCTGCGATCCAATACAAAATTCATAGAAAAGTATCGTTTTTGACATTTCAATAAAAGTATTGAATTTGACTACCTGTCAACTGAACTACCGTTTTGCTTGTATTATGGTTGTCGAGTAGTGGATTTCAGGATTAATTTTGAGTTAGGTATAGTGCAGGTTTTTTGGTTTCTGAATTATTAGGTAGAATTACACGAGTGCCCTGTGTTTAGGTATAGTGCCTGCATTGCAATGGGACTCAAATTTATGTCTATGTTTGATTTTTTTATCTTGGCACTCGATTCTTTGATAAAACAGAAAATGTTCCCGATGTTTAGCTATAGATTTTTTTTCAATTAGGAACGATGATAATGTGATGGGGTGTACTAAAATAACTAAAATTAAATACTGGACATCCTGGAAGGTCATGTTTTTATAGGATAATGCGGTAAACGGGTATACGTATCACCAGAAGCGTTACAAATGCGTTACTGGCCTTTTATAATTAGGAATTTGAGGAGTGTTGGGGATTTGGGGTATTCGGGCCCGAAGCACGACTCTCCCACATTTAAAATTACATTACGTTGCTAATCCCTTTATTCCTTCATGCACCAGGTCGGTCCCAACGATAATGAGAAGGCGACAGTCCCCAACCTGGACGAGGGTACAGAGTACGAGTTCCGGGTGAAGGCAGTCAACGAGGCTGGACCGGGAGAACCTTCCGACGCCAGCAAGTCCGTTGTCTGCAAGCCTAGGAGACGTGAGTATTTTTTGGTTTTTACTGGTGGTAGGAATACCTACCAATGACATGACAATAGTCATTGTCAAAAAATCTTTAGGAAAATATGATGTTGTGGTATTTTCAATGTAAAAAAACATTTAAAAAGTATGGATGACTGATTTCTTGATTTTCATGCATTTGCCATATGGCAATAAGCTGGAAAAGAATAAATTCTTGGCGGATTCTTCTATTTATGGCGGAGATAGCGTCAACACCTCATGACTGTCTACTGCTGGATTAAGGACCAGCTCATGACTGCTCCCTTGGCAGGCTGGTTAGAAATCACAGTTTAAAATGTTTCTACAGTCTCCTTATTCTTTTTTGGCACCCACAGCAAGAACCGAAAAGTACTTTATCACCGAACGGCTGCAATGATGAACTTTACTAAAATCTCCTCTTTCTTTCCTCTGGTGATATTTTTTTTACTTATAATCTCCTTATTCTTTTTCCCCAGTGGCACCAAAGATCGACCGTCGCAACCTGCGTACGATCAAGGTCCGTGAAGGCGAGCCTATCTCGCTGGACGTCAAGGTCACCGGAGAACCTGCGCCTGACGTCACATGGACGCTGAACGGAAAGTCTGTCAGCAGTGGCAATGGATTGAAGTGTAAGTATACACTTATATGGTACTAGCGACTCGCACGGGTGCAATATGGATGTATTATTCATATAAACCTTCCTTAAGAATCACTCTATCTATTAAAAAAACGGCATCAAAATCTGTTGCGTAGTTTTAAAAATCTAAGCATACATAGGGACAGACAGACGGCGGATAGCGACTTTGTTTTATACTATGTAGTGATTAATGCAGTAATTTTGGCTTATTTATGTACCTTTGTTAGTTATAGTGTTTTCAAAGTCTCAGTGCTAATGTTTGCATAACTAAACAAAAAAAAGATTAAACTTTGACATAAATTAAAGTTATTAAACTAAAACAGCAGTAAGAAATACTTTAAACAGATTTAGGTGTTGATTTTGTAGCCGCGGATGACTTAACGGGTAACCGGGGCTCCGGCTCGAAGTACAGGAGTAGGAACGGGGTGGTTTTTAGTCAGTAAGAGTCTGACACTCCGTCCCGCCTCACCCGGGCGGGAGAATTAAGTCATTGGATGATTTTCCCCCACAAAAAAGGCGTTGATATTGTAAAGTGTTTCTTTTTTCATTCTTCTTGCTGCCATTGCCTTGATTATTGGAGTCGGTATAATAATGTCGTCATTATAGGACAAAATTATTACTTTACTATACATACTTTTTTAAAAAGAGTAACGAATGGAGTTTCTTGCTCGTTCTTCTCCATTCGAATCTACATTTTGGAATGAGCTTGAGCACCTAGCTTCACCTAGCTTCACTGACGGACTGACTGACAGATTATTATTTAATTTATATTTGTTGACGTTTCAAAAGTACCTAATTATGTTTTAATTGAAATAAATGCTTTGACTTTGATTTTATTTTTTCAGGCAATTTTGGTGTCCACTATACACTAACAGATACCACGTGCAAAACTAATACTTTTATATTTTCTATTCATATTCCAGTGGTGAACGTGCCGTACCTGAGCAAGTACCAACACTCGAGCCCGCGCCGCAAGGACTCCGGCACCTACAAGATACAGGCCGTCAACAAGTACGGACAGGATACCGCCGAGCTGGAGATTATTGTTACTTGTAAGTATATTCCGTAATAAATACTTAAAGCTGCTATCAATATTTAAAAATAATGAGCTAGACATTGACTAACTGATTAGAAACAAAGTTTTGAGTGATATTTAAGATATCTATAGTAAAACTACATTAACACGTTTAACGCCATGGGGGTCACCGGTGACCGGCGTTAGCGGAGGATTTACCTTCAACAGTTTTTTATTGACAGTCAAAGTTAATTTTATATCGGGAAATAGCGAAAATCTTAAAACATTTAAAATAGAGCTATAAAAGGACCTAGAATGTTCTGTTACTAAGCAAGCAAAAACATAGATTTCATTAAAATAATTGGGTAGTTTCCTGGGTCAAAAATAAATTATTTTGATTATTCAGTCCAATTAAATATTGAAAAATAGTTACAATTTCATTAGTTGATTTGCCGATATACTTAATTATCGATTTAAATTTAAACTAGCATTTTTTAGATATAAGTGTGTTATTTGACGCGAAAATGGGATGACGTCATAAGCTAGTATTTCGTACAAAATTCATAGAACAGTATCGTTTTTGACGTCTTGATAAAAGTATTGAATTTGACTAGTTGTCTTCTACCGTATTGAATGAAACAAACAATAAAACGACCTTTTTCTTTCATCAGCCAAACCCGAGAAACCCGAGGGTCCATTGGAAGTATCAGACATCCACAAGGACGGCTGCACCCTCAAGTGGAAGCGGCCCAAGGATGATGGAGGGGAACCCATCGAGGCTTACCTCGTCGAGAAATATGACACGGAGACTGGAACCTGGCTGCCAGTTGGCAAGACACATGGAAATGTGCCGGAGTTGGAGGTATGGTTCAACTTTAAAAAAATATGCTATAAAATCTTGTCGTAATGACTTCAGTACAGTGATTGCGCCGCCATATTTATATTGTTTCTAAAAAAAACCGAATCGATCCTTAATTAGGGTTACTGAAAATGACTGCCTCGTTGGCCGAGTCGTCGCAAGTGCGACTGCCGGACAATGGGTCTCGGGTTCGATTCCCGGGTCGGGCAAAGTATTACTGGGTTTTTAAAAACCTCAGTAGTAGCACGGAGACTGGAAATGTGCACGGTATATGGCAATAGGCTCACCCCCTATTACATGGGACTCATAACGTAAATAGTGAAAAGTGGGTGTTACATTGTACAGTGGCATTAAGTGCCGTAACGTGCACCTCTGCCTACCCTTTCGGGGATATAAAGGCGTGATGTTTTGTTATGTTATGAAAATCGATTAAAGGTTTTGAAGAGTCCATTTAACTAGAATAAAAGTCTTTTAACTAACTGACTGTCGTTTAAATTGTGTATACAGGTCGATGGCCTGATCCCCGGTCATGAGTACAAGTTCCGCGTGAAGGCGCTGAACAAGGAAGGTGAATCGGAACCGCTGGAGACATTCGGCTCCATCATCGCCAAGGATCCATTCAGTAAGTATATTTTACTTGTCTCTGTTATAAGTCAGTATCACCATAAAATACTGGTATTATATTGAGGGACTGAAGAAAGATAAAGTATTAATAATAATATTGTTTTCGATATCTTGGACTACTTGATGATCAATTCAAAACTGGGATCACAGAGCCACCATTTAAAAGTTGTATTTAAACCGAACAAATGCATTCAAAATCACAACGAGAAGGGTTTATACTGACTTTCAGGCATCTAACTCTATACAGTCTACATTGCTTATTAAGACGTATTTTTGTATTTTGCTAATTTTATAATTAACTAGCAAATTCGGTGAACTCCGTTTCGCCACCAGATGGCTTCGTTTTATGTAACATTCTTTGCTATAAACTTCACGGAGCCCGAGACCTTTCCAACGAATGCAAAACCGTGGAAATCGGTTTGTGCGTTGTGGAGTTATTATTATTATTATTTTATAAATCGAAACTAATAATTACTCAAAACAGTATCAACTGAAAAAAGAACCCAAGGACAAACCTGCATATAGAAAAAAAATATTAGAACTTTCAAAAACTAATTTGATTACTCCCATTCCACAGCCATCCCAGATGCACCCGGAGCGCCAGTACCAGACGACTGGTCGGCCAGCCACGTGGACCTCAAGTGGGAGCCGCCGCTATCGGACGGAGGGTCTCCCATCATTGGTTACATCATCGAGAAGAAGGACAAATACTCTCCTCTGTGGGAGAAGGCTGTGGAAACACATACACCTACACCTTCTGGCACTGTTAATGGGTAAGTTGTATGAAGAATTGGAAGCCCCTCCCCCGTAGTTGCATGATAATATGTAGCCTATATGTTAACCTGGCATGTCAAAATTTAAATTAAATCCATGCAGCACTTTTTGAGTTCATCCCGGACATACGTAGGTAGATACAGACAAATAGATACCAATTCTAAAAACCATATTTTTGGTTTTGGTATTGATTGTAGATCCAAAGCATTCTTTTAAACAAATATTCGATGTGCAGTTTTCACTTTCCTACGATTTTATTATATGTATAGATAGTATTCATATATTGTATTATGAGATAGTATATTCATAGTATATAGATAGTGTCGCGGAGAACCTAACGGGTAACCGGGGCTCCGGCTCGACGTGCAGGAGAAGGAACGGGGTGGTTTTTAGTTAGTAAGAGTCTGACACTCCCTCCCGCCTCACTCAGGTGGGAGCAGTCATTCGATGATTTTCCCGCCTTAAAAAATAAAAAAAGTATATAGATAGTATATTCATAGATAGATAGTATTCATTGTCATCATCAGCTCTGTACCAAGTTATCTTCTTGGAAAGTGATGTTCATCTCGTAAAAAACCCAATTGACTACCTTATTTCTAAACTCATAGTATACCAGATAGTCATTACACGCACCAAGATAAACAGTTCTTTTACGCATTTATACGCAATTTTTAAAGAAGAGGTCTAGGTTTTAATGCCCAAGTTGGAGAAATTGTTTTTAGGTTTTTGGTGATCTTGATCAACTTGTGCATAGCAATAGGTCTGTAGGTATCACATGCAATAAGACCATCAAACCTTATTCTTGGTATTTTATTCACCACCAGCTTAATCGAAGGCAACGAATACCAGTTCCGTGTGATTGCCATCAACAAGGCCGGTCAGAGCAAACCCTCGGAAGCTAGCAAGAACTTCGTGGCCAAGCCAAGGTTCTTGGCTCCGAAGATCGACAGGCGTCACCTGAGAGATGTCACCATCTCTGCTGGATCTACTTTGAAGCTGGAGGCTGCTATCACTGGAGAGCCTGCTCCAGCTGTTGAATGGAGGTAAGCAAGATGGAGTATAACTCCTTATTTTATTCAAAATATTAAAATATCGTAGGTTTCGTAGGTCGCAAGTGCGACTGCCGATCAAGGGGTCTCGGGTTCGATTCCCGGGTCGGGCGAAGTACTACTGGGTTTTTATAAATTCTCAGTAGTAGCACGGAGTCTGGAATTGTGCCCGGTATATGGCAATAGGCTCACCCCCTATTACATGGGACTCATAACATAAATAGTGAAAAGTGGGTGTTACATTGTACAGTGGCATAATGTACACCTCTGCCTACCCCTTCGGGGATAAAAGGCGTGATGTTATGTTATGTATGTCGTAGGTCGAAAGTTTTCATGTGTAGCTGTCGAACGCCAGGGCTCAGGTTTGATTACCGGGTCAGCAAAAGAAGTAATCCAAGATCCTGTCGATATTTGAAATTAGCTTTACACCTCTACATATCTATCGTCATATGTTTGATGGAGCGGTTGTGATTGCTCTTGTTAAATTATTAAGAAAAACACAATTCTTTTATAAACTACGTTTTAAAAAACAGACTTCGACTCCTTCTTTTTTTGAAGTCTATTAATGAATCTCGTAAGTGTAAAAAACACTTTTCTGCAAACCACATAAAATCGGTTCAGCCACTCGCGAGGCAATCGTACGAATACATACATACATACAGGTCAAATTGAAAATCTCTTTTTTTTTGAAGCTGGTTAATTAATAAAATTATTTTTTTGTCGAACATTTTTGTCTAGAACTAGGTTTTAGACAGTCAGTAGATCAGTAAGATGTAGGTAAAACCACACTTCTCCTTACCTCTTAAGGGTTATTTCATCATATCAAATTATTATACCAAATCACCTTTAATTCCACTCCAGATACCAGAACATGCCTCTCCGCCCATCGAAGGCAGTAATGATAGACAGTCCGGAATACTTCACGAAGCTGGTCATCCGTCCAGTACGTCGGGACGACTCCGGCGAGTACACCGTCACTGCCGTCAACTCCAGCGGCAAGGACCAGGTCACCATCAACGTGGTGGTTACTGACAAACCTATGAAGCCTGAAGGACCGTTGCAGGTAAGGAGATTTAGATTCTTTGGGATGATAATGGATTTTGATGATAAAAAATCCGGTATACAGCAATGGGTTCTAGTGAAAAGTGGGTGTTACATTGTACAATGACATTAAGTGCCGTAGTGTACACTTCTGCCTACCCTTTCGGGGAATAAGGGATAAAAGGTGTGATGTTATGTAAAATGAGGGTTCTGAGTGACTTGGTTTCAGTCCGCGAGAAAGATTGGGTAATAGTTTGCTGTTTAAGGATTTATTCAAGTGTTCATGTGGTTGTGCTTATGCTTAAAGCCATAGGAAAGCCTTATATTCCCTCTGTAAGGTCATCTAAGGTCTATCTAAAGTCTTAATTTTCTGTTACAAGTTCTTCTTGGCATCCACAGCAAAACGTTTTTTAAACGTTGCCCCAATCTAGGGTTTTCTCCCGTGTCGTGAGTGCTTTTACAAACATACAATATCACATACACATGACACCCTGACCCGAAACAACTGTGGATCACACAACTCCGTGCGGGAATCGAACCCGCTACACGTTGCGCGGAGACCGGTTGACCAGCCACCGCGTCAACAGTACAGTCAAAAGCTTTACGAAATCTTTTTTAATCCTCCTTATCTTTCATCATCAGATCTCGGACGTCCACAAGGAGGGAGCTACCCTCAAATGGAAGAGGCCCAAAGACGACGGTGGCGCCCCCATCGAGTACTACCAGATCGACAAACTGGACACTGAGACTGGATGCTGGGTACCGTGTGCCCGCTCCGATGAGCCTAGTGAGTGTACTTTAGATACATTTTGATTTATTTATACAAATATGAATAATTATGACCAATGTATAATTTATTTTGTATATAAATGTATTAGCACGGAGTCTGGAATTGTGCCCGGTATATGGGAATAGGCTCACCCCCTATTACATGGGGCTCGTAACATAAATAGTGAAAAGTGGGTGTTACATTGTACAGTGGTATAATGTGCACCTCTGCCTACCCCTTCGGAGATAAAAGGCGTGATATTATGTTATAAATGTATAATTTTACTATGATGACTGCGACGTTAGATTCTAACTTTCAATTCAGAATCCGAAAACTAAAAGCTAAATAGTTTTACCACTAAAACTAAATTAAAAAGTTGTAACATAAAAACGACTAAAAAAGGAACATAATTGTCTTAGGAATGACAATAATACAGATAAGTGAAAACAAATTGATTTTTACCCAGGATTCGACCCAAATGAACCAGAACGTCCACAACCACGTAAGACTTAGATCCCCACTTTTTTTTAACGAACCAATCAACGGAATGTCTTCATTTTAGATATTTATCGATTGAAGGTTTAATCGCACATAATATTATCAAATCGAACATTACATTGTCGACGAGTGATTTTTTATTCAACATCATACGAATGACTTTTTTGTACACGGATCGATTATCGATACATGAATATCTTAACTCATTTATCGAATTATCTTCTTTCTCTTTCATAAAAATGCCAAATACATGCACATCATAGGTGAAAATTTCCGTCATTTTACACCTACAAAAACATTGTTTTTTTTTGCAATGCTACACGAATGAAAATGCAGTCATTGTCTTTGAATAAACATTTTTGAAGCTACATTGATTTATTTATGGTATTACTATTTTTATACAAGCGCCTGCGCACATATTTGTCACGTTAGCATTCACGAATGAATTTGAATAGTTTTAAACACTATCACGCACATAAAAACACTTTTTGAATGATCATAGTTACACTAAAAGAACACCATGGTAGATCACTTTAGCATAAACAACTAGCCAAAACAAACAACACCTTACTACCTCAACATAAGATCAATTTTTCCCTAACACTAATTATATTTTTTTCTACAGAATGTGAGGTAACCGGTTTGACTCCTGGAAAGGAGTACAAGTTCCGTGTGTCCGCTGTCAACTCCGAGGGAGAGTCTGAACCTCTCATCTCTGAGGAGTCTATCGTCGCTAAGAATCCATTCGACGAACCTGGTAAGTTTTTCTAGCTTAAAATATCTATAGTAATAAAAATAAAAGGTTTTTACTTCATTATTTACTATAGTTCGACGTGAAATAATTACCAGCTAAAAATATTAAAGATAAAGATATATTTATTTCTAAGTACATGGAACACTGAGATCTTACATTAAACATAGAAACACATATACTACCATTTCTGGTGTAGAAATATTAAATAAGCTAACTCTATGCAAATCTTAGACATTACAATAATCTTCATTTGATATAATTTATTCATTAAACTTAATTCATTGAAAAATAATACATTTTTGTCCAAATTGTTATGTTAAAAATAAATACCAAACAAAATAAAAAAAAGAAAATATAAATATAAAAATTGGTATTGCATAAACCACGAATTTTAATTTTAGATATTTTAAAATTACAAGCTGGAAGCACAAAGATCAAACTCTGCTCCTCTATTTACAGGTGCGCCAGGTACTCCATCAGTGACAGACTGGGACAAGGACCACGTGGACCTCAAATGGACCCCACCACGGGAAGACGGTGGCGCCCCCATCGAGGGCTACATCGTTGAGAAGAAGGACAAGTTCGGAAACTGGGAGAAGGCGGTCGAAGTACCCGCGGATAAGACCACGTGTACTGTCCCTGATCTCATTGAAGGACAGACCTATGAGTTCAGGTTGGTAGCTTCTTTTGCCTTTGTTTATCTCGTACACAATCACCTGATATAAATCCCCAACATTTGTTCGTATAAAAGTAGTCTCTAAATATCGGAAATAAGGTCGATAATGGAGTTAGTAGAGAGACCGGTTGAGGATTTATCAGTTAAAGTGATAGTACTCATGTGTCACTATTATCGAAGGTTAGAACTGGGTCCTTAAAGTTATGGGGAACCTTCATTGTTTTAAAAACCATTGCTAGATGTGCATTATTTCTACTCTATTGGAGCACCTAATTTTACCTTTTGTGATATCAAAAAATTTATTAGTCTTCACAAGTCTCTAAAAAGTTAGTGCTAATGTGTTTAAATCAACTTTTGAATTATAAAAACTAGCTTCTTCGTTCGTGATTGGCAGTAAAAAGTATTTTATAAAAGTATCCTATGTCTGTCTCCTGGTTCTAAGCTAGCTCCCCACCAATTTTCATTCAAATCGATTCAGCCATTATTGGGTTATAGTGTATCTTGCAGTTTCTTTTTAATATATAGATAGATTAATCGTATGTTCTAATTGTATTTATTGTCTTACCACAGGGTCCGTGCCGTTAACAAAGCCGGCCCTGGCGAGCCGAGTGACAGCACCCACCCGATCGTGGCGAAGCCCAGGAACCTGGCGCCCAAGATCGACAGGACCAACCTCATCGACATCAAGATCAAAGTTGGACAGAAGTTCGGATTCGATGTCAAGGTTAGTAAGGCTATATTTTATTTATTGTCTCTTTATCACTTTATTAGTGACATTGAGGGACGACAATGGACCAAGAAAAGGAATTTTAATATTAGAGTGGTAAAAGAGTTTGATGTAGTATTGCTACATGAATTAATTAAAAATAATGAGTGCTTCTGTGTATTTCATTCATGTTCTTACCTACGTTAGATAAATATCTAATAATAATAAAGTGTGTGATTAATTTAAAATATCTTTTTTCTATGCTAGCATGGAAATCCATGGTAAGACACATACTAAAAAAATCGATATTTATACAAATAGGTAAAATCGTAAAAATAATGTTGTAAAACCTTATCTTTCTTTTTTAATTCTTCTTCATCTATTTCCAGGTATCCGGTGAACCAATGCCAGAAACAAAATGGTTCTTGGCTAAGAAGGAAGTCAAATCTGGCGGTGACGTCAAAGTACAGCATTCAGATTATAACACGAAGCTGAACTGCAAGTCAGCCAAGCGAGCTGATAGTGGAAGGTACACCATTACAGCTGAAAACAGCAATGGCAAGGATGTGGCTGAAGTCGAAGTTATTGTGCTGGACGTGCCTAGTCCACCTGGAGGACCACTCAAGGTAGGTTTCGTGTTAAATTATTGTTTTTATCGTAGTGTTATTGAAATCAAATAGTTTCTAAGTTAATGATAAAGTCCATTATACGTTTTAGGTTAAGACACTGATAAATATTATTTTCATTTATGCACTTTCTGGATTCAGTAGCTGCTGATTCTATAAATTTATTCTAGACAGCAGAGGAAGCTGTAAAAAGACATAGAACTTGACCTTTATCAAAATCTCTATCTTCCAGTTCTGTCTTGATAAATAAAGTTTCATAATGCACTTATTGTATAACTAGAATCTACAAATTAATTTAATGAATCTCAACGGCTTCTTAAACCTTTTCACTCTTCACCAGGTCTCCGATGTCCACGCCAATGGAGCCAAGTTATCTTGGAACCCACCAGCCGACGACGGCGGTCAGCCCATCGACAAGTACGTGGTGGAACGCATGGACGAGGCCACTGGACGGTGGGTCACTGCTGGAGAAACAGACGGACCGAAGCCCAGCCTCGCTGTTGAAGGACTCACGCCTGGACATAAGTACAAGTTCAGGGTCCGCGCTGTTAATAGGTGGGTGTCTTTATTTCTATTAATGTTTGTTATATGACTTTTCGAAAGACAGATAATTTTTTCAAAGAAGGAAGCAGTCGAATATTCTACTCGATTCTAGTTAATTTCTGCATATTTTTTTCCACTCTTTGTCAGTTTCTGATTAAATTGTTATTTTATATACCAAGCAAAGGAAATATTTAGCTCTCTCTTCAGATTTTTTACTAATCCAAGTAAAACTATTATTATAATCGGTATTTCGTTTCTCTCCAGGCAAGGCAAGTCCGAGCCTCTCACCACACCACACGCGACCGAAGCCAAGAATCCATTCGACGTCGCCGGCAAGCCTGGCACGCCCAAGATCAAGGACTTCGACAGAGACTTCGTCGAACTTGAATGGACCAGACCACAGACCGATGGTGGAGCACCCATCACTGGATACGTCATCGAAAAGAAGGATCGCTTCTCCCCCGACTGGGAGGAATGCGCACAAATCGAGGGTGACGTCACTTCAGGCAAGGTCCCAGACCTCATTGAAGGTAACACCTACGAGTTCCGCGTCCGTGCCGTCAACAAGGCCGGCAAAGGTGAACCTAGCGATGGAACTGCACCACATCTCGCTAGACCTAAGAACCTTCCACCTAAGATCGACAGGAACTTCATGTTCGACATCAAGGTCAAGGTCGGACAGAACTTCGACCTCGACGTGCCAGTCGCTGGAGAGCCTACTCCTACCAAGGAATGGTTCAATGGTGACAACCTCGTCATGAACACTGACAGGATCAAGATTGTCAATGATGCACACAGCACTAAGATCCGTGTCATCGACGCCAAGAGGGCTGACACTGGCACTTACACTCTTAAAGCCAGGAACATCAACGGTACTGACACAGCTACAGTTAAGATCACAGTCATGGACGTGCCAACACCGCCTGAAGGTCCTCTCCGCGCTGATGACATCACCAAGTCTGGCTGTACTCTGCGCTGGAGGCCGCCCAAGGACGACGGTGGTGCAGAAATCACTCACTACGTCGTCGAGAAGATGGACCAAGAAAACATGCGCTGGATCCCAGCCGGTGAGGTTCAGTCCTGCAGCATCAGGATCGACCACCTCATCGAGGGCCACGATTACAACTTCCGTGTCCGTGCTGTTAACAAACATGGCGAATCACAGCCTCTTGTTGGACACGAGCCAATCACTGCCAAGGACCCCTACGGTACTCCAGACAAACCTGGAACTCCAGTTGTCAAGGACTGGGACAAAGATCATATGGACCTCGAATGGGTACCACCAAAGAAGGATGGCGGCTCACCCATCACTGGCTACATCATCGAGGCTAAGAAGAAGTACGGACCTTGGGAAGTCGCTGCGACTGTACCTGGAAACAAGACTACTGCTACCGTACCTAACCTCCAAGAGGGTGAGGAGTACGAGTTCAGGGTTATTGCTGTCAACAAGGCCGGTAACGGAGAGCCCAGTGATGCTTCCACACCACAGGTGGCTAAGGCCAGATTCTGTGCGCCACACTTCGACAAAATGCTCTTGGCAGACAAGACTGTCAAGGCTGGCCAAAGGATCCAATACGAAATCCCGATCGAAGCATCGCCTAAACCAACTGTTGAGTGGCAGATCAACGGCAAGGTGGTCCACCCAACAGACAGGATTGATATCCAGATTCTACACAACAGGGTCATTCTAGACATTCCATTCTCCGTCCGCGCTGATGGAGGCGTTTACAAACTGACCTTGAAGAACGACCTCGGAGTCTGCTCTGCTGCAGCTCAAGTGACCGTCCTCGACAGACCTTCGAGGCCTGAGAAACCGTTGGTCGTATCTGACGTTACCAAGGAATCTTGCTCGCTATCATGGAAGGTACCTTTGGACGATGGTGGATCACCGATCCTCCACTACGTCATTGAGAAGATGGACCTGTCGCGTGGTACCTGGTCTGATGCTGGTATGAGCACTTTCCTATCGCACCAAGTCACCAGGTTGATCCACATGAAGGAATACTTGTTCAGAGTGAGCGCTGTCAACGCTATTGGTCAGTCTGAGCCTTTGGAGCTGGACCGTGCTATCGTCGCCAAGAACGAGTTCGACGAGCCATCCGCTCCTGGCAAACCTAAGGCAACTGACTGGAGCAAGAACCACGTCGACCTTGAATGGGAGAAGCCTAAGTCTGATGGTGGATCACCAATCACTGGTTACATCATTCAGAAGAAGGAGAAGGGCAGCCCCTACTGGGTGAATGCTGTCCATGTGCCTCCTAGCAAGAACAAGGCAACCGTACCTGATCTAACTGAAGGCCAGGACTATGAGTTCCGCGTTATCGCCGTGAACCAAGCTGGTCAATCAGAGCCTAGCGAGCCATCTGACATCATCACAGCTAAGGACAGATTCGTGGCTCCTAAGATTCTTACACCACTTAAGGAGATCCGCATTAAGGCTGGACTCATCTTCCACATGGATGTTGACTTCATTGGAGAGCCTACTCCTGAAGTCACATGGACTTGTGATGGCAAACCAGTGGTAGCCAACGAGAGGACAACAGTCACTATTGTTGGTCACCATACTATTGTACACACTGTCAACTGCAAGCGTTCAGACGCTGGCAAGTACAACCTGAAACTGAAGAACGATTCCGGTACTGATGAAGGAAGCTTCGAACTTATTGTACTTGATGTGCCCGGAGCACCACAACCTCCGTTTGTATACGAAGAGATTACTGCACAGTCCGTTACGTTGTCATGGAAACCACCCAAGGACAACGGTGGCAGTGAGCTTACTGCTTACGTCATTGAGAAACGTGACCTCACCCACGGAGGTGGATGGGTACCAGCTGTTACTTACATCAACCCGAAATTCAACCACGCAACTGTACCACGCCTGTCGGAAGGTACCAAGTACGAGTTCAGAGTATTCGCTGAGAACCTTCAAGGTCGCTCTGAGCCACTCGTCACAGACAAGGCAATCATTGCCAAGAACCAGTACACTGTACCTGGCAAGCCTGGCAAACCAGAGCTTATTGCTGCCGACAAGGACCACATCAACATCAGATGGTCGCCGCCTATCTCCAACGGAGGATCGAACATCCTTGGTTACGACGTTGAGAGGAGAGACAAGGCTACTGGCCGCTGGATCAAACTGAACAAGGATCCAGTCAGGTTGAACGAATACAACGATGAAAGGGTACAGGAAGGTCACCAGTACGAATACAGAGTATCGGCAGTCAACGCTGCTGGACCTGGACAACCTTCCGACGAATCCAACGTCTTCATTGCTAGACCTATGAAGGAGAGCCCGAAACTGAAGTTAGATCACCTCATTGGCAGGAAGATTAAGGTCCGTGCTGGCGAACCTATCAATATCAACATTCCAATCAGTGGCGCGCCCACACCGACCATCTCCTGGACCAAGGGATCAGTTCCTATTGTACCCTCGCACAGGGTCAGCGCTGAAACTAAGGCTGATGAAACAAAACTCAGCATTGAGAAATCTGTTCGCGAAGATGCTGGTAAATACACGATCACAGCATCCAACGCTCACGGCAAAGACTCCGCTGACATTGAAGTCATTGTTGTTGACAAACCAGGAGTGCCTAAAGGACCTCTTCTATGCCAACCCGTCACACACGACGCTGTCAGCCTCACTTGGCAACCACCCACCGACGATGGTGGCAGCGAGATCACTGGCTACGTTGTTGAAGTTGCTGAATTCGGAGTTAATGACTGGCGCACAGTCGCTGGCTTCTGTCCTAAGTGCTCGTTCACTGTAAAGAACTTGACAGAAGGCAAGAAATACATATTCAGGGTCCGCGCTGAGAACTTGTACGGTGTCTCCGACCCATTGGAGAGCAAGCCAACACTTGCCAAGTCACCGTTCGACCCACCAGATGCGCCAGACACGCCCAAGATCACTGGATACAGCTCCAACAGCTGCTCTCTCGAATGGGAGCCACCCAAGGATTGTGGTGGCAAACCCATCACTGGATACTATGTCGAGAAGAGAGAACGTGGAGGTGACTGGGTCAAGGTTAACAACTACCCAACACCTAACACATGCTACACTGTATCTGACTTACGCGAAGGCAACCGCTACGAGTTCCGCGTTATTGCTGTCAATGAAGCCGGACCCGGCAAGCCTAGCAAGCCGACCGAACCAATCACAGCACAGACACAGAGACTTAAGCCCAGCCCGCCAGAGGCGCCTAAACCAGACAGAGTTACCAAAGACTCCGTCACATTGTCCTGGAGGCCACCCAAGAGCGACGGTGGAGCCAAGATCAAGGGCTACATCATCCAACAGAAGGGCAAGGGAGACAAAGACTGGAAGGACGTCAATGACGTGCCTATTCCAAGCCTGGTACACACTGTACCTGCGCTCAAGGAAGGAGCTGAATACCAGTTCAGGGTCATCGCTGTTAACGACGTTGGCCGCTCAGATCCTAGCAAACCAACAAGCGAGATCATCATCGCTGAACAGCCAAACAAACCATGCATGGACCTTGGAGGAGTCAGGGACATTACTGTTCGTGCTGGAGAAGACTTCTCCATTCACGTGCCGTACACTGGCTTCCCACAACCGACTGCTCAATGGTTCGCCGACGACAACCTGCTTGATGTTGAGGGCGATTCCAGAATATTCCAGAAGATTACACCAGAGTCTGCGTCTCTTGTTGTCAAGAACGCGAAGAGGTCAGACGGCGGACAGTACCGCCTGCAACTGCGCAACCCATCTGGTTACGACACGGCCACCATCAACGTACGTGTGCTCGACAGGCCTGGAAAGCCAGAGAACCTGCGGGCTGACGAATTCGAAGGCGAAGCCCTTACACTGTACTGGAACCCGCCAAAGGACAATGGCGGCGGTGAAATCACCAACTACGTGGTTGAGAAGCGCGAGGGCAGAACTGCCAACTGGACCAAAGTATCAGGCTACGTCACCACTCCGTTCTTGCGGGTGAAGAACTTGACGGTCGGAAAGGATTACGAATTCAGGGTTATGGCTGAAAACCAGTATGGTCAGTCTGACCCAGCACAGACTACTGAGCCAATCAAGGCTAGGCATCCATTCGACCCGCCTGGTGCACCTGGAGCTCCTCGCTCCGTGGAGACGACAGAGTCTTCAATCACGATCACTTGGACGAAGCCGCGTCACGACGGTGGCTCGCCTATTACTGGTTATGTCGTAGAAAAGCGACTTATAACTGAGGACAAATGGACGAAGGCATCTCACGCACACATTCCTGATACTACATACAAGGTTACTGGACTGATTGAGAACCACGAGTATGAGTTCCGTGTGGCCGCTATCAATGCTGCTGGTCAAGGACCGTACTCCGCCAGCTCTGATGCTATCAGGGCTTGCGCTCCACCCAACTCACCCAAGATCACCAGCGATCTCAGCCTTAGGGACATCACTGTTATTGCTGGAGAGGAGATCAAGATTACTGTGCCGTTTACTGGCAACCCAAGGCCAAAGGTGAGACTGAAATCCTTTGACTATATCACAAGTCAATTTTACGACTTTCTGTCACTGGTATAAAGCTTTAATATAAGGAAAATTGTTCTAACATAATCATATCTTTCATCAGGTATCATGGATAGTGAACAACGAGGAGGTGTTCCCGGACAACCGTATTCGCTTCGTTACATCAGACGTGGACACTGTGTTCCACAACTCGCCTGCCAAGAGGTCTGATACAGGATCCTACACCATTCAGCTGGTTAACAGCGAAGGTTCTGACAGTGCTACATGCAGGGTAAGTGTCTTTTGATAAAAATTTGAACATACATAGATCATTATTACGAGATACTAGAAGGTTTACATAAGAAAAGCGTTTAATATCTTTTGACCTTCAAACAAAGAAAATTTTCTGCTTATAAAGATCTATTACTAAAAACTTGAGATTTAAACTCATTCAATTTCTATATTCACTCCTGGACAATGAAATAATGCATCTTCTTATGTTATTACAATTAATCAACTATTGTAAAGTTCCTAACTACAAATCTCCGAATAAAATAAATAGCATTTCTATTTGAACGTCACGGTGACTTTATTTCAAAACCATCAATCCTCATTTAAACCTTACGTAAATTAACCCTGGTCCTCATATAAGGCATAAATCTTCCAGGTACTCGTAGTAGACAGGCCATCACCGCCAGTCGGTCCTCTGGACGCGTACGACATCACTCCAGACACATGCACGTTGTCATGGAAACCGCCGCTAGATGATGGTGGATCTCCCATCACCAACTACGTGGTCGAGAAGATGGATAACAGTGGAGTAAGTATATATTTTTTTGTATAGTGGTATTTTAGGCTGGTAAAAAAGGATTCGCAAATGTTTTCTAATTATTATTTACTTTGGAATAGATTGTTACCTAGTTTATACATTAAACAATTAAAATGTTTCATTCGCACTCTTTGTAGAATATGTTTGTACATCCTTCCAATATTCTTTATAAGAAAACATAACTTAATGTCAGTTCATCAAATACTTTTTTTTCTAAAATTGTCATATTGTGATTTGTTCATCTAGTTTCTGCATAATTTTTTAAGTCTTAACTCGTCGAGTACCGTATTTATAGACACAATTAAAGAACAATAGGTTGCGGTCACCGGTGACCGCTTGGTGTTTGACAGTTTAATAAATTATAATACTGAGACCCATATAATGTTCCGATTTTTATATAAATTAATTATATTATTTCTCAACAGGTATGGTCAAAGATCTCATCATTTGTCCGCAACTGCCACTACAACGTCATGGGTCTGGAACCGAACCGCAAGTACACGTTCCGCGTCCGCGCTGAGAACCAGTATGGAGTGTCCGACCCATTGACCATGGATGATGCTATCACTGCCAAGGTTTGTATTTAACCTCTTTACATAGGACTTTTTATATTGGATTAATATACATAAAAGTAGTGTAAACTATTCATGTATCAAATATCTTATCATAAAATTTCGATTTAACATATCGTATACTAGCTACTTCCGCGCGGTTTCACACGCTCTGCTCAGCTCCTATTGGTCGTAGCGTGATGTTTTATAGCCTATTGCCATTCTCGATAAATGCACTATCCAACACAAAAAGAATTATTCAAATCAGACTTGTAGTTACAGAGATTAGCGCGTTCAAACAAACAAACAAAAAAACAAATTCTTCCGCTTTATATAATAATATAAGATAAAATATAATTGCCAAAATCGTTTGTTGCGTTGTAGTCTAATCAGTTATAAAAAATATGTGATAGTTTTTACATTTTCAAAAAAATATTCTCAACGTGACCTGTATGCCTTATGAACACCAGTGGTCAACAACTGGTTGATGATGATGAGGATTTCTTAACAGATCTGAAAAATACTATTTCTGATGTCGATAGCAAAATTAACGTTGTTGTACCTCCACAAAATGTTGTAACAAAACATACCTAACACAGGTTTTTACGGTTTTCAATTAATAATAATAATGTTTTTGTCCTATTCTCCAGTTCCCATTCACGATCCCGGACCCGCCGGGCATGCCTCGCGTGACCGACTGGGACGGCTCTGCAGCCTCTCTGATCTGGGACCGACCACGATCAGACGGCGGAGCTCGCATTAAGGGATACAAACTGGAGTACAGGGATGTACAGGACGGTATCTGGAACAGCTCAGATTATCTCGTCAAGGATTGCAATTACCAGGTGAGATTATTTTGAGGGTGGTTTTAATAAGAGTATTTTTGAGTTATAATGTTTGTGGGTTGGTAGTTAAAATGTGATTTGATTTTACTATTGATATTTTAAAACTGCAGAATCATATGCTGAAGTTGTCAAGTTTTCAATATTCCATTTATTCTATTTACCTTAACCGAAGTAATCAGATCTACTAGAATTAAAATTATAAGACTCACATTGTCGGCCAAAGACATCATCTAGTCCCATTTGAACCAAACGTTTTAATTGTGGATTTTCCACCTTGGTAAAAAAAAATCCATTTCCTTTTTCTTTATCTCACATCTCCGATCTCCACAGGCTTACAACCTTGAACCTGGTCACGAGTACGAGTTCCGTGTCCGTGCGAAGAATGCGGCGGGCTGGAGCAAGTACTCGGCCAGCTCGCAGCGGTTCAAGGTCCGCGGCAAGGCCAACCCGCCCGCGCCGCCACGCGCGCCCCGCGTCGTCAGGGTCGGCAGGAACTATGTCGACCTATCTTGGGACCCACCGGCGCATGATGGAGGTGAGATATCATCATTATTATCATCTTGCAAACTGAAATTGACAGAATCTGAAACGGCAGTTGTTTGAATAGTTATAACCTCATTTTGTTGATAACTAATTGAATCTAAACACACATAAAAATTGATATAATCGAGAGATTTCTATGTTCACAATTGGATTTTCAAATCGGAGACTACATTTAATATAGTCTTTGTAGATAAGACTTTGATTCTTTCACATCTTTACAAAGACAACTTTTTCGTTTTATGGTATAAGAGCAAACAACTTAATCACTATGCAAGTTTGACTGCACGGTTGGCGCGGTGGCTCGGCAACTGGCTGCCGCGCAACGTATCGCGGGTTGCGATTCCCGCACGGACCAATCCTTTGTATGATCCACAGATTGTTGTTCCGGGTCTGAGTGTCATGTGTATGTGAACTTGTATGTTTGTAAACGCACCCACGACACAGGAGAAAATTACAGTGTGGGGAAACGTTTTTTAATGTCTTCTTTCTACGGTATTTTTCACATACTCCCAATTGACCCAGGTTCACGTGTGACCGGCTACATAATCGAGCGCCGCGACGTGGGCAGCTCTGTCTGGATAAAGTGCAACGACTACAACGTACAGGACACCACATTCACTGCCATGAACCTTAATGAAAAGGCTGATTATGAATTCCGTATCGTCGCTGTCAACTCAGCTGGTAAGTTCTTCATTAATATCAGAATCCTCAACTAAATATCTGTTGAATAAAGTATATACTTCTATCAAAGACACGCAAAAATGTAATGCTAGAAAAACATAATAAACAATAATTATATGGAAAATGCAATCATAAGAAAGTGATTGTGTAAACTGAGAATTTTGGTCGTGAGGTTGATAGTAAAAGGAAGGGTTAGCAATAGGAAAAATGTAGTTAGCCAAGCTTTGTCTATTCACCTATGATGCCTAATCTTTTTATAGTGTAGTTTAAAATTTTCGATACGTCCTGTTAACCATACAATTGTGTACTTTCCTTAATCAAAAATAAATTATTTTGACTATTCAATACAATAAAATATTAAAACAATAATCACACTTTCATTAATTGGTTTTATGACCAAATTTATTTTAATATTTATCCAATTTTTTTAAAGAAATTAGTATGGTGTGTGACGCTAAAGAAATGTGACGTCACAATACATAATTTCGTACAAAATTTATTACCAGTTGGCAAATACTTGTGCAATCGTGTTTGCCGAAATGGACCATTATTACTATTAGACATAACATAACACATAACATAACATCACGCCTTTTATCCCCGAAGGGGTAGGCAGAGGTGTACATTATGCCACTGTAGAATATAACACCCACTTTTCACTATTTATGTTATGAGTCCCATGTAATAGGGGGTGAGCCTATTGCCATATACCGGGCACAATTCCAGACTCCGTGCTACTACTGAGAATTTATAAAAAACCAGTAGTACTTCGCCCGACCCGGGAATCGAACCCGAGACCCCTTGACCGGTAGTCGCACTTGCAACCACTCGGCCAACGAGGCAGTCTTTATTTTTTTTTTTATTATTTCATTAGACATCTATGTCTACATAATGTCTACATTTATCTCTTATTCGGTATCTCATAAAAAAGATACATTTCATCGAATTTTATCTTAAAACTATATCTGAATTATCCATTCCCTCCGCAGGCAAGTCGGAGCCGTCCAGCTGCACCACTCCAGTCCGCACGGGCGAGGAGCTGGGCGGCACCAAGCCCGAGTGGGTGAAGCAACTGCCGCCCACCGTGTGCGCGCCGCTCGGGAAACCGTTCACCCTCGAGTGCGTCGCCACTGGCAACCCAGTGCCCACTGGCAGATGGCTCAAGAACGGACGTGAAGTCGTCTTGGGTACCAGGTAAGAAAATGAAGAATTTTTGAAGATAGTCCAGGTTTTTTACGATTGAAATTGTTTTTTGTTACTTATTTTTGAGTATAGTAATGTGGCAGGAGATTTCTTTCTCATCAGTTTAGAAACTGTAGTCTATGATTTCTTGAAAAGGTAGAAAGCTATAGCGGGAAATTCAAGACGAAAAATAACTTTTTTATCGCAATTTAACTATCGAGTGCGGGCTCTTAAGCTTCATCCCCAAGTCTGTTATAGTGTTTAACTTTTGAGTTTTTTGCTACAATATTTGGCTATAAAATCGTCGCCACTTATACTAAAACTAATCAGTAGGGATTCTATAAGTTTTTTACCTCATTATCAAAAAATATAGTATCTATATAACACTCTTTATTCCCTTCAGGTTTATCGCGGAGTCCCGCGAAGGTACGCTCCGCCTGAACATCACGGCGGCGACGGACGCTGACGAGGGAGACTACACGTGCGAGGCTGTCAACAACATCGGCTTCATCTACTGCACTGGACATCTTAAGATTGGAAGTGAGTATAGAATATAATATTTAAACATGTGACTGCACGGTTGGTGCGGTGGCTGGGCAACCGGCTGCCGTGCCACGTGTCGCGGGTTCGATTCCCGCACGAACAACAGTTTGTGTGATCCACAAATTGTTGTTTCGGCTCTGGGTGTCATTGTGTATGTGAACTTGTATGTTTGTAAAACGCACCCACAACACAGGAGAAAATCCTAAAGTGGGGCAACGTTTTTTAAAAAAACAATAAAATGACATCTTTTTATATTACTTACGGTAGCATTAAAATTGTAAAATGTACCGTTTTTGATAACGAGAGGAAACCGTCGAAAAGCGTCTAGGTTTTTGGGGTATGTACAATTATAACCACACTAAAACCACAACCCACTATCAGTTTTGTAAATAAAGGGCACCGAGCCCCCTAAATTAACCGACTCTGAAGTGGTAGGTACGTTTTGGAGTGTCTATTATAATATCGGAAGCATCACGAAGGCCGACCATAAAGCAATATAAATCATTTTTTGAAGAAATTTGTTATGTAGCTCGCGGGGAAAACCGCTGCTTCCGTAACTTGAACATATCTAGCGAAATATTAATGCTTTCTATTATTATTTCTTGTAAAAAACAAGAAATTACACAACAAAATAATAGAATAATAGAAAGCATTAATATTACTACTCTACAATGTATGTCGCGGAGAACCTAACGGGTAACCGGAGCTACGGCTCGACGTGCAGGAGAAGGAACGGGGTGGTTTTTAGTCAGTAAGAGTCTGACACTCCCTCCAGTCATTCGATGATTTTCCCCCTTAAAAAAAAACTCTACAATGTAATATGTACAAAAAGGAGTTTTCATAATTCGATGTTATATAATATATTCATCTAATTCAATAAATGCCCCCAGACCCGCCCCGCATCATCCGCATGCCGGGCGACCTGCACCTGCCGGAGCACGACAACACCAAGATCAAGGTGCTGTACAGCGGGGACCAGCCCGCAGACGTCCAGCTCACCAGGGACGGACACAAGCTCACTGACTCGCCGCACTTCAAGTACACCGTCTTCGATGATTATATTCTTATCTTCATCAAGGATATCACTAAGGATGATATGGGTGAGTCAGATGTATATTGATGGCTTTATTGTATGTAGGAGGGTGTCTGGAAACCACCACGATGTGTGATTTGAGTAAATAACATTTGGTTTTGGATATAATTTATTATAATGTAGTAGTTATTGCAACTTTGTTTCCATTGAATCTAGAAAGCATCATCTACATAGATTTTATAAGAAGTAAAGAAGTGTATTCTTCTTTAGTATCTAAAGGTTGTTCCATATTCTGTTACTGTAAAAAATCCTGCTTCATTTATTAATTGATAGATAGAGATGCGTATACAAAAGTATAGTTTAACTTTATATACCTTTTCAATAATAAATCATAAAAAACATGAGTCAGCTGCTTTCATTATTATTAGTTCTGTAATTTGGAAAATAAAAATTAAATAACTAACAAAATACCTTCTCCAACAGGCATTTATAAGATCTCCATAACGAACAAGTCAGGCGAGACATCAGACACGTTCAGCGTCACCGTCACCGGACTACCAGGTCCTCCACAGGGTCCTCTGGAGACCACAGACATCACGCGTCACTCCTGCACTCTTGCATGGAAGCCTCCCACATACGACGGAGGACTGCCTGTCACTCACTACGTCATCGAACGTAACGACATCTCGGGCACGGCGTGGATAACTATCGCGTCCTCCGTGAGGGACACCAAGTTCACTGTCCAAGGATTAACGGAGGGACAGGAGTATAACTTCAGGATTCATGCCGCTAATGATAATGGCATGGGACCGGCTCTTGAAGGACCTAGCCCGATTAAGGTGAGTTTTTAAATAATTTGGATGTATTGTTGGGGGCATTACCCTCCAGACACTAACAAAATAAGACAGTTTTTAAAATTTACTAATGTCCATTAGTAATTTTGGGTGAATTCAATATTGGTACAATAGACTCACCCCCTATTACATGGGACTCACAACATAAATAGTGAAAAGTGGGTGTTACTTCTATGTGCACCTCTGCCTACCCCTTCGGAGATAAAAGGCGTGATGTTATGTTCTGTTCAATATTGGTCAAAGTTTGACTAAATTATTTGATATTAGTGCAAATCCCTAAGCTCAAAACACCTCATCATACTTTTTATTGCCTGAGTCAGCTACAAGTTAATTCTGATCGTAAAATTGGCTTCCAATGTCGTATAAATCCTAATTTGCACGCATACAATAAACAGCCGTGATATTATTTTTTTGTTTTATCTCCAGGCCAAGGCACCATACGACCCACCATCAGCTCCTGGCATCCCCAAGATCCTGGAGGTCGGAGGAGACTTCGTCCACCTGGAATGGGACAAACCAGAGAGTGACGGTGGATCTAGGATTCAAGGTAAGGTTCCGTGATAGTACACTGTTAAAACATTATGAGTAACTCATGAAATGGTAAAAGCTTAAACTCATTATGGTATAAAAGAGGTAGGGTTTCTGAAGTCATTGGTATTTGGTATAATTAAGCTCACATTCAAACGATTTATATATCTTACTTGATCTTTAATAAGCTACTCGAACACCAGTTTTAGAAAGGTCAAAGGTTAGCAAAGCGAATCTTTTGTTTGTATAGAATTGCTATTCTCTAAAAAAACCTGTCAAATTTCAAAAAATACTTTTCATCTGACAATTTTATTTTTCAAAAATGCTACAGAAAATCTCACTTCTGACATGAAAAATTACCAAAATCTCTCACAGCACACTTGTTACAAAGTAAAAAATACATTTAACCATAATTTTTTCCAACCAGGATACTGGATCGACAAGCGCGAGGTCGGTACAACGACCTGGCAGCGCGTGAACCCGACACTCTGCTTACCAAACCAATGGAACTGCTCCAACCTTATCGAGGGCCGCCAGTACGAGTTCCAGGTCACCGCACAGAACGAGGCTGGAGTGTCGCCTCCTAGCAGTGCTAGCCAACAGGTCAAGGTCGTCGATCCTAAAGGTGAGGATCAAATTCACTTATTAAGTTATCTTTTATTGTTTTACCAAAATCTACTTGGGTAACCGTCTACAAAAGAAGGGTTTACTATGATCTCCACACTTTGCAGGCGGGTTGGAGATGGTTATTTATGAGGTTCAAGTTTATCAGAGACCGTCACTTAATCGGCTATTAATACATCCAACAATCCAACATTACTTGTTTACAAATCGTCAACGAGTCCGTCTTTTGCAAGCTATCACAATATTTTCTTTTGCAATACATTTCCTATTTTATGCCTTGTAATACGGTTAAAATACAGTGAGGTCTTTATATTTGTCAGCTCGTTAAGTTACTCCAATCTTTTACAAATAGAATTTTAATGACTTGTAATAAGGTCGAAAATACACTGACATCTCTACACTATTAAACAATTAAACTAATAATATGATTCTCTCTCAGCCGCCACCCCGCCAGAGATCGTGAAGCCATTGAAGAACGCCAACTGCATCCAGTACCACAACGCCAAGTTCCAGTGCACCATCACTGGACAACCCAAACCTACCATCACGTGGTACAAGGGTAAGTATCTAATAGACTATTCAATTTGGGTTTTGTTACTTTGTCCAGTTAAAAAGATTCAGTCCAGTGATTCAGGCTACGTCAATTTATTTCTTAGAGTAGATCCGTTATGAGGCATTGTTCTGTCTCAATTTAACTTAAAAAAAAAATATTCTCCGAAGTTTTCTTTCTCTGAAAAATTTACTAATATTCTGCTAATAATGTTGCTGCTAATATAATAGTTGAACCATGATGATGTCCTAATTTCATGAATCTACATTATTGTAAACAGACTGGCCGGTACATGAATATTGCGAAATCACAAAAAAAACACATTTATTAGTAAACCAATATCAAGATATGCCATTAAACATATTGCCATTATTTAACTTGCTTTTACTAAATAAATCCTACCTTCAACGCAGGTGCCCGAGAGATAACAAATGGTCCTCGTCACCGCATCTGGAGCGAGGGAGACAACCACTTCCTGACTGTCATGGATGTCTTCGGAGAAGACGCTGATGAATACGTCTGCCGTGCCGTCAACCGCGCTGGTGTCAAGTCTACCAGGGCTGAACTGCTGATTATGAGTGAGTTTTAACCTGTACATATTGAATCGAAATTGAGTTTCATGTGATATACTTGCGCTAAATGTTTTAAAAGTTTGCGCAAGTTGCGCATGTTTTTGCGCAAAGAAATTAAAAATTATCTTGATACTAAAAATACTATTCGTGAAGCTTTCACTGACCGTGTAAGCTTCGCGAGTAGTATATCTAACCAGCTACCTACTATGTCGTGTTTGGGTTTGATTCCCACATGGAATAAAATATAAATACTTTAGATCACAAATACCAATTTGTGAATTAGGCGGAATTAAATCTGTGTTATAAGTAAGCAAGCACACCCATCTTCATGCGCGAAAATTCTTGTCCTTTAAATTCAATATTTTATTTCACAAATTTTCTCAACTAACCATGCCATGAAACAAAAATACTCATACACACTTTATTCCACAGCCGCACCGAAACTGAACGTGCCGCCTCGCTTCCGTGTGACGGCGTACTTCGACAAGGGCGAGAACGTAGTGATCAAGATTCCTTTCACCGGCCACCCGATACCTAAGATCACATGGGTCAGGGAAGGCGAGACCATTGAGTCTGGTATCCATTACCATGTTGAGAGGAAAGGTAAGGAAGTATTTCATTTTATACGTAAATACATACAAACATAACTTCATGCTTGTCTTCCATGGGGGTAGGTAGGCAAAGACTGGAACGTTAATTGCAACGATTCTTATATTATATCTTTTTCGCTTCATCAACAGACTTTTCATGCATACTCGTCATTTCATAATACGAAACAAAAGAGTATTATCTCTATTTCATTGTGACACTGTTATTTAAACAGTAATAGGTATAGAAGAAGAATTATGCTTATCTAAGTATCCATCTTGGTTCTAAGTAAATTTTCAGACGAATTGGGAAACTCGTCCTTTTGTTTTTAGGAGTTTATAAATGGATGAATAAAACTCAACAGAGGATAATGAAAAAAGCTTTTTATAGCAATTACTATAGAGAATTTAAAAGCAACAATTCATATTAAGGATAATAGGTATATTTCCATTGACGTCTTTATGAATTTTAATATAATTGTGTTTGTATTTCAGAACGCCACGCGATCCTAACCATCCGCGACGCCAGCAAACTGGACTCTGGACCATACAGGATCACTGCTGAGAACGAACTTGGACAGGATTCCGCCACAATCAACATTGAAATTAGCGGTCAGTATCTTTTGTTCGAACTATTGTTTTTTTTATTTTTAGAATAAGACCATACCTTTTTATTTCGTCTCGAACTTCTCGTCTTGAGAATTTTGGAATCTTTTTAATTAAACATAACAATTAGTACAAACAAAACTATTGTAGTTATGATAAACTTTCACATCTTTTCTTTTCCTATAATTTTGCAAAAGAAAATAAATACCTAGTTATTGTTTATCAAAAAACCATTTGAACATATAACGTTTTGATTATGATATACCACACCCTAATGTGATTAATCTTCTTTCAAAAAACTTGAAAAATAAGAAATGCGGAATCTTTTTACTAATAACTTATTTCACATGAAAATTCAATTTCCAGATCGTCCCGACCCACCACGATTCCCAGCGGTGGACAACATCGGCGTGGACTCGCTGGCACTCAGCTGGAAGGCTCCAGTCTGGGACGGCGGCTCCGATATCACCAACTACCTGGTCGAGAAGAGGGAACATCCCATGACCAGCTGGATTAGGGTTGGAAACACCAGGTGGGTTTTAAAAGAGATGGATAACTTATATTTTACCTGGTTCTATCACTTTATATTGCTTTCAATTATTATTGACAAGTAGTAAAATACGTTCTAGAGAGAGCTAAAAACAACAGTTACGTAAAATATTTTTGAATATTTTTGCACAAAATTTTGCGCATTGATTTTTTTTTTAATTATTCAGAAAGATCACAAATTAGTCTTGTACAAGATGATAACTACATTGTGTAGAATTTATCTTATCTTTGAATAGCCCGCTATTGCATTATGCCTAACGTTTACGTTCTAGTGAGAACGCAAAACAACAGTTGCGCAAAATATTCCTAAAATATGTTTGCGCAAAATTTGCGCATTGAAATTGTTTTAAATTAATTAGAAAATTCACAAAAATAGTCTTGTACAAGACGATAATAGTGTAAAAATATTTTCTTTAAACAACCCGCTATTGTATTATGCCTAACTATTGAGGTTATCCCATACTTATTACAAAAATAACTTGACTTAATTAAAAAACTGTTTTATAATTCTAAATTCCTCCTATTTCCCAGGTTCACAACAATGGCGATCACAGGCCTAGTACCAGGCAAGCAGTATGAGTTCAGAGTGTACGCGGAGAACATCTACGGCAGGTCGGAGCCTAGCGAACCGACCACGCTGGTGCAGACCAAGGCCATCATCAAGAAGGAGTTCCAGAAGAAGGAATATCCTGGTGAGAAATAATTTCAAAAATCTGCTATAAATACATTATCAAGGAATCTAAGTAGAAATGGTGAATATAAGGTTGATTAAATGGGGAGAAGCTATCACATAGTTGGATGATAGAATTACTCAGATCGGACATTACTTGTATCATAGATTTACTTAGTATTGTCTTAGATTGTGGTATAATTTTTAGGATTATTTTTTTGATAATTATCATGCAACAAGAATATTTTTGAGTTTAGTTTGTGGCATACATCATGACTTTCCTTTAAAGGTAATTCTTCTAATAAATACATTATCTGAGATAGTGTGCCAAATACGTCATAATTTGCGCAAAAAACACCCATTGCGCAAATCGTTATAAACCAATATACTCAACTAGCTACTTCCGCGCGTTATCACACGCTCTGCTAAGCTCCTATTGGTCGTAACGTGATGTTTTATAGCCTATAGCCATCCTCGATAAATGCGCTATCCGACACAAAAAGAATTATTCAAATCAGACTTGTAGTTACGGAGATTAGCGCGTTCAAACATACAAACAAAATAAACTCTTCCGCTTTATATAATAGTATAAGATTAATACCTTTTTCTTTAATTACAGTTGATGAAACAGGCAAGCGTATCCGCACGAACGCGGACCATGGACCAATCAAGGACTACGACAGCTACGTATTCGACATTTACAGTAAATACGTGCCGCAACCAGTTGACATCAATACTTGCTCTGTATACGACAAATACGACATTCTAGAAGAGATTGGTAAGTCAACTATATAAGTTGTAGTGGGTAGAAGCATGTTAATGGTTATTTTAGGCTGGTTTTACTGAACTGATGATACATTTTAAAAATACTGTAGGGTTTTCTCTGAATGAAAGCAGTTATTGTGACCATTGTGTAGATTCATAATTCATTTTTGAAAATTAAAAGCAAATGTTTTGTGGTGATACGTGAAAGTAGCCTTTCGTTTATAGACAAGTTTGAGTCGATGGAATATCGTATTATAGAAATACGGTTGTTAAATATATAATAAAAACCGTAATAGTTTTGCATGCGTAGTTAGAAGTGTGAAAAATAGTATGATTGACAGTTTTGTATCTAGAATAAAATTGGCTACATTTACGATGCTGTATGAAATAGATCTAAAGCTGAATTTCAAAGAGAAACTTGCATGAATAGACATGCTAAAAAATGATAATGTAAGAATTTAAATAGGTAGCAACATGACATGAATTATAAAAAAAAAACAGTTTTCTGGATTGCAAAATGTATTACGAACATAATCACTCCCTCTCCTCTTTACACACACTCACACATTTACACAACAACATTAATTTTCTATTTATTTCATTGACTCACACTAAACATAAACACAATTTTTAATAAACACAATTTTAAAAATCAATATACTTCTAAATATTGCGTTAATTTACCATTCCGAATGATTGATAGGAAATATTCGGAAATCTTTCCAATAAAGCATGATAGTTAAATAAATAAACAAATAAATAAAAATAACTAAACGCACTCACGAAGTTGCTTGTGAAATCACTTGAGGTTTTTATAGAACTTTATAATATTAACCTTAGAAATACTAACCGTGCCTTAGAAAAATTCAAAATTTAGAATTAATTTTAGTTTAAAGTAGATTTTTTCTTTAATCGTCAAGCCAAAGTGGTGATTACTTGAAACGTTAATCACCGATGCAAAGTGTTAATTTTTAATAGGTACTTAATCACCAATGTCGAAGAACATCTATTCTACGTTTATATTCTGTATAGTTATGTATGTTGAGTCTTCGCCGTTGGTCGTGAAGTATGTTTGAACTTTAATCCCCATTGCAAAGTGGTGATTAAAAATGGTGATAATTCACAGGTGACTTCGTGAGAGCCCCGTCGCGAAGGTCGCGCGCCGGAGGTCTGTGTGTGAATAGATCGATGTAGTGCATCTCTTTCTCTGCATCTCTCTGTCTCACACGCATACTTATTTTATTATAAAAAATAAATATTTATTTTTCTATTTTTAGTAGAAAAAATCGCATGAAAAAATAGTAGGGTGATTGGAAAATTTGAAAAAATATGGAAAATTATTTCGAGGATATTTTTTTTACTTTTAGGTCGTATTTCCAGTAACCCTAATTTTCTAAATATTTTTATCATAAAAAATATTACATTATCCTTATTAAAATTTATTTATATATTATGTGTATCATCTATAGTAGATTGAATGCACGGGTTTTTGCTTAAGTTATTATATGTTAGTATATTTATTTTATTTACATATATACAAAAAAGTTTATTTATAATATGCAAAATCACACCAAGTAGACAATTGGCGTATAATATTGGCACGGAGTCGTAGAAATATAGAATTTACACTTTAAAACATAATTATTATGTCTGATAGTTTCTGATGTTCTTGCTTTATATGCTATTTACAATAAAAATATGTTTCAAGTTAACAAATTTACAGAAAATATTAGACATATATACACAAAATTTTAAATTAAAACACATAGAAGTCGTTCTAAGTTTTAACTTAGTTTGTCTTCAATAGAGCGATTAATATACAAATAGTGATTAATATGATATGATATGGACCATGTAACTTGCGTTGTCACGACTGATTATAGCGTTAAAATAAAGAAATGTAAAGGTATATACGGAAAAAAGTATGAATACTTTAAAATTGTAATAAAAATTTACTATACTCGCTTTAAATTCTGAATTACTTACCATAAATATCTCGATAAAAAATAAATTCAAAATATTAATCAAAAAAATCGTAGCACACAACTCAATTAAAATTAATCTATCCTGGCAACGCAATAAGGTCTAAAATAACTTACACAAGCAGAGGCATGAGGTGTCATGTACTGTTGTAGGTACAGGCGCGTTCGGTGTTGTCCACCGATGCCGCGAGAGGGCGACAGGCAACTACTTCGCGGCTAAGTTCATACCGGTCGCTGGCGCTATGGAGAAGGAACTGATCAAGAAGGAGATCGACATTATGAACCAACTTCACCATCGTAAGCTGATCAACTTACACGATGCCTTCGAAGATGATGACGAGATGGTTCTTATTTTCGAGTTGTGAGTATTTATTTATATAGTCTTGGCTCATTTTCAGTTGGTATAAATTGTTTTTTTTTTTTCATTGTTACATTAGACAACATGAGAACTTTTCATATTCTGTGCACATTATTACTGAGATTATTGATAAAGTTTATTTTGATCAGATATAAAGCACTTTTGAAAGTCTGAAATATCTATAAGTAAAATTCGGTCTAAAGCATCAATTCATATTTAGAAGAATGAACAAGTAGAGGTGCACATTACTGCACTTAATGCCACTATACAATATAACACCCACCTTTCACTATTTATGTTATGAGTCCCATGTTATAGGGGTGAACCTATTGCCATATACCGGGCACAATTCTAAACTCCGTGCTATTACTGATATTTAAAAAAAACCAGTAGTAGTTCGCCCGATCCGGGAATTAAACCCGAGACCCCATGCCCGGCAGTCGCACTTGCGATTGCTCGGCCAACGAGGCAGTCCATAATTACAGAATTCAATATTTTTTATCATGACCAGAGGCCTAAGTACAACTTTGTCTTACGTATATAGTAATCGTAACGAGTACGCGTTCGTCGTTCTAATTGGTTGGTTTATTGGCGCCCGCCAATCAGAGTGCCGAACGCGTACTCGTCTCGAATACTTTAAACGTAAATGAAACTCATACTAAGGCTTCAGCACAGGCGAAGAACATCAAAGTCATACAGTTAGGTCACATAGACCTTTTTCTCCATCAAATCATAATTACACCGCGCTTCTCTAACTATACTAACTATAACTTTAAAACTAACAACACAATTTTCTCCCAGCTTATCCGGAGGCGAGCTCTTCGAGCGCATCACAGAGCCAGGCTACAACATGTCGGAAGCTGAAGCAGCTCACTACATGCGCCAGATCTGTGAGGGAGTCAGACACATGCATGAACAGAACATCATTCATCTGGACCTCAAGCCGGAGAACGTCATGTGCCAGACTAGGACTGGTACTGATGTCAAGGTTGGTCTTCTTCTTTCTTCTGATCTTTGGTCTAATTAACGTTTGAAAACTAAACCTAAACCGTATGGGAATAAATGTCAATATTGAATAGCTACCCTCTGCAATATGTGTTTGGAAATTATGTTTTAAGGTTTAGTCACTGTTTAATCACTTGATATATCGTTCGAAAATCCACAACATTTGTTCATAGAAATGTAGTGTCTAAACATGGAAAATAAGGTCTTTATTGGAGTGAGTGACGAGCCACCGGTGACTGCTTGGGGACTCGCCAGTAACGAGGAAACTCGGCTAGACTCATTCATTGCGTGACAAACGATGCGGCGAATGTCGCACAGCTTAATGACCATGAGCATAATATTGTCATATTCTAGGCTTCTCAAGCTCCTTGCTAATAAGAGTCAAGAAATTTAAGAACAAACGACGATAGTATTACTTCTATTCTTCAATTTGAGTTCACAACAGAGTATAAGGTTTATATTATTTTTTAGAATTGCGCAAAGAACATTGATTTTTTGAAAGTCTCACACTCTAATTACTTAATAACCCTTAAAATTCAATTCTAAACTTTATCCTCTTCAACAGATCATCGACTTCGGCCTGGCAACCAAATTAGATCCGAATGAAGTAGTAAAGATATCGACGGGCACGGCCGAGTTCGCTGCGCCTGAGATCGTGGAGCGCGAGCCTGTCGGGTTCTACACGGACATGTGGGCCGTCGGTGTGCTGTCTTATGTACTGTGAGTATACAAGAAATTACTGTTGATAAGTTGTATATAACATAACATAACATCTCAACGCCTTTTATCGCCGTAGTGGTAGGCAGAGGTGCACATTACGCCACTGTACAATGTAACACCCACTTTTCAATATTTATGTTATGAGTCCCGTGTAATAGGGGGTGAGCCTATTATATACCGGGCACAATTCCAGACTCCGTGCTACTACTGAGATTTTTGCATATATGATCTAACTAATGTTAGAAACGGGAAAGTTTAAACAATCATGGCTAAAATGTGGGTTAAGCAGATGGCCGCTAGATGGGGCAGAGGGTGTCCACAGAGGTCTTCCATCTCGAACAGTTATAAGCTTCTCTTAAAAAAAATCCAAGTATCGATTAAATTATTTTCCTCGAACAGGCTATCCGGTCTATCACCGTTCGCTGGTAACAACGACATTGAAACCCTGAAGAATGTAAAGGCATGCGACTGGGAGTTCGATGAAGAAGCCTTCCAGCACGTGTCTGATGATGCCAAGGACTTCATCAGGAGACTGCTTGTCAAGAACAAGGAGTTAGTATTGTGATTCATTATATTTTGAAGGGAAATAGAGAAAATTGTGATTGGTTTATGTATTTATGACGATGGATGGTAAAAGTTTTAAAGGTACTAAAGCGTTACGATTTTATGTAATACTATGACATGGTATTGGTATGAAAAAATTGACAAATTCATTCAGTTCACTCATTCAGTCCCTACCACTAAAAGTGCCCTGATCATTCAAAGTCAAATTTATTTGAATTAGACCAAGAAGGCACTTTTGAATGTCAACAAAACATTTTAAAGTGAAGCTATTTGCTCATTCCAAGCTGTAGATTCCTATGGAGAAGATACTCCATAGGTTACTCTTTTTCAATCAAGTTCACAATACAATTCTCTAGTTACATAATTTGTTGGTTCGATTGTGCGAGAACAATGTAACACCAAAGTCTAGTCAAAAAATTCTAAAAATGAAAAGAAATTGGATTTTTATATATTAATATTATACGAATTAGTTCACAGTCAACTTGAGTGTCAACTTTATTTAATAGGAGCCTTTAATCTGTATATATAAAAGAAAGTCGTGTTAGTTACACCACTTATAACTCAAGAACGGCAGAATAGATTTGGCTGAAAATTGGTAGGGAGGTAGCTTAGAACCAGGAGACCGACATAGGATACTTTTTAATCAACATTTTTTTACCTTTTACCGAAAATCACGAACGGGGACGGGAAAAAATGGGATTACGCGTACGAAGTCGCGGGCAGAAGCTAGTAATCTATAAAAATTGACAAAAGGAATTTGAACTTTGTGTACAATAACTTAGCATATCTTCTCTTTTACAACATATTTGTAATGACTAAAATTCTATGTACTATTTGTACAGGAAGCGTATGACAGCGCACGAGTGCTTGATGCACAAGTGGCTGGCGGGCGACGCGGCGGCCGCGCGGACCGCGCATATCTCCGCGCGCAGGTACGAGGCGCTGCGGGACAGGCTGCGGGCGCAGTACGAGGTACGGACTGGACTTACAAACACATATCTAACATTTTAAATAGACATGAGTAGTTTAATTAGATTTACAACCTGATTAAAAATTACTCTAAGTGTAGATAAATACTACAAAGAACTTCAAAATATATAATAATATCAATATTTTTTGGTAAACCTCCAAATGTCTAGGATTAGTTATCTTGAGGCCATGAATGTTTGGAATTTCTCAATCAAAATAAATATATTTACATCATTAGACTCTTCCTTGTTACCTAAGGCCTTAGTACGAGTTTACGTTTAAAGTATTCGAAACGAGTACGCGTTCGGCGCTCTGATTGGCCAGCGCTAATGAAACAACCAATCACAGCGCCGAACGCATACTCGTTACTATTACTCTATGCGTAAAACAAATTCGTACTAAGCCCACCTTTTTGGGCTTATTTTTTTTATGGCATAAGCCGGTATACTAGCAGACGGATCACCTGATGGTAAGCAATCGGCGTCGCCCATGGACACCTGGAACACCAAAGGCGTTACTGGCTTTTTGGGGATTAGGAGTTTGAGGATCGTTGGGAATTAACGAATGACTTTACAACATTTCAATTTTGAGTTCACAATGCGAATGTTTTTTTTTTTAAATGAATAAACTTTACGTGGTTTCAAACTTTCAATTATAACAACAACGGTTATCTAATATGAAATATTTTTCCCGTAGAACTGGTCATCATTCAGGCTGCCCATCGGCAGGCTGAGCGAGTACAGCTCACTGCGCAAGCTGCTCATCGAGAAGTGGAAGATATACGATGGACAGTTCGGTAAGCATTTACTTGTTTACACGACAGCCATCAGACCACCACAGATGGGGCCCAATAGGGCCGATGCCGATTCGGAGTCGCGGAGAACCTAACGGGTAACCGGGGCTCCGGCTCGACGTGCAGGAGAAGGAACGGGGTGGTTTTTAGTCAGTAAGAGTCCGACACTCCCTCCCGCCTCACCCAGGTGGGAGCAGTAATTCGATGATTTTCCCCCCTTAAAAAAAAACTTGTTTACACGACATAAGATATCTTCATTTTCTGGGTCTTTACGTAGCTATTCATGGTAAAATAATTCTGAAAATTTGCAGAAACAAGCCTTAAGGTAAGGAGTAAATCGCATGTTCCATTTCTTCAAGAATCAAAGGTTATATTTACTGTTATATTTTGGAGTAGAGATCACAAGATACGGAGTCTACGTCTGCGTCAGATTTACACTAATATTATCATTTTAGGCCAATTGATGCCGAATTAGATTACGAATGAAACTTTACTTAATCCTTAAATAAAATCTTTATACTTACATGAGAACTTTGTTTCTAGTATTGTTTATTCTCCATAGTCAGAAAAAAGACCCAGTTACAACAAAATTATATATAAAATAGGCTCACCCCCTATTACATGGGACTCATGACATTAATTGTGAAAAGTGGGTGTACCTTTATATGCACGTCGGCCTACCCTTTCGGGTATAAAAGGCTGAAAGTGATGTTATGTTACAACAAAATTATTTATTTTACAAAATACACCATTATAACTTCACCTTTCTCTCCCAGACCGCAGGCAAGCAGCCCCCCGCTTCGTGATCAAGCCCCAGTCCGCGTTCTGCTACGAGGGGCAGTCCGTCAAGTTGTACTGCCGCATCATTGCATGCGCTACTCCTACTGTCACCTGGTCCAGGAACAACCACGAGCTGAGACAGTCTGTCAAGTTTATGAAGAGGTATTGTGATCATATTTATATTAATACTAACTACTTCTAATGATGTTTTATATCCTTTATCAACTGTTTTGCCGAAATATCTCGAAGTATGTCTACAGAAGTCTCTTTCTGTCATTCTTTTTTTAATATTTCAGTTCAATTTAGAGAACAATTTCAATAATCAAAACTGTACTTGCCCCTTATCGTCTGGTCATAAATTATAGACCCAAAAACAATCCTTTAGAATAACATGATAACGTACAATTTCGCATACAGGTATGCCGGCGACGACTACTACTTCATAATCAACCGCGCCAAGCTGGAGGACCGCGGCGAGTACATCATCAGGGCTGAGAACCATTACGGATTCAGGGAGGAAGTCGTTTTCTTGAACGTTCAACGTAAGTGTTTTTATAATAACTATCGTGAGACATACTAAATTAAGTAAAATCGCGGGTTACTCACGTGAATATACTGAGAAAAGCTCTACTAGTTTCGAACCACAGGGGTTCTTCCTTATGAGCAGCGTGTGCGGTCGCGGCGACCACGCATGCTGCCCGCGAACCCGCGTTTTCACTTAATTTAGTACAAATTAAGTGTCTATAGCTACCGATACCTATATATACTCCCGTTTCTGTGCAGCATCAATTGTGTACTTGCCAACTAGTCAAATTTAATACTTTTTTCTATGAATTTTGTACGACATTGTGTATTGTGACGTCACGTTATTTCAGCGTCAAACAGCATAGTTATTTCGTAAAGTTTTGCTGGGAAATAATTAAAATTAAGTTGGTCATAAAATCAATTATTGAAAGTGTGATTATTTTGTAATATTTTATTGTTTTGAACAGTCGAAATAATTTGTTTTTGATAAAGGCAAGTATCCAATTGTATTTTATAATACAATTTTCTATTTCGAATAGACTTTTACAGTTTTACTATAGTAATAATGGATCTATGTTTGACATTCTTGACAAAACTCAACTTAGGTTGCGCTATTATGAAAATTTGAAAAAAAAGTTAGTGCTCTTTAGATTTTTGATCAGTATCTACTTACTTTTGCTGTAGTAGATACCAATAGCGAAATCGTTTTGCAATTAACTTTAGTTTCATCCCGTTATGGAGCATCGCCGTTAAAAAATCGGAGTGCTCACTAAAAATTGACTATTATTTCCTATATATTAAAAATAAAACAAAATAATAAAAATATTTCATAACACTCATACATTGTTGTAAGGCCAGAAATAGCTACAACATACCAAACCTAAATAGGTAACAAACACCTGAATATTATTTCAGTTACAATGCGGACCAATTAAACCGTCACACTATCAAACAATTTAATTTTAATTACTCGAACAAAAGATCAGTGCTACATGCCAACTGCTAACCAATGTCTATATTTACTCCACCTTTAGGCTGAGAACATGTTACGAAATTAGTCACTCCCTGCCTACTCCTCCTAGAGTACTGATTGATTCTAAATAAGCTCGTAAAGTGACCAGTTTTCACAGTGTATTTTCTTAATAAAGTGATTTATAAAGTCCTTTTTTGGCGTGTAAGTGTGTTTTAAGTAGTTTTACGACTAAAAGTTAGTCTGTTTTAACCGAAAATTTTTAGATTGTTCTAGATTTTTAACAGAAATTCAATAAATGTTATGTCTCATGTCATCTTATATTAATCCAAGATTTATGAATATTAATTTCGGTGTAAGTAAGAAATCAGTATATCGTTTTATTAAATCAATAAAGATGCGATTATATTCCACCTGTTGGAACTTTATTAATTTAGTTATATGTTACATAAATGCAATGCATAAATTCTAGTTTTAATACCTAAACATTCTGTTTCAAATTATGTACATATTTAAATAAGATATTTATTTGGTTTTCTAACTTTAAACCTATAAAACCACAAGAATTACCTTTAACAGTCTCAGTTTATAGTTTAAATTTGTAACCATCCATTTCGTCCCAACAGCGGTCCCGAAGGTCCAACGCCAGCACCTGCCCGAGGCCCCGCGCCGCCGCGAGGCCCTGCCGTACACGTTCTGGCAGGAGTCGTCCGAGACGGCGCCCGCCTTCACGTTCCAGCTGCGGCCGCGTGTCATGCAGGCCAGGGACACGTGCAAGCTGCTCTGCTGTCTCAGTGGCAAGCCCACGCCCACTGTCAAATGGTGAGTGGACCTTATAAACGTCTTTGGTCTTGGTTTTTCCTCATATCATGTCTGTTCAAGCCGGTAGCTATCAACAAAGAACTGTCAAAAGTAAGGGTCGGCTGTAGAATTTCACTTGTCATTGTTTCCTGAGTCCCAACAGAAGTTAGCATTTTAAAAGTATATAGCTGGCGCCACTATCGATTAAAGGTTGTCAAAAGCAAGGATTGGCTGGAGGATTCCATTTGGACGCCATATTGGTCATTGTTTCCCGAGTTCCGACAGAAGTTAGCATTTTAAAAGTGTATAGCTGGCGCCACTATCGATATTTCCGATTTTATCCGATTATGGTTGGTTAAAAATGTCATGAAATTAAAGTTTATTGATTTAAATAATTGTACTGAAGATTAAAGATGAACAATCAAAACATATAATTATCTACCGCAAAAGTCTGCTTCTGTTTTAACAAACTTTTTATGAAGATTGATATAAAAACCGATCAGTCATAAATGTTATTTAATTTTTAACACGATACGTTCCTATAGTACGTAGAATCGACACCACAATATGTGAAACAAAATATTAAGATCTATAACTATAATTATAACACCCTTCTCCCCCTAGGTACAAGGACAAGAGAGAGCTATCTAAATATGATTACGCGATGACACATTCGGATGGCGTCGTCACGCTGGAGATCATCGACTGTCGACCGGAGGACAGTGGCAAATACACCTGCGTGGCCACCAACGTACACGGCACTGATGAGACATCCTGTGTCGTTATTGTTGAAGGTGAGTCAAGATTTATTATAGGTTTTAACTTAAGGTGATGTTGGAGCTATATATGACTATAGTTAAGCGGAAAATAGGGTTCATTTTAGCTTGTATTAGGAAGGAAGGTCATCGTGGTGGCTCGGAGGTTTAAGCCCGCTTCTCATGCATGAGAGTGTGGGTTCAAAACTAACAACGGCAAGTTACCAATGTGACTTTTTCCGAGTTATATGTACTTTCTATGGATTATCTAGACACCACTGACAAACGGTGAAGGAAACCAGTTTGAAATCGCCAACCCGCATTGAGCAACCGCAATACTTAAATCTTCCCCGTGTGAGAAGAGGCTTTGCTCAGCAGTGGGCATTTATAGGCGGTTGATGATGATTAGGAAGGTTTACGCTGAAACACTCAATTGCCAAACAATTATAATCGCGCTTGGTATTCTGTCACTACAAATTCTTTGTAAAATGACAGAGATAGCACGATATTTATCCACAACTTAAAATTGAGTAGTTTTTTAGTATTTGGGTGTTACAGTACTAAAAACTTATTGTTGTTTAACCACTCTAACGTCCGGGCCGCGCGACCGTTTATCTCTCTAACGTCCAGCTGCGCGCGGCGTCCGAACCGCGCGCGACTCGCAAGTTCGTCGTAACAAAAAACCTATATAGCTACTGAACCGTAATGGCTAGAATAAAGAAAAAAATACCAAAAAAAAGATTGAAGAATACTGATCAATCTTAACGATTTTTTTAAATCGTAAGTTATAATCTTTGATACAAAAAACCGGGTTAAACATGTAATTCAGAAAAAAAAATACACAATTATTTCTACCTTTTTAGAATATAAGGCACAACTATTGCATATTTTATCAATAAAATAGTTTTACAACAAACTAGACTTATTACCCTTTCTTCTGATGTATATACGATTACATTCGGTTAACTCTAAGTATTTTAATTAAATCAAAACAAAACACTACTCCTCGTAATTTTTACCGCGATGTCCCGAGCGCCCTTGACTCGTCCGAGAAGGCGAAATAATAGCAATATGGCCGCCCGTCTAAGGTTTCCCACACACGATGTAATTTTAATAAAATTTTTAAATAATTTTATGAATTAGTTTTATGCAATAATTGTATTTTTGAAGTTGTTTATTTGTTCTAGTTGGTTATTTAAATAAAAAGCAAATAAAAAAATCAATATATAATATAATAATTTATTCCTTCCACACATTTATATATGGTAAGCCATAAAACAATTTTCAATGCAGAGATTGACGTCGCTGTGAATAATTTAAAACATTAGTATTGTTAAAAGAATAAAATAAAATTTGGCGAAGCATTAAAATATATGCGACCATGCAACACGTGCAAGGGCAACAGTAAAAAAGAAAGGTAGTCAAATCCACAAGTGCATTTTTTTACATTTAGCGGAAATTAATCAACACGAACAAACATGTAATTAATGTTTCAAAACAAAAAAAAACCATTAGAACATTATACATATCCAACGGAAACCAAGCGAAAAATAAATGATGAATATTAGTACAAAACCCAAAAGTGCATTTTATATTAAATATTAGTATCATCTCAAGCAAAATATTATACCACCACTAGCAAAACAAAAATAATGCAAACATATTTTGCCGTGTATAGCGAACCTTATTTATCACGTTTCATGTAACGTCCGTGGATACCAAACAGTCCACATCAAAAAACCTGAGGAACACATTGACATTATTATGGAATCTTCAGTGAATTTAGTATATTTCTCTTTGAAAAATGTATTATTTTGCTTATTACGAAATGTATTTCGATATTTTATATACTATTGTAATGCAAAGTATGTAAAATATGTATAAACAAAACTAAAAGTGGCCGACACCATACGACCGGCCATTTTTTTCGAAACAACAATTGTTTGAAGTTAAAAGTAGACTAGATTTATCAGCTAAAACTGTGATATTTATACATCATCGTAAAGCACAAATCTTCTAGTTTATTTTGATGTATAACACTTGCAAGATAAATAAAACAAAACTGTAGTACTTACGACATAATTGTTGGCACTCACAAAAACACTTCACAACACGCGCGTCAAACGAGTCAACTGGACTTAAAAAATTATATTTTGTTTGTCAAAGCTTATTACACTGCCATCTCTATTTTTTTGAACTATTTATTCATCTGTATAGATAATCTGTCAAAACTCACCAAGCAAGACCGTATTTTAAACTAGAGGGCGTTAAACACAACTCGTCGCTTTGGATACTATAGTATCCATGGGCGTATGACGCTACTTTTTTCTTGGATACCGTACTATCCACGGACGTCAGAGTGGTTAAACTGAATGTAGTTAAATTTATTAAATTAACAATTTTTTTTTGTAAAACTTACTTCATGGTGTTAATATTTGCTGAAGACTCATCACCTTATATACAAAGAGAATTATTTGTCTCTTTGTATATAAGGTGATGAGTCTATCTATATATTCTATGTTTGTTACGTCACGAAAATTATGTACCGAAGTAAAGTTACTTGATGCTTGCAATTCGTTGTAAAATTTCGTTGTCAAAGTCCAAAGTCAAAGCATTTATTACAATTATACCATAATTTGGTACTTTTGAAACGTCAACAAATACAAAATAAATAAAAGTCTGTCAGTCAGTCCGTCAGTGAAGCTAGGTGAAGCTAGGTGCTTATTCCAAAATGTAGATTCGAATGGATAAGGACGAGCAAGAAACTCCATTCGTTACTCTTTTTAAAAAAGTATGTTCTTATGTGTTCATATCGTGCAGTTTAAAATAATTTTCCGTTTCATCTTTATTGTAATTCAATCCTATTTTGTAGTACAAAACTTACAATTATTATTCTAATGCTATCCCTGTCTTGCAACCAGGCGAGGTGACATCACCGGAGCAGGCGCAGATGATCCACAACTTCCTCCACTCCGGCGACAGGCGCTACATTGAGAAGCCACTCAAACCAGCGCCGCCGCCGATCATCACCAAGACCAAGGTAATATAACTAAGATAGATATCTACTGTATTATCATACATGTTTAGTATTTTTGGGTAACAGCGTATTGGATTATTATTAGGGGCGAAAATATTTATTCTTACATCTATAAAAATGAAACCCGTTTCCCGTTGTCACGCCATAACTTGAGAATGGCTAGACCGATTTGGCTGATTTTCTGGTTGTGTTTATTATTGCCAGGAGAAGGTTCTTATGACAGAAAATAATCCTGAAAATCCTATGGGGTCGGGAGAAAATGGGATTGCGCGTACGAAGTCGCGGGCAGAAGCTAGTAAATAATACAAAATAAACTTTGTGTATCTACACGAAACGATTAAAACGTAACCAAACCATACTATACTAGACGTGGAAGATTCTCCATATTAATTTTCTAACATTAATATTTTAGCGTCGCCGTCCCCAAAATGTAAAGAATGAACAAGAAGAACAGGTAAACAAAGACAAAACAAAGGAAAACATTAGAAAAAATTATAGATTTCCACACTAAATGTGCCATTATCAAAATCGACATTATCAAGGACCTAATTTCAGTGTCCATGACATTTATTTGGCAACTGTTTGCTAATATTTCCATTTTATCTTATTGCATTTTGTTTTAATGCACTCTTCGCAATCGCAGAAAGAACATAATTATGTGTTTTATTCCATTTTTATTGTCTAGTATATTACTGCAACTTTTAAAATCATACGGCGAAAATTGCTGATTTCCATCAATATGCGTTCAGTCTTCATTTGTGATTTTCTTATTTGTAAAATCTGAATTATGAATATTAGTAAAACTGAGAACATACAACGATATTTATGCACAACATTTCACTTCAGAGTTGGCGCAAATTTTGCGCAAAGTTAGCTCAAAAACTGTCATATTTAGCGCAAGTGACAAACAATCGTATATTACGAACCATGAAGCATGTATCATACATACATGGTTTTTAAATGTGTCCGATTACATTACCTCTCATTATTTTCCTAACAAAATAATTTAATAATCCTATTTTCCATCGTAGGTGACAATCGACCCGCCAGCAAAGACCGCGCCCAGACCAAAGTATTCACCACAGACATCAGTAGAAGCTAGCAAGAAGAAATATGGCGGACTCTCAAGACTGGACTCGGACACATCGTCCAGGTCTAGGAGTGCTACTAAGGAGCTTATATGTAAGTCATCAACATGATAGTTTTCTAGATGTATGTACAAGAGAACAAGGGTTATTTGAAACCTTCTTGTAGTTAGAATGAATGTCAATTGTACAAAACTTGAAATGCCAGTTTTAGCTAAAAGAAGCTTAAAAATAAAGTCAGACTCACATTTGTAGCGTTTAAAACATTATTGTTGAATTTATTATTGTCAAATAATATCTAAGGCTTTGAAAGCGCTCGGTTTTGTCATCCCATCCTGTATGTGGTCTCAATAAGCCCGTCCCCCCCCAGTGCCGGCGTCGGACTCGTCGATGTGCGGGCCGTCGTTCGCGCGGTCGCTGCCGGACGCGCTGTGCGCCAAGGACGGCGCGCCGCTGCTGCTGTCGGCCGCCGTGCGCGGGGACCCCGACCCGCGCGTGCAGTGGTACAAGGACGGGAAGCCGCTGCATTCCTCCGAGGTACGTGTCCTGCTTTGTGCTGGTCTTTCTAGATGCCAACAGGCCAATATACTCCAATATCCAGCTTCCTCAATAGATTCTTCAACTGATTTGTAAATACCTGTTCTTGTCAGAACTGGGCTTAAATTTTTTTATGGCATAAGCCGTTAAACGAGCAGACGGATCACCTGCTGGTAAGATATCGGCGTCGCCCATGGACACCTGGAACACCTGAGGCGTTACAAGTGCGTTACCGGCTTTTTGGGAATTAGGAGTTTGAGGATCGTTGGGGATTCAGGGATTGGGGAGATTGGAGAAGGGGAGGGTAATTGGGTCTCCGGTAACCTCACTCACACGACGAAACACAACGCAAGCGTTGCTTCACGTCGGTATAAATTCAAAGACTTTGGTTTGTTTAGCGATAAGTAAAGTTTCTTACTTGAATCACATTGAACATAAGTTAAACTCTAATAACTGGCTTAAACCAAAAAGCAACATACAGCCGAAATTATAACCTTTTGGGAAGTCAGTTAAATAAGGGAGAAGGTTAAGTAAGCGTCCTTTTTATGCTATATCTATATCTCCGACATTTAAAGGTCGATTTGAAAAAATATTTTTGCCATTTACAGAGAAACTAATCATAGTTATTTTAAATTTAAATTGTGATCGAAAAATATTCCTTTTAATTTTCTTTTCTTCCGAATTTTCACATTTTTACTAATAAATATTAATATCTTCCCCAGGTTGTAGACCTTAAATACAAGAATGGAGTAGCGTCGCTGGCCATCAACGAGGTGTTCCCCGAAGACGAGGGCATCTACTCGCTGAAGGCCATCAACAGCCAGGGCGAGACTGAGACCAAGTGCAAAGTCACTGTCAAACGTATGTATTACTTTTACAATAATATGAAACTTTTATGAACATTTAACTCGTCGAGTACCGTATTTATAGACACAATTAAAGAATAATAGGTTGCGGTCACCGGTGACCGCTTGGTGTTTGACAGTTTAAAGAATTTTAGTAGCACGGAGTCTAGAATTGTGCCCGGTATATAACAATAGGGTTACCCCCTATCACATGGGACTTATAACATAAATAGTGAAATGTAGGTGTTACATTGTACAGTGGCATAATGTGCACCTCTGCCTACCCCTTCGGGGATAAAAGGCATGATGTTATGTTATGTTATACTATTTTGGTCGTTCTAACTGCAACTTTGATTGAGTTGTCACAAGTACAACTACCGAAGAGGTGTTAAGTGTAATGTTCTGGTCGGGCAAAATGATTTGGTTTACAATTTGTAATATGATGTTCATTTTCTACTGATTATTATTATTTCTTCTAGCAATGGAAAGCAGCACGGTTGCAGCAGTGAAGTTAGGCGACAAGCCTCCCAGAATAGTAGACCACGCTGTGTCACAGACTGTCAACGATGGAGACGCCGTCACGCTGTCCTGCAGGTACAGATTATTACAATTATATACTAAACCCGCCTTAACCATGTGTATTGCGATATTGTAGCTACATTTTATTTAATTTTCACATCTATTGTTGATTCAAAATGGAACTAAAGTTAAACATTTCAATACTTTTATTGTATTTCCTAAAACTAAATTGTTAGTTTATTTGGCTCTATCTAATATCAAGTAGTGTTAAGCAGATTTGAAAGATTCTGACACAGTCCCTGTATAGTTCTATACGTATTATAACGGCAAAAAGAAAACTTTTACGGTACATTATCAAACAATTTACTAATGATATCTCATGTTCCCATCCAGGATCACAAACGCGGAACGTTTCGACGTGATCTGGCTGCATAACAACAAGGAGATCAAGCCGTCGAAGGACTTCCAGTACTCCAGCGAGGCCAACATACACAAACTACACATTGCTGAAATATTCCCTGAGGATGCCGGTTAGTTTATTCACATACATTCACAAAAAAAAATAGTAAAACATTCATATTCAAAAGAATAAACAGGATAAGTTGCAACACAAGAGCTTTAAAATGTACATCACATTTATTTTTGTTAACAGAGCCATCTATTGTCAAGTTCCATAACTAACAAAGTTCAATGCAAATACTGTGCTCGTTTGACTAGTGGTTGCTTATACATACAAGTGGAGCTTTCTTAAGCAGTACGTAACGTGTTACATAGAGGGCGTTGTTTGTGAAGTGGTGTAATGTTTAAAGAAAATAATAGGTGGCTCTGTTATAAATAAAGTTTAACTGGTTATGAAATTATTTTATTAACAAGAATAGATCAAAATGATCAGTGTCTTTGAGATTCAAATACCTACATTTTGATTCACAATTATTTACCAGGTCCATTATACTAAAATATCTCTTCAGTTTATCATCTTCTAAAACTCTATTATCTTCTCCAGGCGTATACACATGCGAGGCATTCAACGACGCCGGCGAGTCGTTCTCGTCGTGTTCCCTAGTGGTTCGTGTCCCGGGCGAGGCTGCCCCCTCCCCCCACTACACCGCCTTCCCCAGCTCCGCCACCGTCAGCAACGCTGAGCCTGCTGTCTTCACCACTGAGTTGGATAAGGTTAGTATCTTAGCAACATGACAATCTAATAGTAAAGTCTAATACATCTTAAGCAGTTTTTCTAGTTAGGTACGTAAGATACTAAAAACTACTCATTCCCAAACGATTTGTTCACAGCTCAAAATAAATAAGTCATCCTTCAAAATACTTTTAGTTTACCATTTCATTTGATCGAATTTCAACATTTATCTTTCACCCAAAGACCTTGGATATCTATGATAGCTATGGTGTTTCATATGCTTTTATTAAACGTTTACTAATATTAATATTCCATCCACAGCCACCACTCCAGCTTCAATGGTTGAAGGACGGCAAACCAATCGACGAGACCTCCGCCAGATATAAGTTCATGATGGAGGGTACCTCCAGGTACCGGCTCGAGATCGTCAAGTGCAGCCCTGACGACGCCGGACAGTACCAGGCCCGCGCCGTCGGATCCAAGGGAGACGCCCTCGCAGCGTTCTACCTTAACGTCGTCGACCACTAAACTATGGACTGACTGGGAAACCGTATGGGACCCAACACGGAACCCTGCGGAACACCCACACAAAAATAACTGGATGAAACAATATTGAGTATGAGTAACGATTTTTTTTATACAATTCGGAGTCGTTAGTGTGTAAAGCAGTTTTTTTACATTATATTAAATTATTATTTATTAATAAACAATTTACGTTAAGTGTTACACCCTGTCGAATGCCTATGAGAAGACCTGGAAGCTCGAATCCTCGTACGCTCTCTAGTCACTGTTAACTTTTAAATGTTATTTATTTATTTGTCAACTATTATCCGTTGTTATTTTTTGTTTATTTATTGTCCTCTCCTAACAGATATGCAGCTTATTTTAAAAAGCTTGAGTTTATAAATGTTGGCATAGATTGATGGCCAGGGTCCCTAGCCGGGTCGCCGCCACCACGACCCGACTTGCGACTCTCGCTCACCAAAATCTGTATAATTATTTTTATATAAATTTAACTGTATTATTTAATTGTACATAATTTAATTTATATCATGTGACCGAGTAATTTATGAATAAATATGTATACTTAAAAATATAACACGTTTTTTATTTCAATGCGTTGCCTATGTAGTTTATTATTTGTTCAATTCGTATATAATTTGTTAACAACAGATACACTAAAACACCAATCGTGAGTTAAAGGAAATAGTAAAGATACAAAAAGTTAAAGAAAATAAGATTAATATAATAGATACTGATGTAGAACTACTGCTGTTGCTAGCGTCACGGGTTTAACTCGTCGAGTACCGGTTTTACAGACACAATTAAAGAACAATAGGTCGCGGTCACCGGTGACCGCTTGGTGTTTGACAGTTTAATTCCCACGCAGTACACATTTATAATTTTATTGGAGATTTTTCACACATGAAGTTGCTTTCGTAATAAATTCAAAATTTTATGTAATTTTGCTTCAACTTATGTTGGACCAACACAGACTCAAACCCAATCCCACACACTCCAATCTAAATCCAAATACCAAGTTTCAAACACAACAATACAAACTCAACAATTTTGTATCTGTGACCGTTCCCGAGATGACGGCGCACAAACAGTCCGTATTCAAAACAATCTCGTTTAAAAAATATGAAATCTTCGAGAACTTGTTCTAGAGATTTTAAGTTTTTTTTTTTATTTTTCTACAAATCCGATGTGAAATGACGATGCATATAATAAGTCTTTCGTATGATTCTGTATATTATAATGTTCAGCTTTTGTTGTTTTTTATTGTATTTTTTTAAGGCTAAGCCCAAAGACTCACGGCCCGCTGCGTGGCGAAATAGAGGCGGAATTTTTAAGAATCAGTTTTCTGCGATCCCGCTACAACCTCCCAAAACCGCTGCAACTCCTGTAAGCCAGGATCTACAGTAGATACAACCATGAAAACACCGGAACACTGAAGTCCGGCACGTCACAGGGACATGAGTAACTGTCTTGGTTCCCGCAACGAAGTGAATCAGAAGATATTACAAGAGGAGAAGAAAAAACCGCCGCGGTTGCGATTATTGCCCGCTTTGGCGGTTGATTATCGCAAGACGGGCGGGCGGTTACACAATCAGTTGAGCTCTAGACCGGCCGTCCCATTGCGATCGTCCGCCAACCAGTCGTAGATCGCGCGGGTGCTAGCTGCCTATGCAGCGGGTGCCGCAAACAATCGCAACGTAAAACGCGCCGTGAAAATAGGGATGATGACAGGGTATGAAAATTAAAAATCTATTTAGTCCGTCAGTTAGGTAATGAAAAAATATTAGACACGTATTTTTTTATTTTGTCGTATGATAAAATAATACTTAGATAAAATAAATCAAACTTTAAGAGTGGGGGCTAAAACGTCATTTCTACGTATAAAATGTACATAGAAGTGACGTCATGCGACATTTCAAATCAATATACCGTCGAAAGTATTCGTTTTTGTAAGAAAATAAAAAATACGTGTCTAATGTTTTAAAGTAATCTACCAGACGGACATTAAAATGAAATTAGGCATCGACCTTATTACTTTGATTTTTTGCATACATATCTGTATTCTACAAAGGCTGCAACTGCACCGTGTGTATATACCCTAAATGTGAGGTTTTAATGTTGATTTTTGGAATGGATTGTACGATCATAGATGTTGGATTGGATGTTATATGCATTCAAGAAATGGGAATAGGACGGAGTCTGATATTGCTAATCGTAAATGCGACTGAATAACAAGAGGCCTCGAGATTGATTTTCGGGATGAGCGCAAAGTATTGTCGAATAATCTTCGGTTTAAAAAAATATCTTAATGGACTGCTTCGTTCGCCGAGTGGTCGCAAGTGCGACTGCTGGGCAAGGAGTCTCGGGTTCGATTCCCAGGTCGGGCAAAGTATTACTGGGTTTTTAGAAAATTGTCAGTAGTAGCAGTGAGTCTGGAATTGTGCCCGGTATATGGTAAAAAGCTCACTTTCTATTACATGAGACTCATAACATAAATAGTGAAAAGTGGGTGTTTTGTACAGTGGCATTAAATAACGTAATGTGCACCTCTGCCTAACCCTTCGGGGATAAGCGCCGTAATGTTATAATTCTAAAAAAATAATTCTTAATAGTGGCACAGTGTCTGAATTTGTATCCTGTAGGCTGTATTTTTAGCAATGTACTCCTTTACAATAATGAAATTAAAAAATAGCAAGAATTCAAAAGTAGGTCTCCTACGTTCATCTCTGCCTAGTCCCGTAAATAAACAAAAATAACTTTCAGCCTATATCTAACTAAGTATATCTAAATCAAATCTCAAAATATCTCTAAAGACACTTTAACACCTATAAGACTGTAAGCAGTTGCCTAAAGCCGTTTGTAACATCACAGGTGGCCCGAAGAACATAAAAATAACATCTTAATAGGAAACACCTCGTAAAATTGATACAACTTAATTTCTAACCATATCACCGTATCCAATATTCAAAATAGATATAATAAAATGTAACAGATTTGCTTGAAAACTATCTTTAAGAATAAATTATAGGAAATTTTTTGCTACATAGTAAAATTGGCTTGAGTTAACTTGGTAAGCAACGCGCAACTAATCTTAGAATAAGTACCTACTATTAAAGGTTAGACAAAGGTGTAGCTATAAAAAGTGTTTTGTTTTATGTAAATAAAAATAAATAACGACCCAATTATGTAAACAAACTCCTCTGCTTTTTTATGGGATAAGCCGGTAAACGAGCAGACGGATGACCTATGGTAAGCAATCGGCGTCGCCCATGTACACCCGAAACACCAGAGGCGTTACAAGTGCGTTACCGGCCTTTTGGAGATTAGGAATTTGAGGATTGTTGCAGATTCAAGGATTGGGGAGATTGAGTAGGGGGAGTTATCCAGCCTCCGCTAACCTCATTCGCACCTCGAAAGATCACGCTGTTGTTTCACGTCGGTTTTCTGTGAGGTCGTGGTATCACTCCGGTCGATCCGGCCCATTCGTGCCGAAGCATGGCTCTCCCACACATGATTATGTATGAGTGGACGGCAACACATTCGTGACACCTTTGGTGTTGTAGATATGAATAGGCTACATTGTCCGGTTATCATCTAACTTAGTTGCTAATCAAGAGAGGGTAAGCTGCTATTGCAATAAGTACATGAAGATTATGTTGGTAATATACACGTCGTACATCTAAAACCTCTGTTCCTTTACAGTCGGTATGGTTCTTGGGCTTGTTGTGGCTGCGTGTATGACGGTCAATTATAATTAACTTAATTTGTTTAACATTGCTTGTGTGACATTCATAATTGATGATTACCTTTTTACATAATATATTTAATTTGACATTACATTTTTGCCTTTAAAGGTATTAATAATTTTAATTTATCTGACATACTGTATTCAGTTTAACATCAATACAATTATTAAAACCTACCTACCTACCTACCTACCTAATTTTATTATATAAAATTTTATAACCTACCTTTGCATGCCAAGTGAAGGCAAAATATGGAGAAACTGTATATTTTGTTAACACCTATATTATGTACATACCCATGATTGCAAACGATTAAATGAATTTGAATTAGAATTAGAATTTACTAAATAAAAAATCTCTTAAAGGCAACAACTTAACACCTAATTAAAAACTGACCACAATGCCATTAGAAGACACATACAAAGCAACATGGTATCTTCAAAAACTATAATACTTTATAGTCAAAACGCCACTGAAATTAATAGTCGATCAAACAGTAGTCCACGCAGCGGGGCCAGCCATTAACTCGTGTTCAACACCATTAGGCCACGAATTAAAGAACCATATTAAACAAAAAACTGGTTAAGTGTGAGTCGAACTCGCGCACAGATTCCGTATCAATGAAAAATGTTTAATGGGAACCCTGCTCAAGTGCCTACCTATTTTGTTTTCTTTTTTTTATTATTATTTTTGTTATGATAACCGAAATATTGTACAAATTATTGGCTAAAAAATTCAATAAACACTGAAATAAAATTAATACTAATTAAGTATTACTAAATTAAATATATACAACTTAAGATAAAAATTAATTAAAAATAAAACTAAAAACAACTTTTTACATAAAGCATCGAATAATTCGTCCGCATCGACGTCAATGGAGAAAGTACCCAGAAGGCTGGCAGCATTGCCACGTTGTATGGCATATTATTATCATGTATGAAAATTTCATCTATGTATATAGATACTTTTTTTTAAGTGGGGAAAGTCATCGAATGCCTTCTCCCACCTGGGCGAGGCGGAAGGGAGTGTCAGACTCTTACTGACTAAAAACCATCTCGTTCCTACTCCTGCACTTCGAGCCGGAGCCCCGGCAACCCGTTACGTTCTCCGCGGCATCTATATAGATACTTAGCTATCGCATTATTCTGGGCTGCGGAGAACCGCTAGGGTTACCGTGGTTCCAGCTGGAAACAGGACTAAGAACGGGGTGGTTTTTGGACAGTAATAGTCACCATTCCTTCTCGCCTCAACCAGGACGGGAGGAGTTATTTGACGACTATTCCCCCCTCAAAACAGAAAGATTTAAGCTAAAGCCTAGTGACCGACAGATGGACATCAGAGTCTAATGGAGTATCCAATGTACCTAGGCCAGTAATTTTTTTTTTAAGTGCGGAAAATCATCGAATGACTGCTCCCGCCTGGGTGAGGCGGGAGTGAGTGTCAGACTCTTACTGACTGAAAACCACCCCGTTCCTTCTTCAGCACGTCGAGCCGGAGCCCCGGTAACCCGTTAGATTCTCCGCGACTTGTGTGGGCCAGTAATAGGCTCCCAATTTCCCACTTTGGAAACGGAACCCTAAAAATCAAACATGGCTACCAGATAAACAAAAAGTATCACATCTCTATAAGCATTTTAATATTTATCACTGAGTTTCCGATATTCGAAAAGGGTTGTGCTTTAAGAGGTCGCTATTTTTTACTTTTTCGTTTATTATAAATGATTGGTGGCTTTTTAAAATCTTGTGTGTATCTCATCTTCCGTTCGTGATCGATATACATCGTCTTACATTTTATGTAGAAATAATAAATGAGTAGCAATGGTATGTATCTTCGAGTTTGAGGAATA